CCACTCTGATTTCATATTAGAAAGGTTACGTTGTGGGATATATGGGATCAGGAGAAAAAAGGGCGTGTTCGCTCGTGCTTAGGCGCGGTTCATGTAGGAGTCCTACAAAATATCGAAGGGGGCGTTTTTTTCTTCACTATCCATCGCTTTATATATCCATATCACTCGCAAGAGGAAGGACTGAAATTCTTGACGTAGCTACGAGAGGATCTTAACTGCGTTTGCCAACCCCCTACTGTTCAGTTCCGTCTGAAAAAATTGCGGACTATCAATAATAGGCAGTGTTTATGCGGTGAATCTCACGCACAACTCGAGGCGATGATTGAAAAATTTGGGTCATGAAGTATAAAACTGGTGTTTTCAGAGAGCATTTAGAGAGCGGAAGTCTACAAAACCGCGAATGAATCGCTCACGCAGAATTTACATAATCAATAGCACAAGCTCTGAGGTAGCCAAGTGGAAGTAATGAATTATTTGGGCCTATTTATACCCTGAAATCTCTTCGATTAAGTCCAGTCTTGCGACAGAAGTGGATAAGTTTGCAGAATTATTTATTTATAGCCCCAGGCCTCCAGCCAGAGTTAAGAATCCACTTGGCATATCCTAGCACTTTGTTATAGTGAGGCCGCTTTGGCGAGCCGCATTCCTAGTATTTGATTACATATTTGAATGATTGCAAAATCTGACAACCTTTGATGCCTAAAAAAAAAAACTAATAAAGTCATCCTACCAAATACGTTAAAATGCAAAAATCCGTTAGAAAGAAGATTCATTCACTCTACAGCCGTTCCTTCCTCTCCATGACTTTCATTGCATGGCGGGAACCGTTTCTACTGAAACACGAGATCAAACGTATTTTGTTAGTATTGACCTCTAATTTGCTTTAGAGAGTACCTGAAACTGCATAGCAAACAGCACGGAATATTTTCCAACGTAAACAAAGTTCTTTTTTCTCTCCAGAAAAAGACCGATCGTTCACTCAGAGGCGCAAACAGCTTTTTTAGCATAAGAATTGTCTGAGGTTGTACTTCCAAGGAAGAAACATTACATTGGAACAGTTAAGTGCTATATCGTGACCTTTTGATAAACAATTGATGTCAAGTGTTACTCTGCGGATATGTACATTTGTAGAAGTTTATTTTAGATACAGTGATCACGTTTGCTTGAATCTCCAGAACAATCACTTCTAGCATACTTGTGATAAGTTATCCATTAGACTGTGTTCTACATCTTACCCTCTGATTTCTTAATTTTTATCCATGCCAACATTCCAATCCTTTCAGAAATCCTAATATTTGAATCAGAATTTCTCGTTTAAGGTTTTACTTCTGAATCTTTTTGGCAAGCAGCGAATTTAAAAAGCTCTAGAGATTTAGACAATGCGGCCTTTACGCCAACTGCTAAGGAGACTGACCCCACACTGCTTGCCTCTCAACTGATTCTGAGAGAATGAAGACTGAATTATTTGCCGAGAAAACCCTACATATTTTGTGGCCGAAGAGAAGCTTTTCCGTAAATACATTTCAAGTAAAACCAGCGCCCTTTCTTCATTTAAATTTGAAATTATTGTTTTTGTTACACGATTGAATAATAGGAAAAGTAAATAATGTATTCTTTTGAGATTGTTACGCATTTCCGGCCTACAAGATTCAGAACGTGACTTGAATATTTGCGAAGTCTCCGATGCACTCAAACGCCTGCGGTTGTGGCTGCTCGTGTTTATTTCCGTTTCGTGATAAGGTCTTGAATGAGTGTCAAAATTGAGAACGTCTTTCAAAAGTACATCGTTCATCAGAGAAGCGAATTCTCGAACTAATAGAAACTTTACTTATTATCAAGCTAATAATGAAAGAATGAAGTTAATTCTAGAGCTCTCCACAGCAGTCATTAGTTTAAAAGCGACCTCCTGAACGTGTAAAGATTTCAAAACTTTCAAAAGGGATTAACGCATTTGATTTCACTGCTTTGTTTACTTTTACTATATTTTTTTGCCGAGAAATTCGCGGTAGCTTTGTAATTTTCACAGCTTTCTTTGAAATTGTATAAATAAGGTTTGTTTCCCAAAATTTGAGTTTGCATTCGTAGCTAACATTAGAGAAATTAATAAAGTGCAGACAAGATCTAGCAAAACACCAGATACTTTCGCGTTCAAAAAAAGACAAAACAAAAAAAAACACGAAAAGAAAAGAAAACACACATTCAAGGGTACTCAAAGACCCACCGCATGAACGAATAAGTGCTTCGCTGTCAGCCATAAAGTGAAATTATGCAGTGAGCAAAGATTGACTCGGCACACAACTTGTTCGCAACAACCCTGGCATCCACAACCCTTCGGACTTTCAAAAACTCTAATTTAAATACTCTTTCATTGGCGTCGGCTTTTGACCTCAACAAAACTTCGTAACGAGCATATGCTTCCATGAACGTAAAATTGTGTTCTTGGATTTTAATATCCGATTAGTCAATGCGACGGATGCGCAATGTTCCTTCACCATTTACCGCATTGTTTCAAGTTGGCATCAGCACTTTTCAATTTGCGTCAGCTCTGAGTAACAATTATTGAAATACTTTCAGGAGTGGCGTTACGTTGTAATGAAGTCTCCATTTTATGGCGAGATAAGGTGAACCATATATACACAATTTAGGAAAACTCTTTAAATTACACCGTCACAGTAGACAGAAAATGCGGCTAGCTTTGAATATTCTTCGGTAGATCAGTCTTAGCTACTTTGCCGAATTCGAAATCTCAGACCGGAATATCGGAACTTTATTTGGGAAGTCGGAAAGTCACATTCAAATATAAACTTAATAATTAAAGAGTTTGCGTTTTTGCTGCTAGTTGTGTTGAAATATATATTCAGGTTTCACACCCTCTTAAAGAAACATTGAAAACATAATATTAGTTTAGGTGTTGGCCATTTTTGATACGGAACTCTAACGAAAATAACTACGCAGCTTTACCATTCAGGAGTGTTACGTTTGTTTGCAGCCACATAAGCCGTACGGCAGAGTTCAGGGTTCAAATACAATATTCACATGTTGCAAACAAAAAAACCTCGTTAGCTCTCTCAGGTTCCACTGGTACCACAAGTGGCACTCTCTTTCAATCCGGGTTTCATCGTTGATAAAATATGACAAAGATATTTTTTTTTTGGTTGGGTGATTTGTTTTTCAAACCCTGTATGATCGATTCTTGTCCGTTGCCGATTCACGGTCAGGTTTTAGTGAACCTCGAATATGTCCTTTGAGATCGTGATAACGTGATAACGTGATTCGAGTTTCACTGAGCTCTTACGAAACAAGAACAGTTTGGAATAAAACTAATTTACAACAGGCAGTCATTAAAAACATGTTCCATCAATAATTTATCGCCAATAAACGAACGTTTTTAGATTGGCCTTGACATTTCATTAAAAAACATAAACAATGCCTCCGTAAAATGTTTTGAACGGAAATTGCATTTGTGTCAAAGGACGTTTTTCGAAAATACAAATGTCTCATTTCTAGGAGCAATTGTTTCTTAAGTATAATTTCTTTATTGTGGATATTTCCTTTGTTTGAAAAAAGGAAGGCAAAAATGAACCAGCAGTTTTTCGAAACTGTATACCACTGGTCAGAGTCGAACGATTTTTCAAGAACTATACGTACACAAAGCAATCGTAGATGACAGAGGGCAGTGATGTTTTTGTTACTATTGTTTTTACAGGGTCAACAACACGAATCGATAAATTAGAAAGTGGCCGTCAGCCAATGAATACTACAACCGGTGTTCCAAACAAGAGAACTGACCAGTCAGTAAAGCCTTTTTCCTTGTATATTTGATTGACAGCCGTAACGTATGTTACATGTCACATAACTTATGCAAGACGAAGCTGATTGGCTTGTTGTAGAGAGGGTCTTTATTAGCTTCTTTTATTGGTTCTGGTAATAGCGGGGAAGACATGTCACATTTCATCTGTCAGCGAGCGAAATCAACATTGAGTCTCCTGTTTTCTACATCAAATGCTGTTAGGCCAAATGTAGTTGTAATTTTAGAATAGATCTCGCGGGGAAAATGTTCGTCTCTTTGTTTGTTGCATGGTGGATGGCCTGCTTAGCTACGGGAGCTTCAGGTGAGCGTATTTCAATCGCGCAGCGCCTCTGTTACATTTGCATCGCGCTGCGTAATGTTCTTGATTCTAGTACGGAGATGTTCCTAGCTTAACAACCACAACCCAGAGCATCCCGGGGTGGGGATGTGGAGGCTGCACTGAAAAGGAGTACATTTAGAATAAACCCAGCGCAGAAACAACCCCGATGAAGCATGAGATAGCTAGTGGATAAGAGCGATTGTTTTGAGAACAGACCAAGTGAAGCGCGGCAGCTGCTCACACACACAATGGTGGTAGCGAACGAACTACATCATGTTATTACGATGACTCAGTTGTTCGTTTAGCGTACCGAACGTAGCCTGACATTTATTGAATGGGGCTTTATGCTAATGCTCTTTTAGAAACTTTGAAGAACTGTTTTGTTTTGTCTATAGTTTGGCTGTTTACGTTTCTCTTTGCGCGAAATTTTACGCTAATGGCGAACGAACATAGCAAACGCCTCAACCGCAATCTGTTCTGTCCCCGTTTTAAACGGAATAACCAAGGGTGACTGCCGGTGATCTTGAGTTGATAAGTACTGCCAGTTGCCCTAGACTTACCCTTAAAGTGAAGGTCAAATTCGACAATATGTAGTCATTATTCATAGTCGAACAACTGAAGGAATTTTTTCCCTCTGTTGTCGAGTGTTTTTTGAAGGGCTCGTTCATCGTGAACGGAGGAGTATAAACTGTGGTGTGCAAGTGGGAAGGAAAGATTTGAATAAGTTCCCGTGATTTCCTGCCAGCTTTCGTAAACTAAACCATGATTTCCCAAACCGTTTGTAGCGAGTTTCTACACTGTGGTTATAGTAGAAAAAAAAACCATTCACTTGGGACTTGATTAGTCTTACTAACTATGTGTTAAACATAATTTTCAGGCACATTTTCCGGATTGGTTCCTATTTCGTTCACCCGAGAGCCGAGCTACACCGTAGCCCACAAAAATAAGCCAGTTACGCTAAATTGTGGAGTGAATGGGAAGCCTCCTCCGTCCAGTTTCACATGGGAAAAAGATGGACAGGAAATCATTCCAGATTCAAGGAGGACGATTGACTCAAATGGAGCGTTGCACATTACAAGAGTAATCCATACTCGGGAGAGCAAACCCGATGTTGGGGAATATCAATGCTTTGCTTCAAATGAAAGAGGCAGAATTGCTAGTCGCAAAGTTCGTTTGGATGTTGCTGGTAAGTAATGAACAGAGTACGTGTTTGTAAATCGTTTTGTACGATTCAGTGAACAAATTCATTGACGTGATGTTTGGAAGTTCATGTTTCCAACCGACGCGGCCAAATTACCGTGCTCAATCGCGCAGTTCCATTTTTAATCGCTAAAGATCTATTTCCGAATAAGCTCTCTTCCGGCTGTGGTAAAAATTATTTGGAAACCACAGATCTTTTCATGTTAATCTCTTGGCTGACCTTAAAAAAATGGTTAGAGGGAAAAGGCGGTTAAAAAAAAACTGAGGATTCCAGTTGCTAGCGTACATATCATTCCTCATGCCGATTTCGTGTATTTACATCTTCGCTATAATCACGCGATTGTTGCCCGATTGTGCGTTTTTAGTTTAGTCGTCTTTTACAAAGAACGTTTCAATTATCTCTTCACTCAAAGAGTGTGATTTGTTTTAAAACATGTTTATAATATTTCAGTGACCCCAAAGTTTAACCTTGAGAAGCAACTGAAATCGTTCTGAACGATTGATGGCTATTCGAGTATGAACGTTGATCACAGATAAGCTCGGCGATAATGTTTCTCCGCCACTGTCAAACATATTGTTTGCATTATCTTCTTACACCAGCTTATTCTCTCTAAATCTTAACCTTTAGAGTTTTATGCGTAACTTGTTAGAGTAAATATTACGTCTTTGTAAGGATGGACAGAAAGGTTAAGCTGTTGAGTAAAATGCACTTTGCCCCAGCTGAGAACCTTGTGAGCGGATGAGATGAACTGGAATCGCTCGTTTAGATCAAGGCTTAATGCTCTTATATAGTGTTCTTGTCGTTTTTATGTTATCAACGAAATAGTAAATATGCTATCGATCGTGTTAACTATCGCAACAATATGATTGTGGCAACAAGAACGTCGCTTTATTTGCTTCGCTAAATCGTGCGAGAGATCGGCGAGGCACACTTGGATTTCTGTGCTTCCGTCAACTTTAGAAGATAAAAAGTGTTTGAATTTTGTTCCAAAGACAAAAAGCACTTAAAATTATCTTCAAAGACGAGGGTTTATCTTCGTTGTTGCACGCACGTACAAGTACCACGCTGTGAGACTACAGCTCGTCTTTTATTCGTGGCCTCATTATCGTTGTGCTTAGGACACCTTATGACCTTATCAAAATAAGACAGTCGTTGGTGGAATTCCCAATTTGTCGTTTGATTCATGTCTAAAAAAAAAAAAAAAAAAAAAAAAACACACACACATGCACTAAGAAAAAAGACACCTTTTGTTCGGTGAAATTTTTATCTTGAAACGTTTAAGAATTTTAAGCGCTTGTGTTCTTACTGATACAAAACATGGCGGGTCTTTTGTGCTCATTTGTAAAAACAGCAGTTGTGTATGTGTAGTTGGGATCGGCTCTTTGTTTTGAGGGCCAATGAGAATCAACCATGGCATTTATCGATGATCACGTGCAAAATATTTTTCGTTTTACAAGGAATTTTGTTCAATGTAGGTGTGCTTTGCAACCAACATGATTTGTTTGTGTTTGTAGCTCCCCTCACAACATATTTCAGTGTACTGTCTAAAATTTGAAAATTCCATTTAGGAAGGAATTCTACTTTAGGAAATTTCTTGACTATTATGATATATTTTTTTTCGATTAATGACCTCACAGAAAAAATATGGAAAATTTGATATCCAGGCACCACTTAATTGAAATATTGGTTGATGCAATGTAAACATGGACAAACTACAGTAATTTTGTAGGTTTTTAAACAAAGGTAAAATTGCAATATGACATCATACATTATTCTGAGTTTTAAATTTCACCAAACAGCAAATTTTTGTCCTTTTGGCAAAATTGTGTTTGTTACATTAAAGCTGTTTGCTTTATAAAATACTGAATATGGGTATTTAACAATTTGGAGCTGGCATATTGTGGTATGTTTGTGTACTAAAATGGTGGTTTTATGGAAACGTATAAGATTTTATATCCATTATTCTGATGATTTACTCTGTGTAATAGGTAAAGTATTAAACAGAAAGATTCCATGGGCCATGAGGATAAAATGACTCTGGAAAGGGCACAAACAATTATATTTACGCCCAAGAACAAAAACTGTATTACTGTTCTTATGCCCACGGAGGACATTGAAAATTAACAACTGAAAAAATGACAACAAAACTGTCTAAACAATCAAGCAAGGATGCAAGTAGACTTAAAAAAGGTTTTAGCAGTGGGTTCAATTCATTTTAACCTGCCAAAATCTCCACTTTAACCTGCAAAATGGGTCACAATGCCAAGAGATAATCATAGATCACAGATGATATTAAAATGAGATGGAACAAAAACAGGCACATGAGGCACAGCAGAATGTGTCACTGATGTTCTTACGACATTTTTATGTTGTTTTTTTTACTCATTACTGGACAGATGCATGGCAACATAGAGTCTATTTGTTTTACACAACAAAAGAGCGCAACATTGTTAATGGTTATGCTGAGCAGCTGTCATCCAATAGATTGTAGTGAGAATCAAGAAGAACAATTAATTTAGCTTATAATTTACTAAACATGCTGGATGTGGTTTATTTTCTAAAACAAATCATTCACATATGATCATTAGTTCCTAAGAATAGTCAGATGATGCGTGTAACAAATCACATTGAATTGCACAAGTATGTATACTTTATATTCTGATTGTTCTTACTCACGCAATACATGCAAACATTGAAGCTTAAAAGAAGAAATTCCTTTTAATAGTTATAAATCAGTTGGCTCATGTGTCAGCTGTGTCTTCATCCATTAATGAAGTGCTGTGTCACAGGCGAGTCCTAAGCATCTTTTGTTCTCTAAACTTTTCCTGTGCTGAATGCATATGCGTACTTTGAGATATTATGGTGAGTGAAACTAGCTTCAATATGAAGAAGCTGCAAAATATTTTGTTCTTATTGATGGAGGGGAAGGTTTATACATGGCGTCAACATGTCCAGTCAGGAACACATCTGCTTTTATTATGATTTAAAATCTAACTGAAGCTTTAAGTGGCCTGATTTATTGCACTGGTAAACCAATAGTTTTTAACTTTCTATTGGTTTCCTGGTGCATTAAACCACTTGGGATGTAGGGAAAACACTAGAAAAGTTTGTAAATCACTTGCCTCCCGCTTGTGATTTACATACTTTTCTCATGTTCTCTTAATATATCCTACATCCGTTATTACGCTGGTAAACTGATAGAAAGTGCAGTCTGTTGCTTGATTTGATTACGATTGCGTGAGAAGGGAAACGTAGAATCTCTCTTCAGCTGTCCTCTATCATTTTTGAAAAACAAGTTTGAATAGAGGGATGGAAACATTAACCAATAGGTCACTAACTGTCATTTTTCATGAAATTTATGGTTACATTTTCTCTACTTTAAGTGAATAACTTGTAACCTTTGCCAGGCTATTTTTAACAATTGAACTTCAGTCATATCAAGTTAATCGCTTTAGCTCACCATTTCCTTAAAAAAATGATTTAAAATTCAATTATGCTTGAGTTTTTTAAAAAGGGTATTTTTGTAAAAAAGTTGTTTAAAGCTATCAAGGTGTCATAATCTATGTAAGACTCCTCAGCGACATTGTGCAGTGAAGGACTTCATCCTGTTTAAACTTATTAGAACTCTTGCTTAGCACTTAAGATGAGTGATATGGTTTTTGAAAGGGAACAGGCCAATTTCTTATCATAAAAAACTAAAAAAAATGAATTGAGGGAAAGTCAGGACCCAAAGAGTGTTAAACTTGTGAATTTACAGATCAAAGAAGAAAAAGTCTTTCTGAGAGTTGGTTTTTTATGTGTCTTAATACCACTGAAATAATCCCCCTCTTCAATTGAATTAGTATTAGCTATTTGGAATTGATTGAATATTGTGAAATTTGCTCTTATTGTTAACTGCACAGTGAAGAACAAAGTGCAGTTGGCATTTTTTTCAGTCTAGTATTTCCTTTCTGGCTGCCTAAAAATGCAACATGTTGGTAAATTATGATTTTTGATACTGCAATTGACAGATTAAGTATTAGGGGAAAACTAGTTAGAATATAGGGATATGATCACATCCTTTAAAAGAATGATGTTTTGTTATTCATACTGACCAGTTACATTTCAGGAAAGACTACGTTTGAAATCTGATTGATTTGTGTGAATGGTGTTCAGTCATTTCACCAGAGAGGGGCTTCATTCCCCTCATCAGTGGAATAACTAAAATTGCTCATAATTTTTTTTTTTTGTTCTACATCCAATAACCTCTTTATTGATATAAAAATAGTGTTGGTTTCCTAAATATAGCGTGTCTATGAATTCAGAATGGTGAGTTACCTTGAAAAACACAACTCCTTAGATCTGACATCCTAATATTTTTGTGTAAACTTCCTCTACAGTTGTTTATTGCAATCAATATTATTATTGATTTTTAATTTTGTTTTTCTTCTTGATTTGTGTGTTCAAAGGTATGTCTAAGAAGTTTCAATGGGAACCGCAAAACACAGTAACATTGGTAGGATCCTTTGCAAGATTTTCCTGTCAAATCCGACATGCTTCTCCTGCAGCTACTTTAAGGTGGGAAAAAGATGGCACCCGTTTAGAAGCCAATGACAGAATTTTCATGCTGATAGAAGGAGTACTACAAATAAAAGATGTCAGAAAAACAGATGAAGGAAACTACAGCTGTGTGGCAGAAAATGTGGTCAAAATGCGCCGCAGCAATCCTGGAAGTCTTACAGTCCTAGCTGCTGGTAATTGTAGTACTTCTGATGTTTGATTTTACCAATGTTAGGGTTCATTGAAACCTTTTTTTACTCAGCTTCATACTGGCTTTGTGATTTTGATATGTACCAAATTGATAGTTTTCAAGGGATATGAATTGGTCAGTATTTATTTTAGGATCATTCCTTGTTATAAAGGGAATAATCCTTATTCAGATGAAATCACTGTCATATGATCTTGTGGATGTGTCTGAAAGTATACTTTGACCAGCTAACCTGTGGGGATCTTTATGAGAGAGCAACAGAATAAAATTATAATTTCATCGAATGAATACTTAAGTTGAAAGACCAAACTTTACTACTTAAGGCTAAAATAATACTCTCTAATCTGATTATAGAGTGCTATTTGTAAGTTCTGCTCTCTTGCATAGCTCTATAATTCCTAATTTCAATTGAACCCATGTAAGTTATCAAGTGACTCCTGCAGTTATGAAGCTGATTTCACAACATTGACATTTTTAAGATAGTTGGGCACAAATTTGTTTAGAGAGCAGAGCTTACTTCTACTCAAAGTGAACATTTTTGTTAAGTTATTGACAGTACCTGCTCCTGATTGATGTTCTGAAGTTATCATGTGACTTCCAGCTGACTAGCAGTTTCAGCACTGTAAACATTGTTATATATAGCAATTAATGACAATGTATTCTGTATGGAATGATGTGAGAACAAGCATCAAACTGTTGATGAGCTGATTCCCGTAAAAATCCTATATTTCTACTCTAGCCTCCTATTTTTCTATACTTTTGTTAAAATTACTGGGATGTATGTAATCAATACTGGCATATAATATTTAAAAAGAGTTGAAAATGTATTAATTGACAAAAACAGACATTGAGTTACATAAACAAACACTGTGTGTACCTGAGTTGAAAGTGGAACTATAGTGTGATACTTGTCATAATTGAACATATTATTGCTTGTTAGATTCATCAAGAAATAGGACAAGCCCACAATTTCTTGGAGAACATCGAAACATAACCATTGTGAAGGGAGGTTCAGCTGTAATTGAATGTGCTGCATCTGGATATCCCCTTCCAATGGTGCAGTGGAGGAAATTGGATGAACATTCTGGGAAAACTTACAATGTTTCTAATATCACTTATGCTGTTAACAATCTCAATTTTTCCAATGTTGAAGAAAATGATGGAGGCCAATATGAGTGTTATGCACATGCAGATGGAAAAACCATTTCCAGAATTGTTTGGCTGTTTGTCACAGGTATTGTTACATTGTTGTAATTTGTCTTGTTCAATTAGATGCCTGTTGAAATGATTTTGTAAGAATATTAATTTTTTGATACAAAAACATAAACAAGGGTTTGGGGGCCATAGGCATCTATGGCTCCAAAACTTAAATATTTTTGGAGATGGTGCCACTTTCTTTATTTTTGGCAAGCATGAGGGAATGCCAGCGGCCTCAATTATAAGTACTATTGAAGGAATGCTAGGATATTACCCTAGCATTCCCAACCTTCTGAGCTGTGTTATGAATGTAATGTGAAGCAAAAAATGGGTTGGTAGAAGCAGCAAACATGTGACATTGGCCAGATTTCTCAAGGAAAAAGATGACAAATGAGTAGCACTTCCCTTGACATATTATTGCACCATTGGCAACTGCAGAGATAATCTCTGTGTGAGGAGATACTTACAGTTGAGGCCACTTGTGTCCCCTTATGCATACCCAATTTTCCTGCAAAATTAATAGCCTCTATCAAGGGAGGTGTAGTAAAATCATTGTTTGCTATAATTTGTAGTTTTGAGTTTAGGAATTTGTGTCACCAAAAGACATTGACCTAACAGACAGCTTTTCAACAATTGAAATTATCATACCTTTTATTAGTGCCACCTCAATTTACGTTAACACCTCCCCGTTTGGTGTGGATGATTGATGAACCCTTGGAGTTGAAATGTGCAGCAAGTGGAGAACCAGTTCCTTCAGTATACTGGCTTAAAAATGGGAAAGAGCTGAATTCCAGTGATATCACAAAAGTTACTTATGGCAAGGGAAGAGCAGACTTGATAGAATCCAGTTCATCAGCCAGTAATGTGTTGTACCAGTGCTTTGCACAAAATGAAGCGGGAAGTACCCAAGTTGTAGCTTGTCGGATAGTTCAAAAGAAAGGTAATGTACTGTTAGTTGAAAGAAAATTTGAAATTATATTACATTACCTGAGTTCCATAATCCACTGGCACTTCATGAAACTAGCTTTGACAATTTACTGAGAACCAATGATTTGATTTACCTGGGCAAGAGTTCAGTGGGTGTCCTTCTTTTTGGTAGAAGAGTTCTACTGTAGGCAAGTCCCTCTTTTTACTGATGTGAACTTCAAAGTTTGAATTTTGTTAGAGGAGCAATAAGTTGCTCTATCCACACATGGCTTATGGCCTTTTTTTCTGTAATTTATAGATGATCGACCTGGCCCACCAGTGAATATTGTGGCTCTGCCATTATCATCATCCTCCATTGTTATAAACTGGAGTCCTCCTATTGGTAACCATATTATTGGTGCATACACTGTGCATTACAAACAGTTAGGGAAACCAGGCGCACCTAAAACCAAAGTTATCAGTAAAGATACACACAGCTATGAAGTGCAAGGACTGTTGGGATACACAAATTACAGTTTTTATATGAAGGCTTATGCCAAAGCTTTTGGGTATGAATCAGAACCAATTGTGCAGAGGACACTTGAAGACCGTAAGTTATTACATACATTAATTATTTTTATATTGGTTATTGCATTGAAGACAAGTGTTTATTTATTGTACAGTAGAGTAAAAAATTTAACTGAGTCCACCAATGGTTAAAAGTATTTTTCAGCATCTAACCTTTACATTTCTATGTGCTCAATTACACGAGTATGCAAATTTGTACCCCTCATGTTCAAACAGAATGTGGTTTACAAGCCAGCTTAATTGTAATCAGAAAAAATGCAAGAAAACATGGAAAAACATATTGGCTGTTTTCAAACTGGAATTCTCTGTGTATCATCATGTTGAATCATATGATGTATTCCAGTTACCACTATTATCTACATGAACCCTGTAGGAATTGTGTGACCAAAAGAGCTATTTTCTGATGGTAATAGTGGCAACCATACAATGTCATACAAGTCTAAATGGGGTCTTCTGGGAAATTTGTGCATTGATATTGCTTGTGTATTTGTATATAGTTTTTATACATTGGAGGTATCATCTAACATTTCTTTTTCCTGTCTCATTTAGGACCAGCCAAAGCACCAGTTGATATAAAAGTCTCCAGTCAAACACCAGATGTAAGATTTATATAACATTTTACCACCAGTTTTATAATTTTTTTTTTTTTTTACTCAAACTGCATGATCTAAGTAAGATTGATCTTGCTAAACCTGAAATTATGTGTCCAAAGAAAAGGCATTCATTGTGTTTGTCTCTTTTAGAGTCTTGATGTGGAGTGGGCACCACCACTTAGAGACTATCGCAATGGCATCATAAAAAACTATGTGATTTCCTACAAGAAAGAGTTTGACAAAGGAGAACCAAGCTCTGTGGAAGTTCCGGGGCATACTCTTAAAAAGACAATTAATGGTTTGTCTAAAGGAACATCTTACATGATCAGAGTGGCTGCTGCTACAGTGAAAGGTGATGGGCCTTTTAGCAGAGCTGTAGAAGGAACAGTTCTCAATCAGACATCTAATGGTAAGTAGTGCCAGCAAGAATTAATGATTTGAAGATACTGTGCATAATTGTTCTTTGTACCTTAATATTAGGGTGCATATTCTCTATACTGCTCTCTGTACATTTCCATAGGTGCTGACAAGGAGAATTTTTTTAATAATCACAAGCCTCTTAAGTTGGTCATCATTTCCCTTATTTTGGTGGCCTTAATGTGTGATTCAGGGGAGATATTGTGAGGAGAAACTTGTTGTTAGAAACTCTTATGCATCAAAGGATTAAGAGCTGTGTGAGGTATAAATTAAGTCTGAGTCACCAATAGAGTCATGGATTGCTTTCTAGACTTGTTTGCGAATAGTCCATTTTAAAGTTGTGTGCTTGATTGCCAAGCCCTTGAATAAGAGTGAGGCTAGGGGTAACCTTGTTATGACACAAAGGTTGTTACTTTTCAAATGTACATTACTTTGTGATCATGCTTACTAGATACTGGTCTCTATCTAAATCAAAAGGCTTGGCAACTTAGAGTACACAGCAATAAAATGACAAACATTTAAATTGCACTAGTGTAACTTGGTTTGGATTTTTTTCTCCAAACAGTGATCAGCCCACCAACTGTATGGATTGCAGACCATAACTCAACCACAGCAATCGTGAAATGGCTTCCCCCTGCCTATGGCAAACACTCAGTAGAAGAGTATCATTTATTTTATGTCCAGATGCAAGATCACAGCATGGAAAAAGGACCATTCATTGTTGACAAACGGCAGAAAACTTACACTCTACATGGATTAAGTAAGTTAGAGGAATGATGACAACACAAACAAAAACAAAATGTTATTTTATTGCCACTGAATAAACTGAAACAGAAAGGAGTTCCACCAAGAGGTAGAAATCTCATCAAGTCAGAATCTGTAACTAACATTCTTGATATATGGTATCCGCTGTTCTCATGTAAAACAATTGCAAAACTAACTGCAAACAGTGGGGTTAATCTTTGCAATTCAAGACTGAGGAAGTAGTGAAATGTTTCAAAGACATTTTGCATGGTTAAGAGGATTTTAACAAGAATATATGCAATTTTATTTTTTAACTCACTATTATGGCTCATCACGTATGAGATGAGATGTCTGATGGCTGAAGACTTTTTTCATACATTTTTCAGGCCAAACAAATTATATTGTTTTGAATAAAATTGCAATTAGATAAATTGTGGATAGCAGTTAAAAAAAATATTGGTTGGTAGGGTAGTACAGAAGTTTTCCAACTTGCACATGTACTTCAGTAGTGATGTTTCAAATCTTTTGTCCAGAAAATTTAAAAGTTTGTATTCCTTTGTTTTCCCACACACATGGCTGTTACCCTGATGATTAATCTTCTTTTTTGTGCAGGTTCTGGAAGCCGATATTTAATTAAGTTGATGGCCTCTGATGGTAGTACTTTAGGTCCTCCAGGTGCAACTTATGTCACCACTGACAGGGGTAGGCGATAAAATTTGTTTTATATGTAAACTAGATGTTTAAGGAGTGGGGCTGTTACAACACAGAGGTCAAACGACTGTGCTTGTGGAAGTGTTGGTGTAGTGTGGTTTAGCCAGATGGGAACAGTAGATGAGTTTGGTGCCCTAGTATGTACTGTAAACAGGTACATGTGCTGTTTATTTGCCCAGGCATTAAACACTTTTTACCATTTTCAATAGGTCCAGGAACTCCAGATCCTACAGAAGATCCACTACCCCCTCCTAGACCCATTCATTTGGTTTGTACAGTTGACAGTCCAACTTCAATCCTGCTTACGTGGCAAACACCTTTGTCTTCAGGAAGCACAACACATTACACAGTGACATATTTCTTGCGAAGCAGGATAAAACATGTCCCTGTGAAGAGAACAGTTTATTCTGAGAATATTGTCTTGCGCGGACTTACTCCTGGAAGAGAGTACACAATCTCTGTTCAGTCTCACTATAAATCTGAGAAAGAGATCTTCCCTGGTGTTAGCACTGCATTCAAGAACTGTAAACTTCCATTAAGTGGTATGAAAAATCGTTTTATCACCAAATGATATAGTTTTTCCTTGCCAAAAAAAAAACCAGTAGTTGAGGACAGAATTTTGTTTTCTGAGCTTTTGCACTTTTGTTTTATTTCAGAACTAAGCTCACCTCCACAAAATATCAAATATGAATACAAGACTGTTAGAACTGTGGAACTGGAATGGGAGGCTCCCCTTAAACCTAATGGACAGCTCATCAGCTTTGAAGTTCTTTACACTTACAACAAGTCCTATCCAGATTCCATGTGGAAAAATGAATCCTACCCATTGGGGTTTTTTGGCAGTAGGGTTAAACAGTTCCATCAACGGTTATCAGGCATCAAGGAAGGGACAGAATTCTACCTCAAGATTCGTGCTGAGAATAATCACGGATTTGGACCTTTTTCTAAAACAATAACAATCAAGCCGCCCTCTGTAGCAGAAAGGGTTGGTCCAAATGTTGAATACACCATTCTGCCATCCGGTCAGGTGCAGCTGTCATGGATGTGTCCTAGAGTGTTCAATGCTTTCATTGAGAGTTTCACCATTCTTTTTTCAAACGACACACACCTAGCAGATGACAAATGGAAAGTACAGACTGTTAGTATACCACATTCTAGAAGATTTCCAGATAAAGTGACAACCACCTTGTATGTGAAGAAAATTTTCATCTATTTTAAAGTTCGTGCAGAGTATAATGATCACATTCCTGGAAAGTGGTCCAAAATAGTGAAAATTACCAAAGGTAAGCTTAATATCAACAGTAAAATTTCTCATCATACCATGCAACTGCTCTCTGTTAATGATCTTCAAAAGATAAAAGTTGTGGCTGTTAGAAATACTGATAGAAATTTTTTTTGCAATATTGCAAACCATGAGGCATTGTTTGTTCTCCTTTCCGTGCACTGAAAAATGAGTTGAAAACCCATGGAGGTGTTTAAACACCTGTAGAGTAGAGTAAATCTTCTCAACTGAAACTACTGTAAAACTATGGAGTAGTTGTAGGAGAAGATCCTAAAAGGACCAGATCAAAAAGGCTGTTAGTCAGGGAAATGTCTGTGTTGTATTTTTAGAAGATAATGGTTTCTCTAATGTTGTCTCTCACCTCCCAGGATTTAAAATGAAACCAGCTTACAGTTAGAGGGACCAAGTGAAGTGAAGGAGCAGGGTGTGGGGGGGGGGGTTACTTGGTTGGACTAGTGTTCTATCCAAGGGGTCACCTTGACTCTCAGCAGCTGAAGTAAGCTCCAGCAGTGGTGGGCTGCCTCATAGGACTGAACTTAAATGGAGGGATTTTAGTACAATGTTAGCAATTATTGAAACTTGGATTCATGTTTGGCAATTGTTTAACAGCACTGCTTCTATGCTTTTTCTTTTATCACAGAAAAAGAGCCAAAGGATCCTCCTCTGACATCAATAGAGCCGAGGCTGTCAGAGTTAAAGGATAATCCAGACAATATAAAGCTTGGTATCATTATTGGGTGCACCATCAGTGCATTTTGCATTGTAGTCCTTCTTCTCTTTATTGTGTGGAGAAATCCTTGCAGGTTAGTGAGCTTTTTTATTCTTACAGGGAAAATGAGGTTACTTTATGGTTGGTGCTCTCAACTTTATGGCATTGTTTAAGTCTTGTGTGAGGTTAATGTAATACACCCTTTCACTTCCTTGATCTCAATAACAATTCTGCACCACATTTGCAATACATTTCCCTTGTTTTGTAACTGAGTTCTATGAATGTGGGGTTTGTTCAAACAATATCCCTTGGCTTATATTTTTCCTAATTCTCGTCACCTTTCTGTCTTAATGTTTATTGATATTGTGAAGAGAAATTAGTTTTTTGGTCACTCTCGTGAAGGAAATGGTTAGAGGCTGGAAGTGTACAACTCAGTTGAAGTTCTTAAAGTATTTTATAGATTTTGCTTTGTTAAAAATTGTTATTTGAGGAAGCAAAGTCAATCAGACTGTGATTTACAGATGAGGGGATTGGTCTGAAACATAAAAAGACAAAAGTATGTAAAGCCTTCTGAATGAACATGATTCGTGAAGTGTTGGGTAGATGCTCAATAACCCTTGAGTAAATATTGATTTAACTTATATGTGCATTTTTTTAAGGCACTATGCCGCCCAGAAGAGTGAAAAGGAAACAGATGTCAAAGCATTGCCACCCATGAATGGGTATCTGCCATCACAAAAACAAATTGTTGTGTCTTCAATACAAGATAATAGTGCATCAACAGAAGAAACATCTGCCAGTTCAGGCTTGTGCCAGTGTAGATGTACATGTGGAGGTTGGTGGAGATCTATTTACAGCAATTTTGCTGTTTTTACAGGTTTATTTCATGTTTAAACTTTTCAAATAGTGAGGTTGTAGCTAATGTACACTCCACCACTAACACAGAACAATTTTCATTTGTTTTTCAGCTGGTAGATGGCCAATGGGACGAACAATGGTGAGCAAAATTTTTATTTGGATAAAATGTTAAATAGCATAACTAAGTGGATTTCACTTCCAGGTTATTAAAGAGCCAGTGCTTGGCAAACTAAACTGTTTAATTAACAAGGTTGTTTGAAAGTTTTTTTAATTCCTAAGTTATTCAGGAAATTGGAGAGCTAGTGTCTGACAGTTTTAGTAATGACTTGATTGTAGAATTAACAAGGTTGGTTAAGAGTTTTTTAATTCCTGACTTAGTAAGGAAATTGGAGAGATAAACCACCCTTTTACAAACAAAAGATAGGAAATGTGGTGTGAAGTGTATGGAGTTTTTTCCAATCTGCGATTGGTGCAGCCTCTGAATAAGAAATCACTTGACTGGGGTTTCATTTAATGCATCAGGCCAGTTTGAAAAGCCTGTACATCGTTTTGGCAGCATGGAAGTACTTGAACTTTGTTGAGATTTAAATTCAATTCTGGTTCACAGTTTTCACAGAGCGATTTCACAGAGGTAAATCTTCAATTTGGTAATACTATGTGAGCACACTATCATAATTCTATGATATTGTTTACCTGTGTTTTAGGTGAGGACTAATGGTCGATTACCAGGAAGCAGTGATAGCTCCGCACCAATAACACAGGTTTTTTCACATTCTGCATCAGATGCAAACAGGTAATGGATTTTTCAGTTAGTGATTTAACAAAACATACAGTCATTTAGCAACCTCAGTCTCTAAATCAGGTGACTTGAGGATGGGAGAATCCATAGACCCTTCGGACTGCAGATGCAGATGTATTTCCAATTGTTGTCTCCCTTGTGCATATATTTTTCTGATGGAGTAGAAGGAAAAACTTCACCCTATGTAGGTTATGGATCTGTTGGCTATCTATTAATCTAACCCGGCAGCATAGTTTGTATAGGATATTACAGTGTGTCACTTTCTTGTATGGTATAAGCAGGGAAAACTTGACGTACTGCTATGGCTTGGATGTAACAGTAGCTCCACGTACCATCCACAGGTTGCAGCTGTCGTATAACAGGCATAATTTAATTTGGTTATTTAGACGAGGTCTGGCCCAAACCGCATTTTTACGCAATCAGTGGGCCTTAGGGATTCTCTTTAAAAGGGTTGATTTAATTGAATAAATAGCCCTTCCATTATTCGCTTTCGACTTCTTGAAACTGTTCATAAAAAAGAAACGTTAAGATTTAAGGTTCGCCTAAACTGAAGTTGGCTAAGAACACGGTTTTGTTAAACAATGGCTAAACTTTATTTAAATAACCGGCCCTAAGTGTTTTAACATAAGGCGTTTTGGTCTCGTAGTGAAGACAGTGGAAGTGGGCATGATCTTCGAAGTAAAGGAGGTTTGTAATCATAGTTCATTTGTTGAGTGTCATTGTGGCAAATTTGATGTTGTGTTTCGTTTAAGAACGGCACGTTTTAATTTCAAGCAATTGTACTGCTACAGAACTCATATTTAACAGTCTGGTTTGAACTGTAATAAATTTTCCAGGCTGCATTTCTTTCGAAGGCAAACTCATAGACTGCAAATCCCTATCAGTCACCGAAAAGTCGGTATACCTTTCCTTCACTACACAGCCTTTTAATGTATTAGATATTCTCTGAATTATTGATATGGAAAATTTGTTTCAACAGTGAAACAGATATGAATGTAGCATTTTTTGATGTAGCTTCAAAACATAGCTGTGTTATCAGTCAAAGTTAATTGTGCCATTGTAGTAAGATTGGTGTTTTTAAAAGTTCACATACAGTATTTTTTTTGTTTACCGGTAACCTTGTAAGCTTTTAAGTTGGTGGTTAGCATCAAATGCCTTCTATAATATTAGCGATTTTTTACAAGTGAAGGCTGCGAGAATCAACAAATTGATTAGTAAAGAAAACGACCCTGATTTTGACCAAATTTCCAAGTTAGCTATGATAAGAAAATGGTGGCAGACCACTAAGGAGGAATGTGTACGTCGAAATAGGCTTGATTTGTGTGCTGACTTAAATGCCATTGCTCTTTCTCGTGACAGGTCATAAAAGCAATCCAGTGTCTTCATCAAGTAGTCTTTCAGTTGAATTACACAGAAATGAGGAGATACGTACAGTACCAGTAAGTGTATTTATTATATGATTATACATTTGTTATTTTAATCAGTACCAGGTATATTTAATGAGTTTATACCACGTAGTTGACTAGTTCTTTTTGCGCGCGCTGATTGGCTGGCTTGTAAGTGAAAGCCAAGGTTTAACTTTTCTTCGTGTGATTGGTCCAGAAAACTCGCGCCACTATCTCAACCAATCAGATACAAAACTCTAAACAATCGCGACTTGGTCATTTGCTCGTTTCCAAATTGATTCCTCGTTGGCTAGCGGTCACGTTAACCTTTGTTGTGATTGAGCGCTGTGACAACTTTGGTTTTCCATCAATCGAAAACTGCTCTATGGATGTTTTTTTAGATTCAGATGTCCTACCAACATTCCTATTTCTTTTCTCTAACATACCTTTCCTAGTTTTGCATACCTTTACTAGTGACGATATCGTGCATTGACGGTACACCACCTAAAAGTGTTCCTTGCTTGTTTGTTTCTTTTAGTTTTCATCAAAAAGCAAAAAGAAGAGCATATCTGTTGATGTATGAATGAACTTATTCTGTTTCGGGTGTCTGGATTCAACTCCTTCTCGTCTGGATTCAACTCCTTCTCGATGTTCATCACTGTGCCGGATAAGTTCTCTAATGTTTCACCATGAAAATCGTTTGATAAATACAACGGCATGCCCACACCCCCCAGTACATATATGATTCCCTTTGAATTCTACATCACGCTTTGGTATAACTCAATACATATTGATAAATCTCGCATAATAGGCATTTTGCATTTTTATCTTATCATATTGAAAATGCCGCAACTGGTACCTTCAGTTTCAACGGTGCTCGTTGATTTTTACATTCATCAAAAGTCTGCAAAATAGTTTCTTGGAAGACGAAGTAACCCAAAATGATACTTATTTTGAACACAATACTTTTGAACCGCCAATGTGAGTTTTTGAGTACCAATATAAATTGAAATTATCAAATCAATATGCGAACGTCTAAATTGAATTTTTCAATTGGAAACACGTAGCTGGTTTATTTTTGTACTATTTCAATATTTTTAAACTTATTGAAGGCCGAGTAACCTGATTGGCATTCAAAACTTTTAATTGAGTTATTTAATCAATATTTAAGCTTCAAAATTATTTATGTTAACTCCGGACTTGTAATAAGAGAAGCTGTAGTAAAATTGGATATGTGATTTCCAAAACATTAACAGACCTGCTGTTGATTGTGCGGGTCTTTCCTTTGGAGACTAACCAACAAACAGTTTGTTCATCACTTGCTAGCTTTCACCACACAGCAGACACTGTAGTTACATGTAAAAAATGGTCAGGAAATCTTTTCTATACCTTCCCTCACAAATGGAGAAGTATCAATTTCATATAGACTATCATCCAAATTAGACCTTGCGATCTTCATCCAAGATCCCTAGTTATGGTCGCCTTACTTTACTCTGCTCAGCTCTTATTTTCAATATTTAAGAAATCTAACTGCTATTTGTACTACTGATATTTTATCTAAGAGAGAAAATTGTCCTGTACTTTTTTGTTTTAACTAATATATTTGTTACTGTTATTGAAATTCCTCCTGTCTATATACATCAAGTTTGCTTTTCGTGAGACTTTTTTTTGAGGAAAATTAACAAGTATTACATTTTAAATATCTCGCTAAATGACCTTAGGTGAAGTTAAGAAAACAGCTTGTTAATCGCTTGCAGTGCCACTTACTTCAGCAATTTTTTTTTAATTCCAAACGATTAAGTTTTGAAAACACGTTGCCTGGATGCAGTATGCGTTACAACCGTAACCTGAGGCTTCAGTAAAAATAATATTAAATCATTATTTATTATATAATATTATCGCATTATCAACGACAGATTAGACATTTGCAGTCTGTTATAACCTAACGGAAATACGTTAATTAATGGCTGCTATTTTAACATCAAAGATAACATTGCATTGAGCAGGTCTCGCGTGCATTTAAATATTGACAGGAGGGAAAGTCTTTTCGGAGGGAAAGTCTTTTCGCAGGGAAAGGTTCAGCATCTTGACGGCTGTTCTGGGATAGTTTGAATTCCAATGTTCTCTCTACGTTAACACTTTTTTCAGGAAACATGTCTGACGGGAATATATTAGGGATGTTTGTAAATAGTTTTAAGTTCAGGTATCTTCTCTGACGAATTGAGTGTCGAAGTGATTACTGTAGTTTTCCTTCACTCTTTGACTGGTCTAGAAAACTTGCTCCATCCTTTCAACCAGTCATATTGGCCATGGTGATCACTTTGCTTTTGACACTTAATTGAAAACAGTATTACCTATCAAGCAATCCCTCATTCATATCCTCTCTTCAGACAGTCAGATTTCCTTCTCGTGTGCTTTCCATGTAGCATAGTATCCTCATTTATCCATAAAGTATATTTAGCCTTATATGTAGAGACCGAAACGACAAACCTGAAGTGCTTGCTGTTAATTCCTGCGAAGAACTTCGTACTGAATCGTAAAATACCCTGGTATTTTTCGAGTATTTTTTCGAACGAAATGAGAGGTTAATCCTCGTTTCGTTGTATTTACAGTTTTCATAGATGTATTTTTAACCCTTCTCGAATTTAGTTTTACAAGTTCTTAGCTGTTAACAGCAGGCTTATACTTGTCAGTCATTGTTGGCTACATTTAACCAGAGTTGTAAAATAGAATCTAGCTAAAGTATTACAGGTACAAAAACTTCCATCATCATCACGATAAACGTAGCTTATATACTCGCAAACTGCTATTTATGTTTTAGTTAATTCTATTATATCAATTAGCCACTCAGAATATTGCAAAAGCTGCAAAATTAGCAACCTTAACGTAAAGTTATTACTTTGATATGGAAAAAAAAAAAACGCTTTCCATGCTGATTTAGTTCCAGTTTCAGGTTAAATCGGAACTTTTCAGTTAAATTTACGGGCAGCGTTTGTAACAGAACCGATAAGGCTGCTTATTGTTTGAATTGTAAACAACCCCAGATATATTCCGCAAATAATTTGAATTTATTTTGATGCAAAGTCTCGCGGGGGGAATTACATTTCAGATTTTAAAAATGTCCATTTTTTATGGAAAATTATTGATGTATGCTTGCATTACTAACAAATTTGGAAATGTTATTTAACTTCGTTTGTAAAAAAAAAAATTCTCCGATGAAAGATTTCATATTAGTGCTATATAATATATTTTCATCATATGCATCTACCTTTGTAATTTATACTTATATATAATATATGCACATACATCTCACGCCATCGTTATTATTATTTGCTTAGTCGTTATGTTATTTTTCTATAAGCAACAATATCTGATGTGGCGATGTTACTATTTACCAGGGTAATTTTTATACTCAAATCGTCTGAGCTAGGTTTCAGAGGATAACTTAATTGTAAAATGAATATGATATATTATATATTTTAAATAAACCCTGGAAGTCAAATATCTCCTCCTGTTACGCCTGATCTATAATGACCTTTAGTTTAAGACTTAACTACGTCGTTTCGAGGCCCCTGGAGCGCTTTAGGGACTGAGGGGAAGAGAACCCTTGGAAAGAGGCTCGAGTCCGGCTAGCATATCGTTCATTCTCTCGCGTTTATATCCAGGTTCATCGTTTTGAAGCGACAAGGAGAATTGCTACTGCCGGACGTATTGTTTGTTTACATCTTGGGAAATCCCTCTTCACCCGCCCAGAGCAATTCATCACGTTGGTTCTAGTATACAATTGTACACCTAAGAGGAGAGACGTACAGTGAGTGTAACTCGTATTTTCTCTCTCCACCTTACAACTGCAGCAAAAACCAAAGATGGAGGCAGGAATTTTCCCCAAGAAAATAATGAGCATTACGCCTGCTCTGTAGGATAAGAATTAAATTGTCCACATCACTACGCGAAGTTGGAGGCACTAAAACAACTTCAATGCCATAAAATGAGAAGGAAGTTAAAATAATGTAATAATTTTATTTTTTTTTCAAAGTGAATAACGTCCCTCAGAAAACAACAGAAGTTATTTCTAGGTTACAAAAATAATTCACGATGAATGTTCATCAAATCACTGATCGAGATTAAAGTGTGATTACAAACAGAAATTTTATGAGAGTATCCTTACAATGACATCTAAAAACTTGAAAAGCGTGTAGCCATGACTAGTTGGCCACAGGAAAAAAGCCCCTTACCTATGAAGAAATTCTTAAAAATGACCTTTACAGTTTTTTATGTACAGATGTATTTTAACATATAATACAAAGAATTTTCGGAAGCCATTACACTTCCAACATTTTCCATCTGTTATTTACAAGCCTTAAATGAATTAATCACTACAGGCGTACAATTTCAATACGCTGATCGATTCAGAACTAAATTTGGCTTAATCTGTTAAAATAACTGACTCGTAGACTTCACAAGCGGGTTATCTTGATAAACTGGTCTGTGGGATTTTTAGTTTCCCAATCACATCCTTATTCCAAAACGAACAGCTTTGTTGTTGTTGTTGTTTTTTTTTTGCTTTTTATTTATTTTGTCTGTTGAGCCAGCAAGAGCACCGATCTCAGCCTCCCCGCCGTACCCCCTCCCCACTAACGTGCATGGCGCATTTTCACTCGGTGTACGGAGGAGGTGGGTCATGTCTGGAATTGGAATTATAATTGATAACGTAATCTCGGCGCGGAATGCTCATATCGACCACGTAGTGCGAACAAGGCACATCTCGTACAAAGTTCGATGGTGTTTGGCTGGCTTGAGTTTCGATGGGTGAACGTTGAATTTCTGTTGCTGCGAGTTCAACGTCTTCCTCTTCGATAACGCTGAGGTCTGTTTGCGATGTTTGAGACTGGCGAGAATTTACGGTACATTTGCCATCACCATCTGACCTGGAGTGTAGGGTGGCCTACATGAAAAAGGAAAACATACACATTACTACTAAAGTGTGCTTAGAGAAAAAAAGTACCTTCAAACTTTACAACCAAAAGAGTGCCTTGAAACAGCTCGATTTGGTGTGACCGAGAGGCTGTCATATGCACGACAATTTGATCTAATTTAGTCTGAATAAAACGCACCTTAGAACGTCTTTTGCGACACAGTAATGCCGTCTCCATGACTGCGGCCAGAATGCACGTGATCAGTCCACCACTGTACACGCCACACATGCCGTATACCAGGTCACGCAGCTTGTTTTGGATACCATTACAGTTTGCAGTGTCTCTGAAGATTATCGACACTTGTCGTAGTTCGCTGTGATGAAAGCACTTGCACGAATTCTCCACAGGGAAATATTGACAGTTGCCCATCTTTGAAAGGAGAGGCGCGATTTCGGTCCCAGTAAAAAGTGCTCCGGCGAAACAAAGAAATGCGGCTGCCACGGTGAAAATTATTGACGAAACAATCTGTGAATTGTAAATAAGAGAGGAAAACGTGAAGTAAAAGCAAAGAAAACGATAGCCCTTTAGGCAATACATTTTGTTTCATCTTCAAATTTCAAAACTTCGTGTGACTTCCGCCTGAATCGAGCAGCTAAAGTACACTGTTTACTCTTCCCCAGAATTTGTTCACAAAAGTATCACGGAATAGCATAGTATATAGAGACTTGACGACCTCACTTTTGAAATCGACGGATACACCACAATTACTTTAAACATGATAATTTTTATGGAACTGATACTGGATAAAGTTTCCAAAAGATTTCTTGTAACACATCCAATATTGCAGATATAATAAGAGAGATGGTAAGTTTTGAGCTCGGTAAGGAATTAGAGAAAGATGTTTTTCGTCTTGTCACGAGAGTGAGACATATAAAAGATTCTAAGTGCCCATGAGGAATCGAACCTCAGACCTTCGGATTCTGCGCTCCGATGCTCTACTACTGAGCCACAGATACGGTGAGCGAGGTCTATTACGAAGTTCATAGCCCAAAACTTGCCATTTCTCTTATTCTATCTAAAAACATTACTCTATCGACACATGCTGATCCAAGCAGTGTACAAGACGGCGTGTCTTGAGAACTTCGTAATAGATCTTGCCTACAGTAGAATCTCTGTGGCTCAGTGGTAGCGCATCGAAGCGCGGAATCCGAAGGTCTGAGGTTCGATTCCTCATGGAGACTCAGAATTTTTTCTCTGTCCCACGCTCGTGACAAGACGAAAAATCTTTCTCTACATCTAATATTGTTAGCGACAATCTGAAAGAAAGTACTTACAAGAAATTTACATCTTGGCTTGCACATTAACATCAGGTGAAATCCCACTAACCCAAGCTGTAGGAAAAGAAATCAGATTAACACTTTTAAGAATTGGAGCCTTATTTTTGAAATTTAACTGTTTAATCTCTAATATTGTCTAAGGGATGGAGAACAATTTAACAAGCTACAGTCGAAAATGACAAATTGTAAATTTGTAGAATTTTCGGCTTGATTTCATATTCCTTTTTTAACTCTTTGTAGTCTTCTCCACTGTGAACATGAAAAAAGACCTCTACCCTCCAGCAAAAAAAAAAAAGAGACCTTTACATTTATAGACTTGGAGTAAGAAAGTTAAGAGTTCCTAGAGCTATTTGTTGTTCGGGTGTGACCGAGATTAAAAATCCACTTCTTTGTTTCCACAAGACGGCCTTTCAAAAGAAATTAAAGCCATTTGCAATCGTTCACGTGGACGCCGACGAGAGCTGAACTTTTTCGAGGCTGTTTTGATAGGAAAATTCAGGTGTCTGAGCTTAACTAGCGAATCTCACCGAATATTTCTTGATTCCGTCGTGTAAACGAACTTTTACGTGATTGGTTTCAATCTTTGTTGAAGTGTTCGGATAAGGAAATAGAAATGCTCAAACAGAAATAAGAGGTCGAAAACCGTTAAGATCTCACCCAGATATGAAGGAAACAAGGCTTTCTTTTGCGTTTTTTATTCTTTTACCGTTTTAACGCTATTGAAATATTGGAGCTGCGTTTAAGAAACAAACACCCAAAACAACAGGAAGTTATTTTCCCTTGTCATTAGAGATAATTTCACCAAGCCGCAGTCATTTCGATTGGTCATATTTCATTTGCGGTCAAAGATCTTTATGAATTTTAATCGTTCCCAGACGAATGATTTTGCCATTCATAAACCCACAAACAATTTCTGAGCTTTATCAATGGAAATTTAAGACATTTCTTGCAGTCATCGTCTTAAAAACCTTATTACCCTTTACCAGATTTGGTTTGCTGCAAGACGCAACATGTGTTTTCACTAGCTACGCATCGAAACACATGTTTTTGAGAGCAGGTGGTTTTTTATCACCTAGAACCGCAAGTGTTGATTCAATTTACAGTCACAAAAAGAAGCGAAACAATACAAATGTGCCGTGTTTTCTAATTTGATTTGATAGAGATCAATTCGTACAATGCAACAGGTTGGAATATAGGAAACTTAACCAATTGTTTTGTGTTCACCAACTCTGTTAATGTGATGATCATACAGTGTATTGGATAAATCTTTTCTCTCTTTTTAATTAACCTTACATTCACCTTCCGAAGTAAAACAGAATTAGGTAAAAAAGTGACGGAGGAAAATGTGAAACAATGGACTGTTTCATAACCTTAAAGTTTACATGACTAACATTTTTTTAAGACTACCTGTTACTAAAAGCTCTTTGATTTCACTTTCCTAAAACGCACACATCAATACTAATACTGCCCTTGTCACACAGAAGAACACAACAGTTTTGCAATAAATCCCCAGTTTCTTTGATTTGTTTGACGCGGAACAGTTGTTATTCTTTATTTCCGCGTTTGATACAGATACAAGGTTAATCCAATCTTCCGTTTCCCTCCTGTTCAATTAACAGAGGGTTTAATCTTTGTTCTTCTTCGAGCAAGACTTGTTTGGCAAAATTCTCTTATTTGAAGTCACGAACAGTCTTTTTAAAGATCAATAGAACTTGCATGAGGCTCTCAGAGAACGCGCTATCACTCCTGAGGAAGGCTCCTTTTCAATTTAAAATGAACTTTTTCCTTTCAAATGTTTTTTCTTATCAAGCTATACTTCCTTCGCATACTCGTTTTTTTGGTCAAGAAAGTGACTCTTAAACTGTTCAACAATCAATATAAGACGAAGGATTCCTTCCAAAACAACTCACTCAAAGATCTGCTTAACTTCATACATGTAGGAAAAAGAAACCCCAATTACACTTCGAGGATCAAAACAGAGAGGTTTTCTTCACAATCTGTTGATTAGTCTTTCTCATGCAAATACAATGATATGAGGGCACGAGGCTATATTAACCTGCGATGTAAATTAACACGTGCAGCGACTTAAGCTAATAAACATGATTTGATCTTCCGATCTAAAAGTGCTACATGCAAAAGCTTGAGAGTTTCCGGCAGCGGGCCAAAGCTTTTTACCACCGCATTGAGCATTGATTATCATAATAAATTTTGACATTCCTTTTATCCTCCGGCACTCACGTAACAAACAATTCATTTACAAATTATTTCTTTTTCACTTCAAAACATCAGACTTTTCGGCGATAACTAAGGACGCTTCGTTTACCCGTTTGCTTGTTAGGCCGTTCTTTTCTTATTTTTTGATCCACTGGGAACAGAAAAGGTTAGAATTTGGCACCCTGAGAACGCCCCAAGTGAATCAATGTCAATGGCGCTTTTAGCTCAAATGCGCGTGATATTGTACAAGGAAAAACAAAGCGGTTAAGTGTATCATTCACTAACCACGCGTTTTTGGCATGAGAACAATTGCGTTTCACTCTTGGCACGTGTCTATGGAATTGCGCCTAAAAACTCTTTCATCTCCACTCACCGATCAAAAGTGAGTTTCAAAGCAACATTTGGTTGATGAAGCAAACAGGTAAACACCACGGCAAGACACAGAATCTTTTTCTTTTTCTCAGCGTGGGCTCCATTTTACAATACCCTAACATAAGTAAAGGTGTTGTTTACGATTTATACGCACGCGCCAGAGTCACTCCAGTTCTTTTGTTTGTTTCGAAACTTGCATCGACTACACCCAAAATAAAAGGTTCCTTTCTTCTCCCGCGCTGAATTGGTTGCAGCTGAAAATTTAACCCTTTTTCGCGCATTTAATCCATTAAAATCCACTAAAGTTTTGAAATTGCGAAGTTCGGAAGCTCGATATGCGAAATTTGTCAAAATCTAAGCCCATTGAATATGTATAAGCGTCAGGCACTTGTCTATATTTGCACAAGATACTAATGTGCTTTACTTAAACTGTTGTGTAATCCTTTCCAAAAACGCATCAAATGAACACTTTTCGAACCATAAATCTTCACAGACAAACGAAGTAAAAAAAAACAAAGTATTTGAGGAGTTACAGCAACTCTAAATTCGTAAGGCATTGTTCGTCAGTTACGAATTTCTACAAGTGTAGCAAAAACGCCAGGTAGATTTGAAACTCCGTTTTTCCAAACACAAGGAGTGTTGATAACTGTCACATTAAAGTCGAGCGTTGTTTTCAATGTGAGCTGATTTATGTACTGCTTTTGAATTAAATATATTGCTATCAGACGGTTAACACTGCCGTATAATAAATATCCAACTGCCTACGGTGTTAATTCGTGACTTGGGAATTTAGGGGAACACTTCAAACAAGAGTTGTAACGAACTGAACGGCAGTTGGATGTTCGAATTACCATATTTTACTACAGAGTGCATAAATAAACTCGAAGAACAAATTGCGGTGGTAAGCCTTACTGTTACATAATTTCTGTTAATACCATTGTTACGAAGATCTAGTCTTGTGGCAAAGAGATTTATGTTCTTAAAAGAAATAAAAACAATGAACGTACCAATGCGCCTGTAACATAGGATGGTATCAGCCCTTCTGTATGGTACGCAGAGGATGTTACTCCGTGGATGCTAAAATAACCGATTCCAAGAAGACATCCAATGGAAAGAATTGTAAAGCCAAGAAGCGGGAGTGCCACAAGTCGCTTCCCGCAACACTGACAACTGTTGCCTTTCTCTGTGCTTCGATGGATGACAACATCTTTGGCTCGTAGCAGCTTTTGGTCAACGGAGTGAGTGGGCGCAGACCTTGAACTTTTTGGTGATGGCATGATTCTCACTGTTCACGATTCACTGGCCACGCGTCTACTGCCGCGAAATAATTCCACGCTTCTCACTTCCCTCGTAGTAAATTCTTCCTGAGTAATTAAAAAAGGCGGGAAAGCAAGATTTCAGGCCTTTACCCTCAAAATATTCCCTCTAGTGACTTAGGATGTTCGTCCAAGATGCTCTAGACGGTGTCTTAGCGTTGTGTTCAATTACCGTCGAAAATTGCCTTTCTTCGGGTTCTTAGTGTGTTCGATTCACTGCTAAAGAGCTCGGGGCTGTTTTGACGATGCCAATGAGTACTGCCAATGTTGTTTCTAACGTATTCTTTGTGACGTCTCTCATTGTGTGTACGGCTGAATGGAAACCTGACACAGTTGAATGGGCTGCACGAGGCGCCAATCTAATCATTAACATAACACTGGTTGTCCAATTTAATTTATGTGCTCACCGAATACCTATTCAGCTGAAGTTTAAACAGGTTACGATGCGCAGGTGGCGATGATCGGGGAAAGTAATCGGACAAAGAAATCAGGTGTTTCTGAAGAAAAAAAGATCACGGATTATTGCCAATACTACCTGTCGTAACCTTCAGGATCGAACAGGAAAATTAGTAAAATGTGATCCAGACCTAATAACAGAGATTTTGAAATCATACTGAGTGCGTAGTTGAAAAGCTTTCAATATCAAAACCACTCTACTCCTTACAATGACATTACAAAAAATTATAGTTTACTACAAGAAAAGATTGTAAAGTGTTCTCCTAGCTTTTTAATTAATCGTGCCTTGTTACACTGAAAGGTTTTTTTAAATGAATTATTGGGTTTTGTTGCTCCGTTTTATGAAAGGCAATTTACTCTCCTTGGCTCGCTCATTTCGTGCAATTTGCTGCTATTGGTAATATTGATAAGAAATATTAATTAGCGGAACCAGATGAGCTGATATTTCTCTTAAACCTGAAATACGGTATTTAACCAAATAAACATGATCGACGCGGACAGATTTCCTAATTAATTGCTCCATTTTAAGGAAAATCGTTTATTTTGAACGATAGATTTGTTTGCTTTGGTAACTATTGTTCGTAGAAAAACCTACGCTGCGAAATTAAGTATCAAATCATTAAGTTTTGTAGAGTTAGGAAATTGCAATTTACAAAGTAAAAATGGAACGTTTCATGTTCCCTGACTCACTATGCAGACAAATGAATGTTGCTAAAAGTCTTTGTTTGCCTCTCGAGCAAGACTGAAACGTAAAAAGAAAGTTTCGCAAGGCTTCCTGACAGCTATTTTTTAATTTGGTATTTCCTTCGAAGTGAAAATGTACTTCAGGACGTGATAATGTTACGAGAAAAAGCGCACGTTCTGATAAAGGCACAAATTGCAAATTCCCGTAATTAGCAAAAGCGCTAAAAAACAGCGTCCTATCTAAAAGTCCAAAAAACTTAAACAAGCTGAGATTTATCTCGGTCATGTCAATAAAACGACGCATCTGCCAATTAAGGTCCTTGTTAAGCGATGTCGATATAACGCCGTTAGTACTTGAACGCATTTTTTGTTCAATTAGATAGCGGTACACTTTGCCAAGTTTATCAAGTATTGGCCATCTTATCCGGCCAGTTCGGCATTGCTCAGTCTTTTTAGTTGTGGAATAAATAAAACCCATAAGTTTTTCCATTTTGTGGAAGCCCATGTTTTCGTGATATCGATTGTTGTTCAAGCACTTAGCGACTAATGTTATGGCATCACTTTGCTGCTAGGTTAATAAGTTCTTGGTATTTAATATTGCGATCATGCGTCTTTTCTGTTCCTATTGTCCGCGATTTCCTCGTCTTAATGTGAAAATGGCGACGCCGAAAGTCTGTTGTGAGAATTAATTACGAACAGCTAATGATAAGTCTTTGTTGCGGTTATCGAAATTGGTTAACAGGATTGGAGACGGTAGCTGTTTTATGCTTTGAACAAAATGAACAAAGATAGACACACGAAAGTAATTCAGTGCCGGCAAAAAATGTACAAATTAGCTAAATGAAAGAATTGATGAACTCGTAAGACAGCCAAATATGATTATCGAAACGATGAAACTGGAAAGAAGGAATTTAAAGAACCAAGGATGATTTTAAGGACATTAGGGAAATGTAACAGCCTCTGCTCTTTTTTCGGTGGGTCGATATCTTTTGTAGACAAGAAATCGGACAAAACGTTTTTTTTTCTTTGTAATAACCATTGTTCATTATATTTAGTTACATGAGGCATGTGATTATATTGGCCATTTGGGATTACTCTGCTTGAAAAGCGCGAAATTTTGAATCTGTTAATTAAAGAAACGTTTGAAAAATCCTGCATCGGTTTCTACTTCAATTAGCCACTTAGAGAGATGTTAACTTCAAACTTCACCAATAACGACTTCTACTGGTACCGGCTCGAGAGCATAAGTCAAGCGAGGGCAAATGATCACGATTTCACAACTATTGGCTGTTGCAATCGTGCATACAAAGTTATTCAAATATTTACATTAAATCACATTGCGCTTGACAATTTGAACATTGACAAGTAGGTCGATGAACCTCCATTGTTTGTTTCTTCAAAGAAGACTGACATTTCGTTTTCGCACGGAACAATTGTGTGACATCCCATGCTGGATGTTTTAGTCTAAAGGTTATATAGAGATAATCAAACCGTCACTTTCTAAGCTTAGTACTCAAACTAACGTATGTTACATTTAGTAGTTCTTGATATTTTTCGGTTTGCTTTAAATTGGTTGACCGAAGAAGGGAGAGTTGTCTAGACATCAAATGCAAGGCGCAAGCCGCGTAAGATTAATCGTGTGTTCTGACTTCTTGGACATCGAGCTTTCAAACCGATCTCTTAACCACCTGCAGAAGTTCTATGCTCTGATCAATAAATATACTGTGGCAAATGCGGCAAACAAAGGTGACACGTTGCATTTTTCCTAACTCCTTCTCAGTTTAATTTTTTCGCTCAGGTATTTTGGCGCGAAGAAATCAAATGGTAGTCCATTTCTTTCAACAACAGTATGCATTTTAAAGAAAGAGAGGAAATTGACTTGATGAAGTAATAATATTTGTCAACATATCATTCAAAATGCGCGTCGTAGGTGAATTTAACATGTAAAGTTAGGCTTTTAATTTCAACCGTGAATGAAATTTATTTCTGATACGCATCAGTGATAACACTTACATGGGTGACTGTGTTGCATTTGAATTTGGAAAATTAGCTAATAAACAATAGTCAAGTGAGTTGCTAAAAAACTCATAGAGCTCGCAAAATAGCGTCAGGTTTTTCCTTTGATTTACGACGCAGATTAATTTGATACAGAGTCGAAAACAAAGTCCGTACCGAAGGAAAATGAATCTTTTTTATGTCTCTAATCTCATAGGATGCCTATCTGATCGCTAAAAACACTGACCGCGGCTTCATGTAATTTTATTGTTGATGGGGGTACCTGCGACAAAGTGGCGGCAACATTACGCAGTTATAAGCTAAGGAAAACAAGTGTTCTCGAACATGTGATCATTTGAGCGTGATCAACAGGTATTACATTGACGTTAGAAACAGCCCGCCGTCCAGTTCAAGACACACGTGCATTCAGCTGGTGCTGCGTGATGGGAACTTGAAATGAGCAGCGTTAGGTTTTATTTAATCCAAAGAGCAAACAAACGGAGAAACTTGCTGTATAGTTTTCAAGTTGAATATACACAGATTTGTCTGTACAAATAATGTCTTATGGTTATTGCTTGGAAAACGTGAGCTCATAGAGACGGAGGTTTCAGCAAGAAATAAATCGCTCAAAGGGATTTAGCTTCATGTATTGTTAACAGCCAAATATAGATGCTCTATTATTCGCCTTAAATGATACCGAAGTGAAAAAAGTGATTCACTCAGCACAAGATGCGAGAACATAATCGAGTTATAAGCCAACATGACTTTCCACTTTCAGGTTTATTCTTCTTTTTAGTTGAGTTGGTTGGTCCTCGTTTATTCTTGGATTTCTACCATAACCTGAAATCCCTGTTTTTTTCTCTTCAAAGGCGTTTTTGTACAGGATGTCGGCCTCCTAAACGAAAGAGTTCTTAATCAAACAGGATCAATGTGAAAAGCCACTCTGAAATGTTTGTGTGAATGCTTAAAAAACAAGATTCAAACAGTGTGAGAAAATGTTCAACACAAATAAACAACTCAAACGACAGATGCCTCCAACAGGTCAGCAATTACAAAAGATAATTCGCTTATTAATTTTACTTTCAATTGAGAAACAAATACCGATGACGCACGTGCCCTTGTGCATTGAAAGAACAAGTGACCTTCATGCCTCATGTACATTTTAATTCATTTGTCTTTATTGTCAATAGTTTTTCATGTTCTTGATTTCTCAGTCTAGCTACGCGTGTGTTTTGCATAGTGAGGAGCGCGCCAAAAGGTTACCTGCTAAATGAGCAAGGTTACTTGCTTTCATGAACCATATTCCTTCATACTGGTTTTTTATATTAAGTATTGTCTGAAAGGTATGACAGATCTCCCTGGTTTGAGGTTTAAAACAAGATTTTCTATCATGCAGTATTATATCATTGATGATTATGCTAACGGCTGGAGAAAACAGAGAATTAGTCTCAATGTCAACTATGTCAACTAGATAAAAAGAATAGCAATATTCTCTCTTCGCCCAATTTCATATTATTTGACTTTTTTTCAGCTGATGGTTGTCTAAGGTTTAGCAAAACAAAGTGATACCTCAACAACTAAACTAAACTAAACGTTAACTAAGCTGGTCCGCAGTTTCCGTATTAACATAACTTCGCCCTTCAAGTCTGGTAGCGAGCTGGTTCAGATATATTATAACGGAATCTAAACATTTGTGCTCAACAGTAATAAACAACTGACTTCTCAAGACCACGTCAGGTGCAACTTAAAATAACACAATTCAATTATTCAGTTTAATCTCTCTCATATAACCAATGCACATGTACGAGTAAATGTAACCACCAGATGACTTTCTTTACAAACATTCCAATTCTTGATGGACCCTTTTGATGTTTAGAGAACTTAGCAGGTTCTTACCAGTTTAATTACACGTGTGCTAAGCAGGGAACGGAGAGTGCCGAAATGAGGTTACCTGTTGTAGAACCGAGATCTCAAACTTTCCCACGCCTTAACTGGAACGGGTCTTTGGGTATCACTGATGAGCTATCCCAATGTAAAGAAAATTGTTCTTGTCAATCAAGACAAGCGGATCAACTTAACTTTGATGACAATAGGTTTTGTTAAATAATTAAAAATGGCCGTTAAAGCCATTTTGGAACAATGGTGGCAACAGCTTTAAAATACACGCGAGATATTTCAAAATTATTATACTAGCGGCAAATTTGAACCATCGACAAGGCTGAAGAAAAGACAAATCCTCCCCATGAGGGGGGGGGGATGATACTGGTAAGATTCTTTTGATGCAAGTAGTAACGGCGGGGCGAACGGTGGCCAGTGGAGGTGACTCTTGCCGCCTTGAAGCAAAGACTATTCATCATAAGTTTGCTATCGCCACTGTTTTCTTTAACATTTCTTTAAACTGGCTACATAAAAATGGCCAAATTTTTGCTGAAAAGGCCCGCCATTGTCGAAAAGATGCCAGGAAAACAGTGTTTAACGCTCACTCACGGTAAATTTGCTTCGAGGGGAGAGAGGCTCCTCGCAGTTTTAGTGACTCCCATGGCCTAAGGAAAGGGTAAACCCACTTTGTGCTACAGTGTCAAGGTAAACTTGTAATTTACCAAGTGCAAGATGCCAACTTGCTGGTTTAGTATTCTCTCAAATTTCTGGATTTCTGTGTTGGAATAACAGAGCTTGCCATCCCATGTGCCTACGTGTTTAATTCGTTGTATACCCAGGGATCTCACCTGATCCCCGCCTAAGGCTCTGTATTATTCTTATGATTCCCCCTCTCTAGCCCCCCCCCCCCCTTTATACTCTGTTGGGGGCGACTGATCCCCCTCTGTTGCCCCCCCCAAAACCATGTACCTTCCCCCAAATCCCCCTGGCCCCAAGGCGACAAATAAAGACTGGTCCCCTGATGATATAGTAAAAAGGCAGATCCACTTTGTATTGCAGTGCCTCAGTACTATTGCCATTTACCAAGTGCCAGGTGCCGAAAAGTTGGTTAAGTATTCTCGCCAGGATTGCCGGATTGTACGTGCATAACTTGCTGGAGAAGATGGGCAGCTAAGGACTTGCATGATTTTCGCTGCCTCCGATGCTTTCCAATCTCGTAGCCAGAGCCCCTCTACTTTTAACCCTAGAAGAGGTAGGACGAAGAGAGATCTAGGAACGAGCTTGGCTTCTTCCGCTTGATCTTAGCCTGCACAGCAAGTGCAGTTTTGGCGAGTGAGCTTTTTAGTCTTTTCTTCGTGAGGCAGGCTGGGGCGAGAAAGAAATTTGCACTAAGGGGGTGAGTGACGGTCAAAGGGAATGAGAGGGGAGAGGATGGGGCAATAGGAATTAAGGAGAAAATGGTAGAAAATCTCTAACATAAGTCAAAATTAAATTGCCAAAAGCTAATTCAGATGGTAACAGTTGATTTTTACCTAATTCCTTTTCTCTTCCGTGGCGGACTAAGCTGGGTCAAAAGATTTGCTCGCCGTCCGAAACTTTTGCGCTTTATTGTGCGTATTGTTAAGACAATTGTTCATCTTCAAGAAAGAATGAACAGATAGCTTATGTCTTGATACTCCGAAGAATAACATTTGAATAAACCAGGTTTTTTCGCAGATATAAATTGGTAAGTTGCATTGGATTTTTGGTCTTGTTAAAACCCTACGTACAACAGTGGGCATTCCGTAGCAGTCACGCAATGAGGATTGCTTAATTCGTCAATGCCCCAAGTGTGGAACAACTGCCCATATTCGGTTCATTTCCCCTAAAAATGATATCCTCAGAGGCTTTCCGAAAATCACCCTTCTTGCCACAAGCTAAAACGCGTAATAAAACTCCGACCGTCACTAATGGTAGAAGTTGCTTTCTTCTTGGTCACACAACACATTTGAAAGCAGCCCTAGCTCAAGACACGTGCACAGTGAGTGTTTCAGACAGTGTTTTTAACCACGTGATCAATTTGAACCAATGAACGAAGAGATAAATTATCGCGTAAAATTTCATGGCACCGGACTTTCACACAATTGGATGCAATTTCCTGTACTTTCCCGGGAGCTGAGTTATGCATCTGTTCCTGTTAGTATAGTCGAATCTAAGTGCTCGAATTGATAACCGAAGAAGCCTCCAGACACCCTTGCATCTAAAGCAAATTTCAACAATCGTTTGCAGCCGCCATATAACTCAAAGTCAGCTCCCATTTGGCCAATCAGGCTTCTAGAGGAAAAGCAGAGAGGAACTTGTGACGAGTCCGTAGAAGGCCTGTCGATAACTGTGTTTTCTGCTTATGGCTGATAGTTCACTCTCGTGTTGCGAAATCTTCTACAATTTGAATCTTACCAAGGTTAGTTATCCTCTAAATGGCACTGGACGACTCTGAGTTATTTAATTCTTTTAGTCTCCACTGTAATCTCCAGTGTTACGTGCAGTCATGTAAGAAGCTTGTTTTTCAAAACATTCTCAACCTAAGCTTTTTTTAACTAATCCTTAGTTCAAATCATTTTGTTAACCCTTTAACCCCTAACAGTGACTGGCATCTATTTTCTCCTTACAAGATCACCCCTGATTAAAACATTAAGGTCATGAGAATAAGGGAAATGATCAATAACAAAAGAAGCTGTTGATTGTTAAACACATTCTCCTTTTTAGAACCTTAACCCTTTAACCCCTAAGAGTGATAAGCATCTAATTTCTCCTTACAATATCACCCCGAAATAAAGGGAATGGTCACCAACTAGAGAAGCTCTGGATTGTGAAACAAATTCTCCTCATCCACACCTTTGGAAATGTATAGGGAACAGTATGGAGAATATGCATACTGATGTTAGGGTGGAAAGGGTTAAGAAATGTATAGGGGAAGTTTGGAGAATCATATGCACACTGATCTTAGGTTGTAAAGGGTTAATGAAAATAGACTATGAAGACTACGATTATTTATTCAGAGCTTCGTTCACCATTATTCCCTGAGAGCAGAAGCTTATAATCCTGAGTTTAGGTCATAAACTTCTTCCCAGAGTTAATTCCTGAGGTAATATCTGCGTCTTTAACACTTTAACTCCCTGAGGTGATTAACACATAATTTTATCCCATAATATTCATACATTATCCAGCAAGCAGCTAATGACAATACTCAAACTTATCAAGCAGAAGTTGTTATCTTGATCTAACACCAAATTCTAGAGATACTTTACAAGGAAATGCATGGCCATTAGAGGAGAGGATAAACAATCAGATCACGAGAGTTGAAGGGTTAATATGAGCTCGTAAGGTTACTGTCAACAAAATCTGGTCAAAATTTTCAAAATTTTGTCACTCTTTAGTTGACAAAGTAGTTAAGTTTAATTTGCTTTAAAAAAATTTTGGTGAAGTCCTGAAAAGAGATACTGCTGAAAGATTGTTTTAGGGGAACCTGTACCAAGGAGTGAAAGGTGTCATAATTGGAAAGGCCTCCAGCAGAGTATTAACATTTGCTGCAGGCTTTCATCTGGGATCTTGATCTTCCATATTTTGTTTACAAACTGTCTTGTGCTGCACAACAAAAGGGAATTTCAAGCACATTTCGTAGAATATTGAGAAATAAGAGTCTTCATCAAACGGCCAAAGATAGATAGTTGCAAACAATAAGTTTTTTTCCCTTGCTTGCTTTTCCCACTTTTCCTTCTTCTTTTCCTGATGAATTTTGGATTTTGTTTAATTTGTGCTCCTTTTTTGCAATATCACCTTCCCTTGAATTTCAAAGGAGGTCTTTGTCATGAGACTTGCTAGGGAGTTCAATCTTGCATTTCATTGGTAGGTGGCATCCTCACTTTAACACTTACTTGATTGAGGAGCAAAAATTGTGAACTTGTTTGGAGGCCAAAAACTTGAGGTTTGTTTTTATGCAAGGTACCTCTACTTAAACGAATTAATAGGGTACGTAGATTTGTTGGATTTTTATGAACATTTTCCAGAACGTTTGTCAGATATTAATGCACCAAACTGTTTGAGGCTTTAACTAAATTTGAATTATTCCTTTTGTAATGTCCAGGAGTGTGGTAATATATGTCCCACTTCAAAATAGATTTTCTCAGGAACCATTAGGAATATCAAAAAAAGGCTTGCACTTTGTTAGGCTATTATCTGCTGAATGATACTGTTCATTTTGTTTTGAGGTCCGTGGTAACATGGAGGCTGGAAATTCAGTAAACCAAACACTGTCAGTGTTGTGTGCAAAAGTTTGCACACACTAACCAAAACAAAAACTGTGAACAATTTTGTTATTTTCAGAATCTACATCTTATAAGCTTTACAGTGATATCTAGTTTTCTATGGTTTCTTTAAAAGTAGCTTGTGCTTGAAAATTTTTCCAGAAGGCACCGTATTTTGTTTACAGTAACCTTAACAAAGCAGAAAGAATGTCTATGGTCCAAGATATAGTGTTACACAACTTAGATTATTTCAGTCCTCTGTGCAAGTTTGCACTCCTGCTATAGTCAGAGTTATCATCAAACACAACTTAAATTATTTCAGGGTAATTTAGTCTCATCAACTGAGTTGATAACATAAATTGGCCATTGTAAATAGTTAAAAGGGTGACATTTCAAGCATTAGCCCTTCATCAGAGTGATTGAGAGGGCTAACGCTTGAAACTTAAGCCTTTTAACTCTTTACGGTGGCCAATTTAGGTTTTCAACTCAGTTGTTAACATTGAATTACCTGCTAACCCTTTCACTCCCAGATGCGATTAACAAGTAACTTCTCTCTACAATATCCATGTACCATCCAGCAATATAAATCAGGCAAAAGTCATTATCTTGATCTAACATCAAATTCTCGTAACTGATTGACAAGGAAATATCTAGCAGTTAGAGGGGAGAGTTAACAATCAGATCTTGGGAGTTAAAGGTTTAAATTATAGACTCAAGTTTAGGTAACAGCATAGTATTTGAATTAAAGGCTGTTCACTACTTAATAGACAGATCAATTTTATAGTGTATCCTTTATTTCTGGACTCAGTCAGCCAGTTATGCTGTGCAAATTTTTAATTGCCCTTTTTTTTTCTTTCAGATGGTTAAGCCACTTGCTGAAGCAGCCAGTGATTTTCCAATTTTCTGGAGAAACTCAGATCTTTGGTTTGCAGCTTTTTGCATTATGTTTAATCCTTTCTTCTGGAATGTTGTGAGTTTGTTTTTGCTTCTCTTTGGGCAAGTGCTGTAGATACCCATAGGTATCAATAATTGCTTGGCTTGTCTTGTAGCAGCCCTGACATAATGTTAGAATGCTCTTTATCTTTCATTGCTTTTCCTCACTTTTTAGCACTTAGTGACAGCTATGAGTATTCAATATCTTGTGACACTGAAAACTATTCAATATTTGTGTAATACTTTCAGAGTTAACAAAATCGGCAAAATTTACTGATGGATCAATACTTGAAATCACCTAAATTTGAAAGAAAATGAAATCTTATCTCAGATTTGTGAAATTTTATTATCAGAAATTGCTTGCTTTTGATTACATGTACTTTTAAGATGAATTTTGAAAGTAATCATTTATCTGTGCCAACAAGAGAGTACCCATTTTAATCCTGATACCTCCAAGTGAAATTTGAAAAGAGTGTTTTTGCTCAGATGTGACAATTTTCAACTTCTCTGTGCTTAATTCACATGCAGGTAGCACGATGGGAATACAGAACGCATGCAATCACACATTGGTTTGGTTCAGCTGAGAGAGGCTGCTACGCACTTGCTGTTGTTATTTGTCTTTTGGGATTATTTAGAGATTACCGGTAAGCATCTCTCTAATCATGCTGTCATTAATTTCAATGTACAGACCTTGGATTACTAGCCATTTTACAATGCAAAGCTTTCTTGTTCAAATGAGTAACTTTAAAGTACTGTTATGGTTGCTTAGCTGTTTTGTATGAGTTTGTAATTTGTAGTTTTTGAGATTTTTTACTGTATGGGAAAAATGATAATAATAGTTTTGATTAAAAATTGGAAATCTAGGAAACTGTTTAAGGTGACTTTGAATGGTGTTTTACAGATTTGAAGAGGCCATCTCTGGCCAGCCTATTGCATTAGCCATGTGCACTGAGAATGTTCGTATTTGTGGCACTCTTCTTATCGTGGTTGGAACAGTTCTTGTCCTTAGCAGTACATGGTCACTGGGGATTGTAGGAACATTTCTAGGTTCAGTTATTAGATTTCTATAATCTGTTCTATTGATTTAATTATATCTCTTAGTCAGTACAGTATGTGCACTATAATAATTATTGATCAATGTAATGAACTGTACTCCAGTGTATGGCCTGCTAAATTCAAAATCTTCTCCCTCTTTTTGAATCCAGAGATATGATAAATATCTTGCTATGAATGTAAACTTGTTTCACGGTCCACACCTTAAGTTACAGAACCTCGATTTTTCTGCTCTGATTTAAATGTATGGTTTGGGCTGTATCTTAAACTAAGGACCTTGAACCCCATTTGTAAGAGGTACATATTAAATATCAGTTTGCATTAAATCTCACTCTTAATACTCAAATAGTAGCCTAAGATTTTGCATGGCCTAACTTTTACCTCAGAGGTACTGGTTAAGTTCTTCTACCAACAGTGTTTTGTGCCTTCTATAGATAAGCATCATATTAAATCCATTCAACCTAAAGAATTTATTTCTGAAAAAATTTACCCCAAAAGGAATTGAGAAGAACTTTGTATCTTTTGCAATTTTTGTTAAATGTACAAATTTATTTCTTTGCAGGGGATTATTTTGGTCTTTTGTTGAACAAGAAAGTCACACATTTTCCATTCAATGTCATGAACAACCCAATGTACTGGGGATCAACTTTGAACTTCTTGGGATATTCATTAAGGTAAAAATTGTTTAGACATAAATACTGATATCCTGGAAAACCAATCACAATATTAATTTCTTGATTTACTCAATTGGGTGGACTCGCTCTTCATGACTATTTTATTAATCCTGTAACTCTTAGCACCTTATCTTAATCAAGCCTATAACTCCTATTCAGATCCTTCAGGAGTAGTGGAGAGATTTTTCTCTTACTTCTTGATATCACCCTCTGATAAGTTGGCCAAAGTTTTGCATGGTGATTACACCATTCACTGGTCATTTTTTCTTATTCCAAATGAATTCAACACTTTCAACATTTTTTTAATTAAAGAAAGCAGTTCTGATTTTGTAGTTGTGTGTAACATTAGGTTTTCTCTGATACATCTTTTTTTCACCTTTACCTTAATATTTGTTATTTTGATGTTGGGATAAATTTTACTTTGATTTGTTTTAACATGTGAAAGATTATTAAATTTTTTCTTCTTTTTTTGATAGACAGTGCAGCCCAGCAGGTGTACTCTTAACTACGCTAGTTGCCATTTGTTACAAGATAGCTTTATTATTTGAGGGGTATGTCCGTTTGTCAGTAGATTCAAGTCTAACAGTGAATTGGTGGTGTAACTCAACATCCAGATTACCTATTTGCATTTGACTTGTAATTTAACTGTATGGTCTGGGAGTGAGTCATAGTTTGGTCCATTGGTAAACTTGACATGGGTGGAAGCGCAGGGCTTCAACTTGGTTTCCAGACCAACCCCCTTTTTCTTTCCCCGTCCCCCCTCCCCCTCCCCTCTCACACACACACACACATACATTGTGATTGATTTCAAGGCCTAGTTTTTCATTGATGAGACATAAAATGAATTTTTTTTTCAGGCCTTTCACTGAGAACATTTATGCAGAAAAGAAATTGAGAGAAGAAAAGGAGGAGTGAAAATGGATAAATTATGATAATTTATTTTGATCCCACTATGTTATTTTAATGTTTATTTACTAGCTAGAAAGTAAAGCAGACATTTGTATGGATGTCAGCATAAATATAAAATTATTGCTATGTTTTGGTAAAGTTAAGAGGACAAAGTAATTTTGTACCCACTGAAGGTTTTAAACAAGACCCCTAAAGAGATTGTGTAGGGACTACTTTCAGGTTAGACCTATAAATGGTTTACAAGTAACACTAACCAAGAGAGTTGGTGGAAATTGAAAGAAAAATTATTAGTAAAATAATATTACTCGCACAAATGTGTATGCTGATAGAACTTACATTTGTTGAGTGTGCAACTCTTTTCATTGCAAAAATGACACTCAGTCTGGTAATCTGAAATTATGGTTCATAGTCAGAGATGATTATCTACCTCAAAGGGACTTACTGCTGTAATTTCTTTGTATGATCTTTTCTAAGTAGAAGCACAAGGCCAAGCTAAACTTTGCAAGATGATTAAATACATGATCTTATTTAGATGTTTGTATAAAATAATGTTGACCTTGTTGTGGGAAATATTTCCAGTTACATCTGTGTGGATAGTTTGGAGTTTAATTATTTTTTCATGGAATCACATTTTTGAATTTCTGAGTACATTATTTAGCATTGCTCATTAATATGTGAGTTCGTAGAATGTTGGGTATGAAAGTTGTGCTCAATATCCAGGTCCAATCTGTAGTTTTGTAAAGACTTAATTGTTTACACTGATTAAAGAAAGTTAAGTTTTACTTTAGTGAATGAGGTTATCAGTTAAATTGATGCGAACCATTAAGGTTAGAAAGAATCAAAACTGTGTTTTTCCATTAAAACTTCCATGGCTTGACCCTGACTTTTATCCCCCTGAGCAGAGCACTTGAGAAGAGAAATACATGCTTTGCATTGTGTTGTAATTTTAGTGAGTTTGAGGACAGGAGAAGAAAGATGAGGAAAACTGCAGGTAGTGTTTTTCTTGTTTCTTATGTGTTCTTAAAAAATCCAACAACACTGCATGCTTGGTGTCTAAATGTAACTGAGCTGCACACTGGAATGGCAGAAATGATCATAGAATACAACTTTTGTTTTATTAAGCTGGATTTTCTAACTCATCACTTTGTCTGAATTAACTGTATCATGTTATCATGAAGTTGTACATGAAAAAGAAACAGATGAATAAAGTCTGAATGAGAATTTTATATTGAACATGTGGGCTTAATGAAATTGTCACAAATATGGCTCTAAAATTTGGGCTTTGCACAATTTTCTTTTCCTAGTTTGTTTTGTTTTGTTTTATTTTTTGGGGGGGTTGGGGTTGGATTATTTTTTCAATTCAAACCCCACATACAGTTGAAAGTACTATTTCAGTTTACAGCTTCAGTAAAGTCAGATAAAGTAGACTTCCTGATAGACAGGGTTAGATCCAGAATTTCAGGAAAAGAAGTCTGAAAAAGGCACCTGTGATGATGACTCCATCCATACTCATGTCTCCTTTGCAGCCGTTTCTTTGAATGTGGCCACTGATACTTCCTTTTTGAGGAGGGGAGAGGGAGAGGAAGAATTGTTTCTTGAATACTCACACAGTAGACCAGTGAGAACACAGCAGTAGACTCTGGGTTTTCTCTAACAACCCTCAATCCACGTAATGATGTCTAAGATAGCGCACTTTTTAGCTTTACCTGATGGTGAAGTTATTATTATATTAAATATACTCCCAAATGCGTATGGGGTCTAAAAGGATACAAAACTGTCATGACAGTTTATGTGAAAACGGTATCTTGCAAAGGAATAGAGGAAGCGGAAGTTAAGGTGGAAATATACAGGAAGCGAACAACCGGAAGTGCCAAAAAGGGTAAAAGGGGGTGGGCCTTTCAAAGTCACATGTCACATCGGCGGGAATATTTTGAATCCAAAATAAGATCATCTGATTGGCTTCTCTTCTAGAGTGTGTGACGTCAACCGCTCGCGGACTGTTCGCTTACGAGCTTAAGCAAAATCAAGGGAACGCTCTCTACCCAGTATCCTTCTGCAGAATCTTTAAAAATATCCACCATCCTTGGATCAAGAAAGAACGATACCTTCGTCAGGGCCAGGGATACTACTCACTGTAAGTTTTATGGTTATATTTTGATCATGAACCCATTTGCAGCCCTCGGACGATGTCGTTTACCGTACGATACTCTGTTATTGTGTCTGTGTATGACAGTTTGTGGATGGCAACAGCCCAGAAGCTGATTTTTGTCACTTTCCATTTAATGTTCGACAAAAGGAGAACATATGCTTCCAATTTAAGACCTAATAAGTGAAAAAAACGTTAACCAAGAGGGCACAAACATCAGTGTTTACGAGTTGGACGTGTGGGAGTGTGCTATATATTTATTACATGGATGGTAAAGAATTTCGGTTCATTTTGCGTTGTATCTAAACAGCAGTAATACAATGTCCTCTCCAGCTCATTCGGGATTTTCTTATAGCCTTGGTTTTGCAATTTTGTTGCCTTTAAAACACCTTTAAATGCAAAAACAATTGCAAGGACCATGATCTTGTTGAAGCTTTGAATTCCATTTCCTGTCGTGTATGCATATTGTGGATTTGTAGTTTCGCGCCGACGTAATCAGCATAGTACGTTACTTGAACGATCACTAAAAGCTTGTGTTGCTATGCCACATTTGCTGAGGAAGTATGCTCTTCTATCTCTTGTTTTTCTGATAGTTTTGTGTTGCCTTCTGTGCTAAAATTTCGAGTTTCCCCAGTCGGAAGTTGAAATCCTGTGTGGGTGTACGACGGGGCAAGTTTTTGCTGGTGTCAACCAATTCTTTCTATTATTTTCTAGAATTTACTATCTTGTGCCTATAAATTTTGTTCACATCGTAAGAATGCTTGTTATTTTCTTTGATTCATTGCAAACATCTGTTGTAACTTGCCTTTTCGTAGTGAAAATCTTCCTTACACCATCGTTTTGCCTAATTACTAGTGTATTTACACTGAACATTCGATGAAAGGAATTGGTAGTCTTCGTATCAGTTGTTCGTTCTTCTTCGTTATGAAACTCGAAAGAAAGCTTTTGCTCACGTACTCTACATGGCTCGAGAAGTGAAATCGCTGAAACGAACATACTTGTTTTGATTTAGCCATTCAGTTCTTTGAACCAATGAATTGTTTTCGTCGAATCGATATGTCGTCATGATCTGTTGTAAATAAAGTTTACACTTCGCCTTGAGCGGTGTCATAACATTGGTTTTGCCGTAGACACTGTGATTCTCACTCTGGTTGAGACACTTGTTTTTAGAGAAAGATCTTTGTCAGCGATACACCAAAGATGTTGGGTTTTGTAATTGTGTGACACGGCGCTTTTGGTCAGAAGAAATCAACATATGGGTTTCACGAGGATTGACGAGTCTCCTGTAGACCGTTTCAAGATTTTTTTTCCAGTCCTTGTGGAGTTTTAAGTAAATACAGTTCTGTTGAAAATTTTCGTGTGGTTTCATTGTGTTGGTTAGGTGATGTAATTTATTCTTATCAAGTGAAGATTTAGTAGTTTTATTCTTGCTTGAACTTCTATCTACATGTATAAAAATATTCAAGACATGCTAGGTTGTATGGAACGTGTAAGTTACTTCCACATTCAACAGAGACAATTACTGCAGCAACTTAACTCTCTCTTTTTTTCCCTTATTTTTCAGTCTCCTCATCTGAGTTTTTTATAATAAGTTGGTACTTCTGATTTTTGTATGAGACAGGAGGTGCTATAATAATTTTTATGGTTACTGCCTCCTAAGTAGGCAAAGCCATGATGTTGTCCTGTTGAGTGAGTGAGGGTAGCAATAGAATAGAAATAACCTCTTGGTTCACAACAAAGTCTTCCGAGTTTTACCTGATATTCCTCAGTCTTGGCTTTTGTTTGTTTCAAACATCTTTGGTTGTTCAATGCTTTGTGACAATTTCTGTGAATCACTTTGAATTTTACACTGAATTTCAGCAGGTGATTGCACTGTTTTTCAGTGCTACTCATTATTTGTCTCTTAGTTCACTAAAGAAGACAATAAACATCTCACAAACATTTCAGAATTGAGCATGAAAAAAGAAAGCTTTATCTCGAAGAAATGTCTTGAAAGGAGTGATTGGCGCAACATGAAAATTAGAGGATAAAATTATCTTTAAAAGAGAGAGCATTTTACTGTTAAAATCAGGAAATTATTCCCAGTAAATCGGAAGATATAATTTTTTCAGTTCTGTGACACTGCAATGGATGACAGACATCTCAGAATAATTTCGCAGTGGTGTCTCTGGCATGTAATTGAAAAAGACTTTTTTCTTGCAGAAATATTTAAATAGTCTGATCTGGACACTGTGGAAACTAGAAAAAATAGAATGAAATTAGAAAGGATTTATAATTAACAGGCAAATCAAAATGAAAACAAGGCTAGTTTAATCATTATTGGAGTCTAGGGATAGACCGACAGAGGAACAGTGAAGTTCTTGAGCTAGCTAACAGGCAAATCATGAGTTATTATTACCAATACTATTACTTTTGTTATCATCATTGTTATTGTTATATTTAGTATAATTATTTATTACCATTTAATAATTGTTTGGGTGTCAGTTATTCACTATATTCTTGAGTCATCTTTCTCTTGTGGAACAGGGCTCTCATGAGTATTTGGGATGCAGCAGGTTTTCTGTTTTGCATGAAAGACAAATCTTCTGTAAAGCTACTGTATAGCATCATCTTACAACCTTTGGTTCTTTTCAATACTATAAAAATTGTTCTATATCAGGAGCCACAAGCAGTCTTAACTGCTATCTTTGAAAACATGCTTGTGTGTGCACTCACATTACAAGTTGTAATTTTAGGTTTTGGAATTGACTTTCACAAGGCTATCTTGAATGTGATTATCCAGTGCCAGGGCAACAGAAAAAAACTGAATTTTCTGTTTAATTTTGTGGTATGTTATTTCTAAGTTGGAAGGTCATGGACCTCAGGTGACAAATGCCATTGAAACTGCAGGCTCTTAAATGTTGCTATTTTTGTTTTTTGGATTTTATTTCCCAAGACCAATTGAAAAGAATGGTGTCAGTTTATTCCTATGTTGAAGTAAGAAGGAAGAAAAAAAAAAGAAGAACTTGGAATGGGGGAAGCATCTATAAGGAAATAAGGTTGTTCTATTACTTTGCAGCATCAGAAGTTAAAACAGCCAAACTGAACATAGTGCCATCTTTGTGTTGTTTTAGGTATCAGGCTTGACCCTTAGAAGACTGCTTGAATGAGGCTGTGGTGCGAGACATGAAGAGGGTGCGTCCTGAAGACCACGACAGTGTGTATGGTCAAAACAGGCAGAGTTTCCGTCCCCCTCCTGTTCTTGCCCCAGCCCCAGTTGGCATGGCAACCTATTCTGAGCAGCTCCAGCAGGATGGATTAAGTGGATTAGCCCAGTTCCCTGCTGCTGCGCAGATGGCAGGTGCCCCTGGATATCAGTAAGTTTTTCAGAGAGTGACTTGAAATCTTAAAAATTTTATGTGGGCAAATATAGCAGTTTCATGGATTGCAGGGTTTTCTTTACAAAATAAAGTAGCAGACAAGAAGAAGTGAAGTAACTGGAGAATATTCTCCACATCTAACAAAAAAGAAACTCAGGCTATTAAAATCTTGCTGGAGGAACCTCCAATCTCTGTTTCCTGATGCACAACCTACTTGGAAGTGTAGTGACTGTGTTGGTTTCCTCAAAAGACCAGTTGTACATGTGTTCCTTCTCAATCTAAACCTTTCATTATCTTAACAAGATTGTGAGGATAAGCATAATGATGTAAACGTACAATTTGTAATGGTGTGTGGTTATGTTAAATGGGCAATTACCTCACATGAGCTCGCAGTATCACCTGTCAACAATATGATTTGAAAGGCTTGGTAGAAGGTAAACCTCCCTTTTGAAGGGTAAAGGAAATTTGTGAAAACTGCTTTGATTTTTCAGAGTTCAGGCACAGACTCCTCAGTCACATCCTCATGTTCAAAATCCAACATCTGGTCATCACCAGGTGAGTTAGATGTACAGCTGTACTTCTTTGTATATTGCAATTTTAGTATAAGGCTACTTCTGTTATGTACTGTTGTTGTTACTGCTGGTCTTGATATACTTTAGATTTCATTTTGTGTAGGTCTGTTTCGGTTGAGATTGTTTTTATAGAGTTGATGTATAGTTGACACTTTGTTTCATCTGAAACGAAAAAAAATGTGTTTGTTTTGCTATAGAGAAATCCCATTATGATTGAAAAGAATGGGAGTTAAATTGTTTTGAACAAATTGGTTTAAAGCATTTAGTGTGAGAACAAATGAACATGCTACCATTGTGGATCATGTGACATTTCATTACTGCTAGCTGTTATCCACATCATCCTCTAGGAATACCATCAAAGAGAAACTGTGTTTGATTAAAGTGGTGGAAATCACATGGTATCATATCAACAAAAATGGCCCTTGAAGGGAAATACAAACATTATAGCTTGTGTCCCATTTTTTCCTTAGTAGTTGTCTTACTAGATGACTTTTTCATCATGCTAGCCAAAGTAAATTGATTCAAATTTTGCAGGACCAAATTCAACTCTGGAATGAAAAAAAAAAAAATTGAAAGCATTCCTGACTGTAAAAAGCATGCATGACATCAATAGACATTGAGTTAGGTATAAAAGAACTCACTAATGGTGTGCAATTGTTTTTCAGGGCCAAGTACAGGTGCATGCACAAGCTCAGGGTCAACAACAACAGTTTCAACGATTAAAGGTGTGGTATAAAAAAAAACCTGTTGTTTTTAACATTATCTGAATTAAAAATGCTTATTTTGAATATAAATGGTTTAGAAAAGGAACATCACACAGCTTGTGAAGCAAATTTTACTTGATATGTTATGAAGGTCTGCCTCATTTTCCTCTTAGTGTTACTGGTGATATGTATAATTGTTGTTATTGAATTTACTGGTAACATTTTCCCTTGCTTCTGCCTTGTTTGTGGTGTGTGCACAAGGCTTTTTCTAATTTAACCATCTGCAGTTTTAGTCTTGGGCACAAAGAATTATTATTCCTTACTGAGAAAAAGTGACTGTCCCATTAATAGTTTTCTAAAATGGTAAATTCAAATAAAGGATTTATATTCTTTGTGGATATTCACTTATAGCTGTAGCACCTCCATTGCTTCTTCAGCATTTTTTCAGGTTTCCCTCCATATTTAATCACACTAACATTTCAGTTACTGTGCCTCCTAACTGCAACTGTAAAGTTAACGTGTCAAATAAAACACCACTCTGTGTGAGATACTGAACAACTCAGGTGTTGAAGTTTTGTTTTGATTTATTATCTATTTTAAGGTTGAGGATGCCTTGTCATACTTAGATCAAGTCAAACTTCAGTTTGGAAACCAGCCTCAAGTGTATAATGATTTCCTGGATATTATGAAAGAGTTTAAATCTCAAAGGTATCGTACATGTTTGCTGTTCAAGCAATATCCATTGAAAACGTTTCATAGATAGTGATTCAGTTAGTGATGTGTATCTCTTTTTTCTCCCCAGCATTGATACTCCAGGTGTTATCAGCCGTGTCTCATCTCTGTTTAAGGGACATCCAGAACTAATTGTAGGGTTCAATACATTCCTTCCACCTGGGTACAAGATTGAGGTGCATGCCAGTGATCCTGGTACTGTGTCAGTAACAGCACCCAATGGACAGTCTCAGATAACCACACTTATCCAACCAGCTCAGCAACCAGTGAGTGGAACTACTTGGTTTTTGTTTTATTTCTAAATTTGGTGCATGTTTCTGGTTTTGTGTTTCATTTCAAAATGATAGAAGGGGTCATATGAGGTGAAACATCTTGTGTAAGGGTTGTGAGATAGGTGTTGACTTGCACGGTAATGCAGTTAAATGCAATTTAACAGATGTAACAACAAATAGCATCAGTGTTCTTTAGTAGTCAGTGGTTTTTGCAGATGGGTCAATTCCATGTGCTATTCATTTGAGGCATTCTTGTGTGTGCTTTGAGTGTGAACTTGCAGTGTTGTTTGGAGTGGCAGCACATCGTCCAGGTCTTCCCACTGCTTATTTAGCGTAATGGGTGCCTGTTTCCCTTTCCTGTGTGGGGCTCATGGCTGGGTTGTCAGGATTTTCTAGCCATGGGAAAAGTCTCCAGCTTGGAGCTGGCTGTCAATAGTGGAAGCTCAAGATGTCTCGGGCACCCAACCTCCACTTAGCCATGCAATTGTTAACTTCAGGTTAAATGCATTGTTGTGACAAGGCTTGCTCTCAAGGGGTGCTAGGTGAAGAAAATCCTCAGCCCTGATTGGCTACCCATGTAAGGCACATTCTGCTGGGTCATCATACTGTACATACTTTGACCTTAGACTTGGCCAATAACACGTTTTTCCTCTAAATGGGTTAGAAAGTAAAAACTAACTTTCCAGCTGGTATTCTTCAACACTTTTGATCTATCAACATTCGTTGGCAAGCTTTTGAAAAACGTGAAGGTCTGGATACCTTTAACCTTTTTACTGTCCATGTTGTAATGGGTCACAGGACAGATAAGTGCAGTAGCTACAGTTGTCCTTTTGAGTATTGTTGTATGTTTTGTTACAGGTACATCAGTCAGGTGGGCAACAAGGACAACAACAGCAGCAGTCACAGCAGAAACAGCCGCAACAGCAGCCGCAGCAGCAGCCGCAACATCAGCAACCACTTCAGTCACCAACTGCTCAACAAGGACAGGTATAATGCTATTGTCAAAGACACGTTTAAATAGCTCATTACTTTAATGTACAGCCACCTTCTCTACACAAGCCACATGTGCTCATTCCTGAAAGTGAAAAGTTCCAGTTGTAACATTTACTCGTTAAATCTACCCTAGTTAACATGTAAAAACTTTCAAAAGCCCTCTTGTTTATGTATCTTTTATTTATATATATATAAGATCAAGGTTTTGTATAAGATGTTGTTACAAGTTTTTACTTAACATTGATCTACCTGAAAACAGTAGCTTTTGTGTCTGTATATAAGAAGACTCCAAATCTTGTTTGGTTTTTTTTTTTTTTTTTTTTTTTGGGTGATGCATGGTCTTATGTTTTGATTTGCTGTAAATTAAGTTTGTTCTTTGGCTGATTTTATTAAGTTGGAGAAGTGATTTATCTAACATTATTGTTAATAGATTTTACCTTCAGTGTTTTTCTTTGGGATGACTTGGTCGGCTTTAGAAGATGTTCATAAAATTTTTTTACATCAACAGAGATTAGGAAGGAAAAATAGGCATATGGGCCTATAATGCCATTTCGTTTACTTATGTGCCATATGCACATGGCGCACAGCATTTCCAATTCCTGCATCAGTGGTGTTACAGTACTTTGAAAAAATGTAGAGTTTGGGTTTCCAATGCATTTCCTGATTACCATTAATTTTTAATTGGATTTCTTTTATCTTTTTGTAACACAGGGTCAGCAACCAGTGGAATTTAACCATGCAATAAATTATGTGAACAAAATAAAGGTGAAGAGCTCTCACTTTTTTTTTTTGAAGATGGTGCAAGCAATTGTTTCAGTTTATTAACAAGAGATATTTTTGTTTCTTTTGCAATAGAACCGGTTTCAAGGACAGCCAGACATCTACAAGGCTTTTTTGGAAATTCTCCACACATATCAAAAGGAGCAGAAAAACATCAAAGAGGTAAGGTAGCAGTAAGATAAATTGAATTTTTTGTTTGAAAGCTTTCAGATTTGAAATCAAATTTCATGTTAACCCAGGGTTATGTTACCCTGCACAACCCTTGAAACAACCCTTGAACAACCCTGCACAACCCTTGAACAACCTGGCCTAGACTTGAACATTTGATGCTCTCCATTGAACATGAAATGAGAGTGACATTTGATCATTTCCTTTGGTAATTTTTCTTTTTGAAAGTAGGGTGGGTATGGTTTTTGCTCATTTCTTTCCTAATTGAATTTGTTTCCTGAATTAAATTTGCAGGCTGCCATGCAAGGAACTCCTCTGTCTGAACAAGAAGTAAGTCCATGTGTCTTTAGCTTCCTGGACAGGAGAAGTTCATTTCATTTCATGTGGGAGAATTTGTGATACAATTTTTTTTGTGTGTATTTTAAGTCTTTTTATTCTTGTTTAGATCTATACAAGAGAAGCAAAACTTGCCAGTGAGGTACAGTGCACTTATATTTGTATTCTTTTAAAACTTCTATGTGTTTCTGGATTGAAATTGTGTTTACTGTTAGGTGTTATGGAAGAATGAGGTTTAAGCTTCACCAGAGTTTCCTTTTAGGTGCTTGCATCATTTGTTCCTTGCCAAAAGGTTATTTTCACATCTATAGGTGTATCATCAAGTTGCAAAGCTTTTTCAAAATCAAGAAGATTTGCTTCAAGAATTCAGCCAGTTTCTTCCAGATGCTAATGGTGCTGCAATGTCTGGGGTTAGTCACATGGCTTGTTACAATTTCTTTCTTCTTGTAAATAGTTATTCTTGGTGAGAATTATTTGTGTATTGAGCCATTCACCAAAAATATTCACTCTTACATCTTTCAGACTGTCATTCATTGCCTTGTATCAAAGTTTAGTGAACTGTTTGCTGCATCAACCAATTATCTTCTTTTTAATTCCCATCATGCAGTGCAATGACATGAAGCCATACTTAAGGCTGCTGAATTTAATCAATTAAATGCGGCAGCGTGTATTAAATTTTTCTTGGTTTGAGTGTAGTATTAATTAGAGGGCGGCACTTATACAAGGGTGGTGTTTATTTAAAATCCAATTTATTTCTTGCAAACAATAGTATGGCAACTGACTATTTGGATTGAAAAGGAAAGAAACATGTTTTGGTGCTTGTCTAAAAAGTAATTTTTTATATTGTTTTCAATTTCACAATTTGTATGTTAATACTACTGCAATACATAACATGAACAAAGATTTAATATTGGATGTGCATTCTCAACATTGGAACTGGTACATCAAAAGGATTTGTGTCTGGCTTACTAAAAATTTCCAACGGTGTTTGAAGCATTGATCCTGTGTGCCTTCTGAGTGTACTATTCGAATATACCCCACATCATGATGCAGCATTTATTTGAGGGTGGCATTTATTAATAATTTATTACTGCTTTAAAATGTGGCATTAATTTGAGGGCAGCATTTAATTGATTAAATACAGTATAGGAACTTATATCTAGGTGGGACTAAAGCTTGTGTTTCTTATCTGCAAGGGTCACCTGACATGCTAGTGAAGTTCCACAATATGTGAACATGGCACCCTACTTAGTCACTTATCCAGTGTTGAGTGCAAATTAACAGATGTGGATGTTGTTTCAATGTTTGTTTTTCAGGGTTTATTAGCAGCAAACAGGTTGCCAGCTCACCTGACAGCTGCAAGGAATGAGTATGTACCTCCCACAAAGAAGCCGGCTGGTAAGTTACCATTCAGTGTTAAAAATTTAAAGTGTGTCCTCTTGCTTAAAAGGAGTACTGCTGCAATAGATATGTCTTCTTACATGTATGTCAGAAAATGTTCATTTCATGAAGCTGTATGATATGGGGTAGTGGCCCAAGACACACTACAATTGGTTAAGATAATGTTCCTTGGTTTTTTGCAGGTGGGTCAAATTCCTCAAAACGGATGATACACCAGATCAGAAGAAATTCAAACAATGTCTCCTCTTCCCCAACCCACCCTCAGGCAAAGGTAGGAGTAGTTGCATCATGTCCTTCATGATACATCAAGCAACATGATTTTGTTCGTTTGTTTGTGATGACTGGCTGCTGTAAAATGTGATAGCCAATAGTATTTACATTTTAAATTATAAAATAATTCAGGGTGTGAAATTAACTTTTTTTTCTGATAGCCACTTGGCTCCTGAATTCTTCAAAGTGGTAGCCAATTCAAAAAAAGTTGGTCGCCATTTTCAAAGACAAACAAAATCTTTCTTTACGCTGTCAGCGTTCTAGATAGACCCTCCAACATTAAGTTAGGGAAAAGATCTTTAACGTGCTACAAAGTGGACACTAGGATGGATGATAAACAACGTTCAGGCTCATCTAAATCCAAGATGGTGTCTAGTTATTGATCGAGATTCATGTGCTATGTTTTGGAAACAAACTTAACGAGGAAGTTTGCCGCAGATTTATCTTTGCAAATCTTTTTAATTCACTATATCTCTTGGTAAGATTATGATGAAACGTTCTAGTCGCCAATTTGGCGACTAACTTTCAGGATTTGGTCGCCAAAGTGAAAAATTTAGTCGCATTGGCACCTGTATTAGGCACAATTTCACGCCCTGTAATTCAAATAGTATGCAGGCTCTGATTGGCCATAAAACCATTTTACATGAGTGTATGTAAACACGGTTTTCGTTCCTCTTTCATTAGTTATTTTATAAAAGAAATGTAAAATGGTTTCTGTGTTTACATAGCCTGATGTAAACACTTGGGAGGTTGGGAGAACACTCGATAAGCTGGAAACCACTCCACTTCGCGTCGTGGTTTCCTATGCTTATCTTGTGTTCTCCCACCCTCCCGCATGTTTACATCAGGCTATGTAAACACAGAAACCATTTTACATTTCTTCAACAATTGCCAACTTCAAAATGGTACTGGACAGTTTTTTTTGGTTAACGTAAAACTATTCAGGGAAATCAACATCAAAAGGAAAAAAAATGAGGATTGGTACATGTGTCATTTATTCATTTTTGCACTGATTTTGTTCCTCTAGCAGAAGAAATCGAGAAGTGCAATCAAAGATGTACCCCTGGATGAGGCACAGAAACATGGCACCTTCTCGGAATTTGCATTTTTTGAAAAGGTAATGAAATGAATTAAATATTTGCTTTCTTTCTACAGTATTATTTTGCTGCTCTGGTAAGTGAGACTCTTTACTTGTATCCTTATGTTCTTCTAACATAACCTTGGAAAATATAATTTTATCTCTACTGATGTCTAGGTGAGGAAAGCTCTCAAAAATCCTGAGCTCTATGACAACTTCTTGCGATGTCTTGTATTGTTCAATCAAGAAGTTATCTCTCGATCCGAACTGGTTCAACTGGCATCCAACTTCCTAGGGTAAGCCCTAATAAACTAACTGTTCCTTTTTAATTAGATATATACTTTCAGCTGTCTGTCAGCAGTCTCCTGTGTTTGTACATCATTGATCAACAGCTGTAGCTGATCATATTTAGAGAAACACATCATACTGTTTTAGTAGTATTTTGCTGGGAAATATTTAAACTAACCATTTCCATTTATTACTGTGTGGTGTTTTAATTGGTAATCTAATTCCCTTGCAGAAAATACCCAGAGCTGTTTCAATGGTTCAAGGAATTCCTAGGCTACAAAGACTCTTCTCCCATGGAGACTGTGGCTAATGTTAAAGAACGAACTTCAGGAGAACTGCATCATCTTGAGATAGATTATTCCTCTTGCAAGAGATACGGCACAAGTTATAGAGCACTTCCTAAGAGCTATACACAGCCAAAATGTAGTGGACGTACTGCTCTGTGTAGAGAAGTCCTTAATGACACCTGGGTGTCTTTTCCTTCATGGTCAGAAGACACTCCCTTTCCAGGAACAAGAAAAACCCAATATGAAGAGTACATTTTTAGGTAATATTAATGGTCAAAAGTCAGAACTTATCTTTTTAAACCTGGTTACAGTCTGTAGTTCTTAAGTTGTAAATTATTCGCAATGTGAGCCACTTCTTGACTTTAATGTTCTGGATATGTTTTAATCTCCATTTTTCTTCTTATTATGTGTAGGTGTGAGGATGAACGATTTGAGGTTGGTTTGCAAACTTTTTATTTATTCCAAGTTGCTTTTGTTTGTTCCTTAAATACATGTATGTATTTTTGCATTTTTAGTATTGTAGTCAAGCAAACCATTTTCAATGTAATTTTAATGTAGGAAATCTCTTTCAGCTGGATGTTGTGTTAGAATCCAATCTTTCCACCATTCGTGTTTTAGAAGCCATACAGAAAAAACTACAGAGGTATGTAGTACTGACTTGTGCATGTAGAGAATTCTTTATCTTGCTAAATGTAGGACATACAGGGGTAGTTAAGCAAAGTCCTTTTCAATTAGATGATGCTACATGCTTTGTTCAGTACATTTTATGTGCATTTATGTAGTTACACACATGTAGCTTGACTTTGCTTACATGCTCCACCTAACTTGTAAGTCTGCACCTGCTTGTTCAGAATGCTTGATGTTGTCTTTGTTTTGTTAAAGTTTGGTTGCCATTCTTTGTTTTAGAATGCCTGCTGAAGAGCAGGCAAAATTTCGACTTGATAGCTGCATTGGAGGAACATCTGAGTTCATTCACAAAAAGGCCATCCAGAGGTACAATCATCCTTCTTGTCATAACCATTATAACTTGATGAAGTTCTATTAAATATGGAAGGCAAATGCAACAAAAAAACCTACTCAAGGTCTTGAATTCTCAGTGGGTTGTTATTTCATCCCTACAAATGTTTGTGAGTGCATCCTATTCAAAGGATGGGAATGATTTCAATCCAAATGTATTGCAGCACAATCAGCATTACATTAAGAAACAGTAGGAGTATTGAGAAAAAAATTTTTATTTGACATTTCGTGAAACTATCCTTTTCCTTTAATTAGTAATATATATATATAATTGTTGATCTTTTAACAAGGATATATGGTGACAAAGCTCCTGATATTATTGATGGTTTAAAGAAAACACCTGCAGTGGCTGTGCCACTGGTACTTAAGAGGTGAGGAAATTTATTTTCCCATTTCAAGACCAGTTATGCTACATTTACCTTCTATGCATACGCTTGTCTGAGCATATATATACAATCAGTGAAACATCTTATCACTCCTAAAATAACCTGATTGAAAACCTACTACCCTCAGTCAACGTTATTGTGGAAAAGAATTAGACATACTCTAAAACCTTTGCAGCACAAAATGTTTTTTTCTCTGGCAAAGAGCTGAATCATCAGCTGGCTGCCACAATTACCCCCAATTTGTTTCATTTCTAATTCTAATTCTGAATGTGCTTATGTCAGAAAGTGTAGAATTTTGTTGTTCAACAAATGTAATGTTTTGAAATAAATTTTTCTGATTTAGGTTAAAAGCCAAAGAAGAGGAGTGGAGAGAATCTCAGAGGCAGTTTAATAAGATATGGCGAGATCAGAATGAAAAGTACTACCTAAAGGTAAATGATAGTGTTACTTTCACTGTATTTTTTATTGCCCTTTCAATCTTTTCTTGCATCTTGAATTTGTGGAACTAGTATATAAACTATTTTCACACAGTATTAACTCGTAGGTAAAATAACTTTTCCTTTGCAGTCCCTGGACCATCAAGGGATCACTTTCAAACAAAATGACTTGAAGGCCATGAGATCGAAAAGCTTGATAAATGAGATTGAGACAATTTATGATGAGGTAGGTTGGTTAAAAATTCTGTTTGCACTGCTCTTTTGTCGTTGTAAACTACAATACACAATAAATATTTCTATATATATTAAAGCTACTCTCTCTTAGTGATGTTAAACAGATTAGATTAAAAGCAAAGGAACAAATAAGAGTACAGTAAAACGAAACATTTAGTTAGTGATGAGTAAAATATTATTTTGAAATTTAGAGTAAAAATAGTAGACTGAAAAATTGCCCGCAGTAGTCAAATTTTTCATAAATTATGCGGTTGTTTATCATAACATCATAGAAGCTAGAAGGAACTGAGATGTAAGAATAATTTCATATGGTAAGCGTTTAAGTGATACATTTGCAATTTGTTGGCTGCTTTTTCTTTTGTTTCGTTTTTTCCCGCTGTAATTTATAACTGACCAGATGCACGTCAACGTAATGTAACTGTGTAGCATTTCATTTTCTTGTTTTGGTACAAAAATGAAGGATATACATCATTAGTTTTTGTAGCTTGAAAATTTTGCTCATCGTTTTAAGTGGGCATTCATAGACTTTGTAAATCTTCAACATTCTTTGCCATCTTTTCTTTTTTCGGACATTCATGTTTTTGTGTTTGTTTATACCAAGAATCTATCTCGTAAGGTTCTTTATGTCATGTGTACGCCTACTATGCCACATAGGGAACCAAAAATATGATGATGTAGATAAACGCCATCTCAGAGGTGCTCAAATCAAGTTTGTTTTGCGTTTCAGAGACAAGAGCAAGCAGCTGAAGGTAATGGAGATGCTGGGGGTCCTCACTTGGTTTACACCTACCAGGACAAGTCGATTCTCGATGACGCGGCCGGTCTGATTGTTCATCACATGAAGAGACAGACGAGTATTCACAAGGAAGACAAAGCAAGGATAAAGTTTCTCTTACACTGTTTCCTACCGGATTTGTTCTTCGCACCAAGGTAAGGAGAGGAAGTCTATTTGAGTATCAGGTGATCTGGGAGAAGAGAGGGACGTACATGTACCGTGTGAGGAAGCGGACATGAAATATGGGGGAGCCTGTTAGACAGTTCCCTCTCTCCCTCTATTGCCTGAATGTGTACGTCTCACTTTCATAGGCCCTTCCTAATCACTTGCAGTCGATTTAAACCAGCTGCTAACACGCACTACATTGCTGTGGAGTAATTTATGGTGCAAAGATACAAGTACAGTTGAGAGGATACTTTTGAAAGCAGAAGTGTTAACTGAGCCAACTTCTTGTTTACTTCTTAGTTAAGGAGACTTTTTTTTTCTTGTCTTAAAATTTTTGTTTCAGGCACCGATTTTGTTAAAGGGTCCTTCGTAAGAGTTATCAGAAAGTCTTTATTTCAAACGAAGTAGTACTTTTGGAATGTATCTAATCACTTTTCTAACTTAACAGAAGAGAATGTTTCATCTTAGGACTGTTTTGTTTTAGGGGTGAGCTGAGTGATGATGAAGATTCGGTAAAGGAACTTAACGGCCTTGGTAAGTAACTGTAAGCTTAAAGAGTACACGCTCAACTCTCTGCGTGTAACTAAGTTAATCGTTCTTTGCCTTTATGTGCTTGTAAGAGGAAAGAGCGCTCTGTGTTACAAGATCAAAAAGCGGTTGCAATGGAGGCAACGAAATGAAAAGCAGAGGGACCATCATTGACGCGTGCAGTTTGCCTTTACATGTGTAGCGCGTCGGTAGATCCTGCGGTACAAGGGAGTGTCACCAGTTATGATTCTTACATCTACTGTTTTGTGTTTTTCTAAGTTTCATTTATTTCTTTTCTCTTTGTTCCAGGCAAACCGGAACTTACTAACGGTTTACCAGAGGCAGAAGCAGTAAGTAACTTTGGGTTTTATGAAAGGTTTTTTTAGAGTTTTGTTTACAAGTAGTTAGATGATATTTGTTGGCAACTGTAAAAGTTTCGTTGCCTTCCTCAAAGAGTCGTGTAACATTGACAAACTGTAAAATCAATGATATCTAAAACTTGAGTTGTACAGTAGTTCGCCATCCCCAAGGTCCGGCTCGAGTGGAAGACGCGTTTGCCTTTGAGTTAAGGCTGGGCCTTAATTATGACTATCCATATGTTAATAATTCCATAAACTTTTCTTTCAGGATGATGCCTATAATTTAATATATGTAAACAACAACTGGTACTTACTCTTCAGACTTCATCAGGTAAAGAAACCCAACTTAATCAAGTTAATAAAGGTTTTTTTTGAAATTTTCATTTTTATTATTGTTTTTGTGTGTGTTGTTTTATGGAACGCTCAGTGCAATTGAAAATCCTCATGATACTCTCTTGTTGGAGAGCGTCCTACTGAGACACAAAGTATTGCTCTAGGACGTTTGAGCGAGGTTTTGAACTGCCATACATATCTTAACCCTTTAAGCCCCGATATCAACATGTATATTCTCGTCACTGTTCTCCGTATGTTTCTTATTTTACTAATTGAGAGAATTTGTTCAAACATCAAGACATTTCAACTTTGGTGATCATTTCATTCATTCTCGTGATCTGTACATTTGATCAGGCAGTAATATTGTTAGGAGAAATTAGATGCTGGTCACTATTGTGGCTTAAAGGTTTAAACGTAATCTTATTGTTCATTTGTAGATGCTCTGTGAGCGACTGCTGAAGATGTATCAACAGTCTGTCATGATAGCTGAAGGTGAAGCTTGTGACAAGCAGCAGAGAAAACAGGCCACAGCCATTGCTCTGAGACTTAAGGCACCCAGCGAGATAGACCTTGAGGAATATTATCCAGCGTTTCTAGACATGATAAGAAACCTGCTGGACGGTAAGATCAAGCTTTTCCAGCTCCTTATCTGTTGTTGTTAACAAATGAGTTAAATACCTTAGATTATTATGTTTCACTTTTGGAAACGTGATGTTATAGAATGTTGACGATGCAATTGATTTTCACTCATTGTAGGAAACATGGATTCTACAAACTTTGAGGATACGTGTCGCGAGATGTTTGGTGTTCACGCTTACATCGCATTTACTATGGACAAATTAGTACAGAACATAGTGAGACAGGTGAGTGATGACTTGGCAGTAAAGGAAATGCTCACGTGAATATCATAGTTGTTACTCCAGCTTGTTTAAAGGCATCCCTACCCACTCAAGTAGTCACAAGAAACCTTTATGAGGATTAAAACCAACTTCCTCCCTGAAAAACGTTACGCGTTTATAAACCTCCCCACCCCCCTTTTTTTTTCCAGCTACACACCATTGTTACAGACGATTCATGCAACCAGGTCACTGAACTATACCAGCAGGAGCAAGGTAACCTGGCCACCGGTGGAAGCTCGGCCACTCAGCATACCCGCGCAGTGTCAGAAGCTGCATATCAAAAAAGATCTGAGTCACTGCTTTCGGATGAGAACTGTTACAAAGTTGTCATTGTAAGTGTAACACTGTTGTTTTTCGGATCGGCCTCCTTTTCATGGTTGTTTTACTGTTAGATGGTTGCACTTTTTGTGTTATCATTATTTTTTTATTTTAATGTTAACAGCACAAAGACAAGAACATCTGCAGACTGAGTATTGAGTTGCTTGATACAGAGGACTCTCATTCAGAAGATCCAGTCGAAGTAGAGGTATGTCCAATAACAAGAATTGTACTGCATTTTGAGCAGGTGAAGGTGATTTTATTTATCCAACATAAAACCCGACAGTTGGTCCTAAGGGCTGTCATTGAAAGAAATGTGTAGCAAGGCATGCGGAAAGATTAGTGTTGTATGTAAAAATCTGAGATCATCCCCCGAAAAGGTTTTGAGATCAGACCCCTATAAAAATTCGTGAAGAGTTATCAGCCTTGCAGGAAAGAAGGTCTCGACATCAGTTAAGTTGACAGGTTGGCCAGCGATCGATATGTTGAAGATAAACGAAGATACAGCTCTATTGGGGGGTTTTTGGAGAATTTCTTTTCAAAGGTGACAGGTCCTTGTGCGTTAATTTAGCCTAGCTAACTTGAATTTGTCTTTTTCTGTCCATTAGAAATGGAATGAATACGTCGAAAAGTTTGTCGGCAGCGAGGAAGTTTCCACAGAGGTCAAGGATCATTTACAGAACAAACCCATATTTTTACCAAGGTTAGAATGCTTTAAGTCTTGTTTAAGAAGTCTCTATTAGGTCTCTCTCAGGTAGACACAAGAAACTCCAAGTGTTTCCAGAGTCTGATTTCTGGCAAGCCGTTGTAGAGGGCGGTATCTCCTTGTTTATGCCGCTAATACGCTTTAAAGCCTGAAATATCGATCGTCACCTAATGGACAGCTTGAGCAATTTCACCAAGTATTCGCTAAAGTGATGGTGTGAGAGATTGTGGAAGGACCCTTTTCGCGCGTAATACCTGTACGGTGACAGTAATAATACACAATAATCGAGCAAGATTGAATGGGTGGTTCAAAAGGGTGCGGGTTTTTTTTTCTCTCCAGAACGGTTCGTTCCAACTCGCGGATGAAACCGTCGACCACCCCAAGCACCGAGAAAGAATCGACGACAAATGATAATGGATCGTCAACTGATGATGCTGAAAGTGAGGGAAACAACAGGTTAGTATGAGAAAATTTATCGGCTAAACAAACAACAAAGATTCAATTACCATTTAATTGAAGTGGCAGATAAAAGAAGTAAGTCCAGCATTCGTGGAAATTTGTCTTTGCCTTCTGTCTGTGTTTGGGACCCTGGGAACTTGCGGAACTTTAATCCATCGGCGAATTCGTAAGCCTGGAGGGCTGGGTCTTGGGTAAATGAGCAATGAGGTTTTTTTTTTTAATTTTTAATTTTTTTTCCTTTATAATTTTTGAACGTGAAATGATCGGGAAAGACTTAGACCTTATAGACAGATGTCAGCTCCATGCTTCTGGTTTTATAGTTACAACTTTTTTTCTGACAATGTTTGTTTTCTATAGCGATAAAGAAGAAGAAAATGATGAAGGAGAGGAAATGGAAGTCGAGAACTCTATGGAATGTAAACTTAGCTTGAACTCATACAAGATTCGATTTGTCAAAGGCAGTGAGGATTACCTGTACAGGCGACAGTCTCTAAAGCGAGCAAAAGAGGTAAGTGAAGGCACGGTGCACTCTTATTACAGTTTTGCGAGCGACCGCCTTGAATGTCAAACAGTAATGTTGCAACCTTGAAGAGGAAATGGAGGTAGAAGAGTAATGAATGTCAAGCAGTCGGAATCTTTGTTTCTGATTTAAGTCCTGTAGAGTTTTTAAATCCATAGAAAATCCAGACTTCTAAGAATGTGCAAGCGTCTTGTGATAAAAGGAAAAAAAAAATGGTGGGGCCGGCTCTTTGTTTGAAGTCATTGGCTTCTAATGTTGTTCTCATTCTTATTCACAACCTGCCAGAAACGTAAAAATCGATCAACGAAACACAAAAATCAAAGAGAATTGAAATAGGGACTATCAGTATGACTGAAGTGGTTGCCAGGACTCGAATTCATAGTTGTTGCCTCTAGCAGTTTTGATTATTTGTTCAACTCAAATATTCAGTCGATTTTACCTCGGTTTTTCCTTACTTGTTTTCCTCCAATAAAACGCACACTTCAATTTAAGCTTGAAAGAGAAAGAAAGAATATGATTGAAGCTTAAGAATGTACTTGATTTTGCTTGTTTGTTTTCCAGAGTCATTCTTTGGTGGCAAACCGTCTTCACTCCAGATTTCAGTCGTGGTTAAGCGAGTGGGTTAAGAATCACGTGTCCAGCGACCAGGAAAGCGGGTGTCATGACTGGCTGCTGGGACGAGTGGATGGGCTTCATCCCTGCACAACAACTTGCGAGACTATCACGGATACAGCCATCAAACACAATAAATACTCCGTGAAATGGGACAAGGACAAGAACGTGCAAGAAAAGAACGACGAAGACAAAGAGAGCGAGCATAATGCCGCGTCATAAGCCTGTCCAGTTCTGTACAGTTGATTATAGTTAAACGGATTTTATAGGTAAACTAGTGTATTGTAGTCAAGGAATGGCGTTGAAAAAGAGAAAGACGTGGCATAGGGTTGCGTGCCTCGTGTTACGTAAAGCTAAGGACTTATTGCAATTAGTGGGTCACATCTGGCTTGCTTTGGCCTTAGAGAATCACCCCGGTTGGACTGTAAATGCGATTTTTGTTCGTAGAGATGCTTTCCTTATCTAACTTGTTGCAATTCTCTCTTCTGATTGAGACGTCTATTGTCTTCCTTTTCTTATCAACAGTTATTTTGTACATACGACATTCACTTAGACAGGTCGTTGAGGCAATAATCGCAAGGAATGAAATCACTCAGATTTGCCGCAGACGATGCTGTTCACTTTTCTTATATTATTATAACCACACCCTTATCTTGTATTAGCTTCAAGAATCACTTAACTGTAAAATCTGGCTCATGTCTTTCCTGCCATATGAAGGCTTCAATTGGTGTGTAGAATTAAATGACAAATTAAAAATTCTCAGGGAAGGTTCGTCCCGATACTTTTAATCGCTTCTAACGTCGTAGAAACTTACCTTTAAACGAATGAAATGTAAAATGATTGTTCATTGTAGATGACAAAAATCAGAGGAGTAAAAAATGTTGAAAAGGAAAGAGGATGGTTAGGAATAGCGAACCACAGATGGCTTATTTAAAGTTAACTTTTCACAATGTTCAAACCGTGACTTGCCTTCCTAAATAATTTTTCTTCTTGTTACTTAAAAACCTCTTCCCCAACCCCTAACTTAAAGACGTGAAAAGAGATCTGCTTTAAAGAGCCTGGATTTTTAAAGTACTTGTACTCTGTCGGTTCTGTTTTTTTTTTTTCTTTTTCTCTTCAATGTTGTATGAACCTGCTACAGCAGTCACGATTTGATGTTAGCTCAGTTAGCTAGCAGTACCTCTTCCTCTCAGCTTTTGAAACTTGATGCCTTAGGGAAATAATTTCATAATTTCTTTTGCGTCGTCCTACAGAAGTGACCTAACGCTGCATTTAAGTCTCGATTGGATTAAAAAAGTAGCCCGTCCAGGGATCAGGCGAGTAAATCACGATTAAATAGTAGTTACGTAGAGCCATTTGTGGTGGGTGTTGTAGGCTTGTTGTCACTGCAGGACCAACATAACTGCAAAACAGATATAACTGGACGAGCAAGATTTTGTTTTGTGTTTGAATTGAGTTAAGAGAGAAGAATGGAGAACTTCGACTGCGTCACCCTCTATCAGTAATTCTTCTATCGTATCAGATAATGATATTATCATATAATGATATACCGTTAAAACCAGGCGACATCGAAGTTGTCTGTTGAAGCGCAACCAATACATCCTAGCACCTGCATTTATCGTCTTTTACTTAACCCCCTAACCCCTTTAATTCAGAACTGATGAACATGAAACTTCCCCTTACAATTTCGATCCGTTGTCCTTCTAACAGGAATTGAGAATAGTTAAACGCATCTGCCGGAGGGGGAGGGGGGGGGTTTATTTAATGTCACAACATATCCTCTCAGTAATTATAGAAAAGAATCTGTAGTAACAGAAAAGGAGAAGTCCGACAAGTGCTGGTACTATTGTGCTGTTCTCTTGCGCTTAATGCTATCATGTTCAAGATTTTAATTCCTTCGGTTCTCATTTTTTCGTCTTGCATCGCGTACATACAGAGTGATGGTTCGAGTGAACCGATAGACTCGTAAGTGCGCCCAAGGTAGATTAGTTAGAAAGTGTAAAGGTATTCACCATTCGGGTTGTAGCATACGCGGAAAGCACAGTAATTGACTTAGATATGGCTGGTTATTTTCAAATGTAGTCGGGTATGACTTAGAATTATGTACACAATGAGCTGCCTTGGCAGCAGCAGTCGGTGTTGTTATTAGACTTAGTTCAGTGATATGAACCCAGTGCCGTGGTCAGATAATTTATTCTTTAATCCTGACCCACTTTTACAGATATTTAACATAGAATAAAAGCATTCTTGTCAACCACGTCTATTTTGTTTCAAACTCAAGAAGGAAGGAATGTAAACTTTCCTTCTAGACATTCGAAAAGAGAGCTCTGTCAGATTTCAGTCCCAATGTCAAAAGTCATTTGAAAAGTCTTAAAACCAAGCTAAAAAATGCCCTTTTTAATCTTTGTCTCGTGTGTTTTCCTCTACACGTTATTCTTCAACTTTTGGAAATAAACAAAACAAAATTTTCAAACTTGCACCGGTCTGATTTTCATCTCAGCTTTCTTGACGGAGTAGTGATATCCTTTCCAGTTATACCAGTTGACTCCGTCGGCATAAGATGAGTGCGCTCCGTGATGGTATAGTCCATTCAGTTTAGTGGAATGGCAGCTCTCGTACCACCAGGCTCCCTTGTAGGTCACAGCACAGCGATATCTGTCCTTGTCCTTGGTTGCAAAGGGCTGCCCACGATGACGAGAAAGAGAATCGCCCGCATTTCCTGGAAAAAGTAAAGTTTTCGAAGCAGAGGGAATTTTTCCCATGGTGCTATGCAATTAATTTGGAAAGCTACAAAAGAAGCCTATCGATTAATCTGGTGTTCACGAAACAGATAAAAACAACTTTTTGAAGCTATTTTTATTAAAATAGCATTAAAGTCGATTCACTTTTCAGACTAAAATCAATGTTCTAAGTTAATGCGACGAGCTATAATTTTCTGATTTATATATCTGTTAGCGAATATTTAAATGATTCCATAGAGTTCAATTGGTTTATCGAAGCAAGTTAAAAGCGCTGTTTCAAGTTCAGTCAGTGAATACTGCAAGTTATCATAAAAATAGATTTCTTTATCATCACCGAGGTTACCTGAGTAAGTTCCAAGGCTCAGCTTGTATTTATTCTCACTGGCAACAGCAAGCATGTTGTATTCGGCGTAAGCAGTTTTACCTTTGGTGTCCATCAGATGTACACGGAGCTTGTTCTTTATAGTTGTTGTAAGACGGTGTATCTTGTCCAGTCCTAGCCAAAATTCACCATGCAGATTACCAAAGCCATTTTTGTAATCGGTCCAGCCGCGATAGAAGTCAACCGAGCCATCCAGTCTCTTCTGAAACACTGTCCACCCCCCACCGGCTGCCGTTTGGTCACAGAAGACACTAAAGGCACCGTGACCATCAGGGTCAATCGTATAAACACCGCTACTTGTTTTACCAGATTTGTACAGCTCAGCACAGTTCTTCTTAACTGTTGGAAGACATAAATGGATTTGCGCGAGAATCGTAAGACTTTGTTGATAACATGACAAGCTTCTCCATTTGTCTCTTACCTTCAGTACAGGTGTGTCGAGATTCACTGAGCATCTTGTTTTCTTTGATAGAAGCAATGTCGTTTTGCATTTCGAGAAGTGTTTCTTTTATTTCTCTAAGGAGAGTTTCTGTAGATTCTTCAGAAATGAGAAGAGGTTAATCAGGACAGGATAGACAAGATTAAAATCCATAGGATTTCCCTTATCTGAGTAACAATTCCAAACAAATGGAAAGGAAAAAATGATAATCTATTGTGAACATACCTTTACATGAAGTGTTGTTTCTCGCTTTGATAATGCTGACATCATTTTTAACGTGCATAAGCTGTATCTTCATTTCCTGAAGAAGTGTTCCAATCTTCTTGTTTGGTGTTCCTGCATGGAGGCTAAAGTAGACATTTTTACATCGGTTTGTGGGTGAAGAACCGACTGGCGTGCTAGCGCTGTTACCTGGCTTAGCAGACGTTTGACACGCCACGATAAGGGTCAAGGACAGAAAACTGCGACGAAAATCTGAGAAAACAAGAGTCATCATACTTATTGAATGTTGGCTCTAGTTTAACTGTCGATAACTTGAGGTTGTCACTGACTGGTTAGAACGCAGAAGTAACCTATTTTAGAACAACAAAGCGTGTGCGTCATTGAAATTATTGCGAGAGTTTTTTCGCGTTATACTGCTCTCTTGAGTCCACTGTCAACGTCATCAGTTGAAATCAAACCACCGACGGAAAAATCGTCTTCTACTTGAAAAAAATGGAGGCATCTTTGGAAAAACTTCTGTATGATCTTGTTCTCTCTTTTCCTAAAATGATAATTCAGTTTTTTGAGGTTCACTGTGATGTCGGTTAGTGTTGACAATTGGTAGAAATACTAACGGTTTGAAAAGTTTTGTTCACCTCACCCCGTGAAATCTGACTAAATTACCTTTTGAAGGTTTTTCGTATTCCTGAGAATAAGTAAGTGAATGACGCAGCTTATTTACCGCCATGTATGCATGTTAACTTACAAGAAAGGTGCTTTACTTTCCGATTACGATTCATTGCTGATAGCCATTAAGATAAACATTGTTGTAAACATATCCCCGCATCGATTTCTTTTGGATAACTGACGAATATCCTCCCTTGGTATCGGAAGAGAGAAACAAAACAGAGCCATGATCAGTTCAGGTAATTTATCATGGTATGTGTCAGAATTTTGAGTGCGCGTAGTATATATTTGAATCATGTTAGTTTATCCAATTGACCGTGAAGTGAATACAACTTACGATTATTCATCGAAATCACGGAGTGCTTTTTTCATTTTTTTAAGTGCATGTTGGAATGATTCGTTGTCCTGGTATACGTTTGGCTGAATCTCGACAATTTGGAAATTTATACGCTAGTCTGAGCATTTAAAATCCTAGAGCCAGCTATAGTCGATAAACAATCGAATACAAATTCATGAAATGTTTAGATTAGGGCGCTCTTGCTAACAGACAAGGTCCGTTTTCAGTTCATATAGATTTATCCGATTTAACTAAAATAAGACATTCATTGGGTCGATCGATGTCTCCTATCAATTCTTGTAAAGATTAGAAAATAAAAGTTTTTTGAAAGAACCTGTTAAAGAACCTGTTTGTAGAATAAAATTTGATTCAGTTTAATTTAATTTAAACAAAACAGAAAGTTTTTGCATTATAAAAAGTAAAGAACAGTTAGTGATAATTCAAAAACTACATGATGGTCTGTCGTATTTCACATCTTAAAGAAACACAAACTTAGAACCACGTAGATCATATGGATGACTGCATGAGGAAAACGATAAACTGTTGTTAACTGTTATCATTCAAATTTCCATCACTGCTTTTGGTAAGGTAAGCACTTCAGTTAAAACATTACCCTAGGCAAGTCGCTCTGCAGAGAGAGGTAATTTTCAGCCTATCAAAATGGATTGATTCAGCTGAAAGACTTGCTGTAGTCGTTGTAACGACTAGAAATTGAGATTTGTATTTTACCCTTAATATGCATGAAGTAAATATGAGCACTCTTTGTTACAAATTACTGACTACGGCGGATGCTTTACCGAGGTAGCCACCTACCTAAAATCTTGTTGAAAGCTCTGTTGCTTATAAAAGATAAAATTAAACACATCTCGGTGATTGTAAGCAATTAGTACATAAACAGATAAGAATTTTGGTCTTGTTAGCTGCTAAAAAAATAGTTTTTTTAAAAATTACTGGTCTCGTGAGTAATTGAAGGCCATAGTCTCTCTTTGGCCTTCGTTCTGCCTAACGCAATATCCGATGGGTCATTTAGTCTTTAAAAGAAAAATCTGAGCCGGATTCAGACAAAATGTATTTCACAGCAGCCAACGGGATAGACAATCACCTGTGTGCCACGATAAATGAATATCACAGCTACACTGCTAATTTGCGAGACTAGCTTCAGACGCATATTCTTTTCGTTCACGACTTCCCTTATCCTGATTAATTTGCTTCAAAGAGAGAAGAGTAAATAACAATAAATAATAAATTGAAATAAAAATTAATACACATCTATTCACATATGCATTGGCAGAAATATTGGACAAGATGGCTGCCATGCTTGCGCATTTCGTCCATAATGGCGTCCAAATAATATAAGAAACTGTATGGAAATTTGTAAAATTTCTAAAATATAACAATCAGGAGCTCATGGTCCCGTCTGCTCTCGATCGAGACATATTCAGTACTGATTCTGCTATTCATCAAACCTCAAAGTGACTCGATAAATAAAAACCACTTACTTCCCGAGCCAGTTCTTTTGTCATTGTTCATTGACCTAAGTCGCCTTACAGTTCTTCAAAATCCGTCGTTCTCCATCCCAAACACTTGCCTATTACAGGAAAGTGCATCAACGAAGTCAACTGCTCTCGATTGAATTGACTGCTACTGAGTTCGAAGCTTCCAAATATCCTGTAAAATTGCCATTTCCTCCCGTCAAAAAACTTCCCAACGCGCCAGAATATCCCGTTTTTTCCATATTGAGTAAGTAACGAGACGTCATGTTGAAAACTATGACAGAAATGGTTAAACACGAGCAACATTGATCTTCGAATCGTCGGCCATATTTGTTTATGTTCTTGCTGGGAAATAAATTAGTTCTCAGGTCCTTTTCGGAATAAAAATATACCAGGCGTTGAATGCAAATTAAGTAGTCTTGGCGCGAAAATTTAATAAAGGCAAATCAAAATTCTGACATCAAGTCATCGCTTTGCCCCCGAAAAATCCCAAAGATTTACTGGCAGATCTTCTTTTCGTTTTCTTTTTATCAAATAGAAGATCTGTGGTGCTCAAATTGTGTAAGTCATGGTACGAAACACGCTTCTTTGCAGATCGAGCCGTAATTGCCGCCATATTGACTTTTCTTGATATTCTACTGTTCCGGAGTGTAATACGATATACCGCTGATAATTGTTAGCGGGCTCGAAATGTCCTTGATTTTTGGCGATGTTATTCATATGAGCGCGTCGGTCTTTGTCTGCAAGCCTAGATGTAACTGCATGCTTGAAGCAATTCACAGTCAGCTCTATTTGGCAATGCTAAAGATTCAGAAACCATTTTATGTAAATTTTCAAAAGCAGTAGGCTTTTTATCATTTTAAATGTACTTTTCAAGAAGCCATCTTTGAAGTTCTCTAGTGAACCCTTTAACTTCCGTGAGTGACCAAGACAGAATTTCTCCTTACAATATCATCACAAAATCAAGAAGACTAGTTATGAGAACCAAGAAAGGTATCAATTAGGAGTTATTAGTTGACCAATACCAAATTCTCAGAAATAACATCAGTAGATTTGTATAGCAGACAGCAAGGAGGATTACTAATGAGATCTTCGGGAGTTGAAGGGTTCATATGATTTAACTCTTTAAACCCTGAGAGTTACTAGCATCTAATTTCTCTTCACAGTACCACCCCTGGATTAAACATTAAGGTCAGGAGAATAAAAGAAATGATCAACAACTTAACGAGCTCTCGACCATAAACGAATTTCTCCCAGTCAGCGCCATAGGGAATGTACACAGAACAGTTTTGCCGACTGGTAAAAATTTCGCGAAACATTTGCATAAAGTGTATTTGATCGATAATTTTTGCCTTGCAGCTTCTTTTTCGGTAGAAGGTTGATAAGTTAAACAAGCTATATTTACTTTCTGCTTCGACTTCCATATCATACATCTGTTTCTTTGTTTTTAGAATTTCTAAACATTTGTGAAACACAAGGACGGGACTCTAGAACGTAGCGGAGCTGTTAGTTGTAAAAACAAAAATGTTTTCCTCGCGTCAGAGTACCAAGATCTGTCAGCCGAGCCCTGTGTGTCGCATGGGTTATCTGGGTACAGATTCACTCACATAATCAAGAGGTAGACTAAAGCCCTCATTCAAAGAAGCGCCCCTACTCTGTTTCAGTGATATCTCTGTAAGAGTAACATTACATTGAGATCAACCGTGGTTCATCTTCCTTTAATTGCTTACTTAAAGGCTTATTATACAAAAACAGTGGTCTTCGTCTTAGTTTCTCAACTATTACGTCCATGTGAGTGCATAGTTCTTTCAAACGAATAATCTCGTTGTCTTCCAATTTTGCGACGACGACTGGCTGGTCGTTTTAGCCAGGAAGGATTCAGGGACAGCAAGTCCGTTTTCCAGTCTTCTTAATCCTCTTTAAATAACCATGGTGCAATTCACAACGAACTTTTAAATGCAGACAATTGTACCCATTTCCGGCTGATGAATGAAAGCATGTCACATTTACGTCCTCCCATCAATTAAGCGGAGTTGACTGATTTACCAACACAGGAGCGACTTTCATGAAAATTTTCAAGGAAAAAAAAGGGACTGAGTTTCTTTAGCCCACCAGCATAACAACAACTAAGATTTCTATAACTTTCTTTTTCACCTAGTTAATTGGTATCAAGATGAACAGGTCGTTAAATTCAAGACTACTCAATTTTGAAATACAGCACAACATGGCGCTAGGTGCTGGATTTTCACCCCACTCATTTTACTTCTACTTCAAATCAACTCTGCTAGTGATTTCATCCTCCATGATGATGATATATGTCCTCTGGAACAGAAGAATCGAAGCGAAGAAAAATGACAGGTTGGATACACGTAGGAAGCTCAGTAATGATAATAGTGGTAATGGATAAAAATGACAAAAGGAACAAGCGAGCGGATGAGAAAAGATTATGAAAAGAACACATGAAAGACTAATTTAACTTATTACACACGACCTTCAAACCTGTATTTTCCCCATTTTTTCAACTTACATTTCATTGTTCTAATAACAATTTTTTTTGTCTCATTTTTCCTTTGGATGTAATTTTAACTTTAATAAGCTACTTACTACGAAGAGAGTTTCGATTTTTGCTGCCATTTCCTTGGATTGATATGACTCCTCCTTAAATGTAAGTCTCTCCGGCATTTGAAAACTGAAGGATTTGAAAATGTTTCTGTGTAATCTACTCAAGTGTAATTAATTGAAAAGGGAAAAAGTGGAAGGAGGAAGGAAGCAGTAGGGAATAGCTTAAATCCAATTTCACTCACCTTTACTTCTCTTGAGAAGTATTCCAGCTGATTTACGATGTCATTAAACGAAGGTCTCATCAAAGGATTCTCGTTCCAACAAGAGCTCATTAACGTATACCTACAAATGCATTGCATCATTCTTTAATTTTGAAGACCTCTTCAGTCACCTAGCTCACTCAATCTTCACCCAGCTAAACTACGGAGCACCTACGACAGCAACATTCCAAATAGGTAGAGTTCCAAATCTTACGGGAGCCAGAGTACTTCGTCGACCCAGTCACGTGACAAATGCTTCAAGTTACTTAAATAATGAGAGAAGTGTCGGCTGTTAACGTGTAAGCAAATATATGTAAGAAATAGACGGTCTTGCAAATGATCGAAACACTTACAGTTCTTCTGAGCATTGATGAGGACGAGGCATCCAATAGCCCGTAGATAGCCGACTTACTAGGGAAAGTGGTGATTTGATGCTTGGGTAAGGCAACTCACCTGTAAAGCAAAATAACCGGGTATGCTCGATGGTAATAACTTTTAAGTTTAAAAGCCTAATGGATTAACGTCTTACTAACTGAGCGTGAGGGCCGAGGGTGTGGCAGTACGGACTGAGCGCAGCCAAGTGCGCACTAAAACAACCGAGGTCAAATATTCCACAGTAAGACTCGAGCAAGCGAGGTTAGTAAGTAGTTTGTTGATTGACACTCGGACCAAACTTGTTAATTTTGTATTCGCCGACTTTCGCGAACAAAAATACGCAGTGTATGATCGTTTCCTCGGGACGGTCCGTATGGACAAATCCCGACCCGAACTAATGACCGCTCGCCGAATCTACTGAATTCACTGAACGCTTGAATTTACCTCAGGACCACTTCGCCATATGATAAAGCGTTTAAATATAGCTGTCCTAGGCATAGAAATCATCGAATGTTTCTAGACCCACCATATATTGCTATTTCCCAAAGTAGTACGTGTAAGTATATGTGGACGTGTAAGTATATGTGAAAACACAAATAAGCCATGCGACTAATCTTCGCAGCCGATCCTATTTAAGATAGCGTTGAAACAGGGAACACCAAAAACTGCTCCAACTGTAATCTTCGCTCTTTTAACTCCTTCGTCGCTGTCTAGGAGTGGTTCTGAAGCTTCTTTAGGCTGTGGGGCCATTCGTCCTCGTTCTTCCATAAGAATTCTGCTTTATTTTTCCACATTTCTAGTTTCTTGGTCTCTGAGGCTTTGATTTCTCAAGAAGCATAGTCTGCAGGGTTGTGTTCTGATCTCACATGACGCCACTGCCTTGGTTCTGACTCTTCCTGTATAATGGCCACTCGGTTGGCAACAAAGGTAACAAATCTTCGCGTTTCGTCGGCAATATACTTCAGAAATATTATCCAATCGAATCACTCCAGTAACACTGTCAATCCTCAATCTTCCTTCAAGTTAATTCTAACTACAGCACCGTGATTGCGTTCTTCATTGGTCTCACGCGCGAATTATCCATGATAAAACTGCTATGTATCTTACCTTGAAATGAGGCGCAGATATGAGACTGTTCCATAACCATTCTCTTGCGACGCATCAGCAAAATGATGTGGCTCTGCCCGTGTAACTCTACCAAAGCTTTCTGGCTTTAAACATCTCGAGATCCTGAATCCCTGCAAATTAATAAGGCCTCCTCTCCACTTTCTCCGATGGAGACGGATTTCTTCTGGGATATTGTTGTCCCAACTTAGCTTTAATTTACACAGTTCTTGATTGATTTCTCTTTCAAGTTGTAGTAACGAACTGGCAAATCTGAGTGGATCGAGTACGGTCGCAACCGAGGACAGTACTCCCTTACAATTCTCTGGCTGTTCTCGCTCGCTAAAAACGAAGTCGATCGTATAACGTTCTACGTCCCAATGGATTCCTAAAGCCTTATCCAGAGAAAAGTTGTCGGATTTCAAATCCTTAATGTGCGTAGCTTCTTTTCCATTGGAACGCTGACAAGACATCACCACGGTTTAAAATCCATTTTGGGAGTTGGAAGCAACAGCTGGAAGTTGAATCTGATAATTCCCATTTACTAAGGTCACTGACTGATCCATGATTACTTCGGCTTTACGGTATTCAACCGACATGCCTTCTTCTAAAGTTCCGTTCGTGTAGCCAAATTCTTCATTGTACATGCCCTCCAGTTGTGCATCAAGAACTTCACGCTCAGTGTGTATTATGTTCTTCCCTCTAGTCTAACTGCAAGTGGATAATTTCTGGATGATCACTGCCTATCAGGATTGTTACTCTTTTATCTCCTGTTTCGGGTACACTGATGTCTGCAAAGTGAGGCTACTTCCTTATTTCCTCGTTGGTATCCATATGCCCTAGCGTAAAAGGAAGACTCCCTGCGGTTAACACATGTCTAAGTTTGAACTCTGTATCTCCTTAAAGAGACTTAACGCTCAGCTGAACCTCAAGGTCGGTCCTTTTCTCTTCACAATTGACTGTCGCCATCGTAACACTAGTCGACTTCATATCATTCAAATTTAACTCGAGGCCCTCGAAGCAGGAACAGGCCCTCGAGGCAGGAACTAGCATCTGACCAAGAACACTCACATGAGTAACTATCTCTTTGGCACCATTGCGACTACTGATTTTAACTGGGACAACCTTCAAGCACACTCGAGGTCGACTGGTCCCTACCACGCCCACAGCAACAGGCTCACTAGGTGGAGTTTTAGTGCTCGGAGGATTATCTGATCCAATCTTAGCGGCTATTGACCCTGGAACGTAGCGGAGATCTGCGACAGTTCCTTTTGCTGCACCATTCCTTTCGGCACTTCGAAACGTATTATGGCCTTTAGTCTAGATGCCACTCCCATTTCCGTCGGCTTCACTAAAATGGATTAGATAGTGATGGTCTTAGCCACACCCTGGCTTTGAGCATGGGAATCCTCTGGGACACTGTTTCGCGTTATGTTCCTGTGAGAGACATGCTCTGCAAAGTCGGTGTTGTCTCGCAGTCTTTGAACGATCTCTTAAAGAGGAGCTTCTAAACATCCGACAGCTCCAGACTCCATGTGGTCCCGAGCACTGTGGACACTTCAGTGGAACTCCGGTAGGTATGGCGATACCCTGCTGATCTTCTTCACTGTAAGTAGCAAGTGTTGTGACTTTAACCCGGTAATCTGCCTTTCCTTTGCCAGATTCCTTACTTTCTCTCTTAGCACATTGAAAAAACTTCAGTTCTTTTCCATGTCCATTGTTGAAACGCTGTGCTGCCTCTCTAACAAAATTAATGAAAACAAATACGCAGCTCGACCATTGCTCTTGATGAGATCTCCTGCTCTATCGACCGACTTTCTTTTAAGACCTTCATCGGGAAGCTTTCTCATTAACGTAATTATCACATCCCCACTGAACTTTTTTAACTCTACTTTTGGTGGGGATGGACCTGGCTTGATCCCTTGTGCAACTGTTTCCAAGCTTCTGACCGCTGTGCAGAGGTCAGTGACTAAGGAGAGGTACGGGTATTGCATTGACAAAGGTGGGTCGATTGTGAAACAAACACTGGGTTGACTTCAGTAAGACTTGTTCTTGGGGCACAATAATAAGCGGGTGTTGACTGGAAACTCGCTGGTGATAAGTTCGCAATAGAGTACAATGGTGGCAGAATCGTGCCAGGCGCAGGTGTTGTAGTTAGTTAAGGAGAGTGTCGAGTCACAGAGCTAACTAAGGAGTGAGATTCCCTCCTGAAGCTGACGCCGGTGACCAAAACTGAACTCAGGTGGGGGCTTTTTTTTCTTCTGTCTTCTTTTTCTCGCTCCATTCATTCTTCATACCTGGCAACGGTTTCTTCTACTTCTGTTTTTCAACTCCTGAGCTTGTAATAAAATCTTGCACGACATTTTCACAGTTCTCCTAAATGTCCAGCTCTCCGACGCCCAGCATGAACGGCTCTCTTCGGTGTTGACTTCCTCTTCATTCAAAATCTCGCTTGGTGCTTTCTTCCTAGTTTCCATAGTTGAACCTCGAAGATTTTCGCCAACAGAAATTAAATCCACGTAGGCCTACGGCTAACGGTGGCTATACATTCAAATTTCCACCGCCCTCGTCGCTCCTAAACGCGTTGACTTCTGACAATTTATTCGGCGCCTCTTCAGCAATATGTCGAGTTACTATACGTGCGATTCTTCAAAGACAACTTTTACCTTCGAACTACTGGCCGATTTTCTTTTCTGTTTGCCGGTCAGCTGATGACAAACCACTCTTGTAAACAGATCTCGACATAAGAACTCTAAATTTGAATTAGATAGGGGCCAGCTACGCTTGGCGTAAATACATACGACACAACAACCTGTATGCGTCCAGATTCCTTATATTCTTGTAAACAACGATTTACAATGCGAGGATCTATCCAGTGACGATTTGATTTTCTAGTCCCCTAATGGTGTAATTTTTACAGCCTTACATCCTACTTATTTTGGTAGAAAAAAATCTTCATGACAGTGACTTAATTTGCAATTTTCAGAAACAACTTGGCTAACATTTTTAAGGAAATATTTGAGTTGTAACAATATCATGTAATCAGTTACATATTACTGCTTTCAACATACTTGTAACTGTTGATTCGCGTGGTAACACCTGTCTTCTTTTTGCAGAAGCAATATTTTCGGTCTTTTCTGCAAGAAACAGCAAGAGACGTCAGACACAAAACTTTTGTGCTAATTGACATGGAAAAGACTGAAATTTGATATTAGTGAAATTCTGTCAAGTTTTTACCAGGAAAATGCTGTGAAGCAAAGGTTATGTTTGTTGGGCGACCAGCCTTATCTTCAAAATTAAGCGATCTTGGCTCTAAACCGTAGGTCTCTTTATCTTTAAACATAAAAAAGTTGTCGTTTGATCAGTCCACTTGATAGAAGTGTAGGCACTTTGGGTTGATGACAAATGTATCGCATTGTTTCAAACTGGATAGAATAGATATATTGTTACCTTCAATCTCGGTCCGTAGTCTTTGGTTTTCAGTAACTAGGTCTTATTGTTTATTTAACAGTCCCTCAATCATCCCATCTGGCTCTTTGAGAATTTCGTCCGGAAGTAATAATTGGGAAGCCCAATACTTGGATTTGACGGCCCGGCGAATGTTGCCATTCGAGGCTTGGTTCACCTTCTTAACTGTATATTCTACCCTGCTGTGAACAGCTTTTCCGACACAAGCGCGGAAACACGAGGACAACGTATACCCGATTCTCCTCAAATTGCACTGGAGAGCATCAAATACGTCGTCAGGATTTTTTAGTCGACGCAATTCTTGAAGAGCTTCACCTCGATACTTCGATTTCTTCTATTATGCACACTCCGAGGTTTAAAAAAGCTACCCGTTGGGTCTGAGATGATAATTCATAAGTTGCGATTAATAGTTGATAAAAAAGAAATATTAAATAGATAAATAATAATATAAATAATAGCAATAATAACAGTAATAATGATAATGGTAATAATAATTCTATTAAATGATAAAAAATTGCGATTGTCTTTGGCCGGCAGAGATATATGCCATGGTCAGTCAATCTGGATTGAAACACCTCAGCAATACAATGGATCAGAACATTAATAACAATGGCATTTACAACTTATCCTTCTATTGAGTCTTGAAATTGTCGAATAAGTTTAAAAAAATATTGCTCTTTCTTCGACTGCCAGTGAATTTCATTACTGCGAAACATTGACAAACCTTACTGACTCCTTTGTTATCATGATGACAAACTCGAAGGTTTCCTTGGACAAACGCGCAGTTCTAAACAGACCAGTAAAGCATGCTTCAACGACACAACCATCTATAGCTTCGTCCGTAGGTGTGAAAAGCTGAGAATGTGGACATCTCATTTGGTGGTATACATGGAAATGCTATTTTGTAGATGCGGCCATCGCTTCAGCCTGATGACGTCATCCAAAAGCTTAATGAGGATACGGAATGGTTACAATCGAAATTGACTTGGTAATCAATAAATAGTCATACGATAAGCCTCTAGTCTTTTTATTGCAGATATTAAATAGAGTGTTTAACATTATGTTAGATACAACTTAATGTGTTTGGATTGTGTACAAAATTAAACGCTCATACGTGCTCTCATTTCGTCAAGTTTTTCGACAAGCATTCCATGTTGCCATAGCAAAATTGTTCCGTTTACCACTGTACGCATCCTTTGTGTAGTGTTTTTTTTTTCTTCGTACGAATCGAAAACACTTAGGAAAATTATTAATTTGATCAACTCACACTCTATTAAGACGGTTCTCTCCGTTTATGACAAAAGCATTTGATACTAAGAGCAAAACGTTAAATGTCAATAACAATGCAATCGCTTGTTTTCAAATAAAAGTAACTTGAAAGTTAAACAAATCACCAGAAGTGATGCATATAATTTGAAGAAGATGCTTCGTTAAGTGATACCTGAGTGCTAACTAGTACCGCACGACTGATTCATAATCAAACTACCAAATTTTACCAAATTTCATACCGTCGTTAGGAGATCTCCTACTAGGTCTGCCACAAGCACATTTGCTAAATAGTTTCACGATACAACATGAAATGTTGTTGCAAAGTTTGCAAAGTACAGCTGTCTGCATAAACGAGCTGTTTTTCAAGTTGGTTGTTTTTTATTTGTTTGTTTGTTTGTTTCTCTTCTGATTTTATCGATTACGGAAGTTCAATTCATATCTATCCAATTTTCCTTATTCTGAAACCGATTAAATTATTTATTATTGGTATTCTTTGAGAATTAATTCATCAGTTTTTTGTACTTTTATTATTATCATTTTGTTAATCAAGGATAAAGCTTTCGCATATTCTTCTAATATACATATGGAGAGAAATTTAACTAACACAAACCTACACTTAGTTTAGCACCGAGAAGTGACAATTATGTACCCTAACGACGGTCACTGGCCCATTTTCCCAATCTCTTAACTGAGGCCTTCTCTGCAACTTCCTCACTTGGTCCTGCACCTTCATTTCCGAGATCTTCAACCCTGGAGTATTTTGCCTTGTCATAAGCGTCCATGTCAAGAAGTTCCACATACGTCTTAGGAAAAAAGTAACAAATGAGGGTAATACATCAGCTGCAGAGCGCTAAGGTTTAAAGTCTAGGATATGCGTGAGTGAGTTTCCTATTTTCTCTCTAAAAATAGAGAAGTTGCAAGTACGTGGGTAGAACTGAGCAGATTTATGGAGACGATCACAATCGCCGTAAATATCAGAAGGAGCCAACAAGTTGAAATACTTCTAAATGGCCTGACAGGCTAGAAAATGTCTCTTACCAGAAGTATAAATGGTCTCAGCTGAAACTTTTATAGAGCGAACGGAAATAAAACCAAAGCTACTAAGTACTCCCAACACATGGGGGAAAGGTAAGAAGTTTGAAAAGTTTTCGAGACTTTAAAAAGCATAAAATATTGGGAAGTTGTCAATTCTAGAAACAAACCTCTTCACGAAGGTATTTGTCCATTCTTTGTCGCAGGTTTTCAAAAAGAGGACGGAAGTCAGGGTTACGATTCCAGCACCTTTTCATGATATCATACCTGAAATTTAACAAGGATGGTCTACTCTTAACTACTCTTTTATAGATTGTGCAAAGAATACCAATAAGGTCCTCCTACAGGAACCTTTTCTTAAAAATAGTATAGGCAATGGTTCAGGTTTGTCCTTTTATTGAAAATAGTATAGGCAATGATTCAGGTTTGTTCTGGGACGTCGAACATATCGCACTACTTCACTCGCTCTGATGTTTTTCAAATACATTTTAATGTCATAATTGTCCACGCTGCATCTCGCTGAATGCGGGATGCTCCTGGTTCACAATCACATAACAGAAACCTACTGATATGATTGTAGTCCAGTTGCTTTATTGCAAAGATTTCAGCAATGAGAACGGTAAATGTGTCGTCTTAGATCTTAGGTTATTTTTGGGAAGACGTTGATATTATGCTAAAAAAGTGCAACTCACACTTTGTTATCAACATGATCGGGCTTTGGCATCTGATATCCCTTTGTGACCTCTGCAACCACCATGCCTTCTGACCATCCGTCGTACGGAATCCCTCCTGTCAATGCATAAGGACAAGTACATGTCACATTTCTTAATATATCAACTCTGCAGTGACCGTCTCACAACTAAGTTACAGAACGGAACATTACGTAAGAACTAAAGAATTACCTTAAAGAATTTTACAGGGATAAATGGCCAAGAAGTAAGTAATAACAAATCTTATTAAAATAATAGTAACAAAAATAGCATTACTTCTATAGTGCTTGCGCATTGCTGTTCTAAGCGTTAAATGTATTGACTGAACATAGTTTGGCTTACCAAGGGTAACTATCTCATAAAGAACGATACCATAGGACCACCTAACGAGAGCATATCAGAAAGATTCCACAGTTAATCGCTGAGTGAATTTTGGACTAGAAATGATAAGGAAAAATCCAAAGGTAATCAGTTTGTTAGGTTGTTGGATTAATATACATATCTATACATACACATCACTCAAGGTGGAAAGTCCAGCAAGTTCTCCCAGCAGAATCTCTGGTGCAGTCCATTTGATTGGCAAACATCCCTGGAAAACAACCAATAAACGTTTGCCTTACAAAACTTATGTCCCTTTTTTTCAAAGCCATCTTTAAAAAAATATGAAGCTGCATGCATAACGTAAATATGTTAAAATGAGAAAAGAAAACTACATTTCTCGTTCCCATATAGGTCAATCCAATGTTGGCCTTCGTAAAGCTGTCACGCAAAACAGAAAACGTAACTCCTTTCGCGAGACTTTCTACAAAAAACGTAAATGAAATTGACATATCCCGATGCCCAAGCCAGAGTACTTATTCTGTTTATTTCGAACTCTGTTTTGTTTTGCTTCTTTCTTTTAATTCAAAGTGAGCTATGAAACCCTGTTGGTAGTCGAGGTACATTAACTTTCTGCAGAGAATATTCTTACGCTTACAACTTGTTTCCAGAAAAACCCCGCACTGTTACAACAAAAAAGTGTTTTCTACCTTTTTGGCATTTCCATGGCCATACTTGAAGCTTTGATATGCCATACCAAAGTCCGTCACTTTGCAAACACAGTTTTTATCAAGGAGAATGTTTCGAGCTGCCAGGTCACGATGGATGATCTATCAGAAGATAAGGAGCCAGAATACAAAAGCTAAGAAACGATAGGTTTATATAGCGCAGCGGAGAATCAAACGTTTGAGTACGTTCGAACGAAAAAGGGCTCAAACTAAGTCAGCCCTATATAATGATTTAATGCTGACAAAACCAACATTTCTACTTTTTTTTATTAAAAGCAGTGACCTGCTAATGTCAACAAAAAGCATCATGGCTAAAAAAGGTCTTAGAGGTTTTATCTAAATTCAAAAGCACTCAAATATGTTGGCCAAAATCCGAACTATTAAAAAATAAAAGTTTAAATCTTTGAAAGATTTTTCTGAGTTAGAATTGACATGCGAAAAGTATTCCACTTACCCCTCGCGATCCAAGGAACACCATACCGGTGGCGATTTGTTTGGCAAACATCACAAGATCGTAGTTGGTCAAATCCTGGGCTCTTCCCTCACCAAGATAATAGCGATCCCTCACTCCTCGACATTTTCTCAGGTAACCAAGGAGGTCACCACATGGCATGTACTCCATGATGAGTATTGGGTGAACTTAAGCGACGTAAAACAAAAGAAAAAGTAAATAAACCCCATGTCAAGGCTCCTTACTGTATATATATATATAAAAAACATTCCGGATGACTTTCTTCATAAAGCAGTTTAGCCTACACGAAGGACTCATTTTTCGTTACCTACCCTCAGCAGAATTTACTTTCAAAAATTTGCCATAGGTTAAAGGGAGAAAGCCGGTTAGCCCATTTAACGAGATTTCAGGCTATCCGAGCGAGATCTTAGTGAACTGTCGATAGATACATGCTCTTGGAGAAAACAGTCTGGTTGCCGCACAAAGAAGACAAACTTCGTTCCATTAACATTTTATTTACGGAACTCATGTTAAGAGGTCCGAAGAGGGTTCATTCAGCATTTGTACTATCGTTAATAAAATATACCTAGAAAAGATGCTTTACGCTTAGTACTTACTTTCTGTCGTAACGCAGCCCATGAACTTTACAATGTTTGGCGGAATGTTTTCACCGATAAGTTTCCCCAGCTCAATTTCCCTCATCAGACATTTCCTTCCTTCCTCTCCAGCAGTGGCTACAACAAAAGTATACATTCATTGAGACACATTCTGATTAATACATATGTTCAAGCCAGAAAGAATTCGGAAGAGTTACAAACCTCGCATATTCCTATAACCGTTTGGATGATAATTTTCGCAGCTAGCAGATTACCTAACTCTCAGAACTCAGCCACGGCTGAGTTGACTGTGAGTATAGAGGCCGAATCGAAACCAGTTGAGGTTTGAATCTTATCGATAGTTCTTACTCTCTTTAGTTTTACCATCACTGCAGATGCTTCTCACCTTTCGTTCGGTAAATGTCTTTTGCCAGCGAAAAGCACCGTATAGTCAGTCTGTTAGACTGCCTACTTCAACACGGGATAATCAGTCACTGGTAAGGGGAGAATAGGTCCAAAGGAAGGAAAAGACCCTACTGGATTCAGCAGCAGATCTAGAGGGAGGAACCAACGTATCTGCAACACCCTCCTCCGGGGGAAAAAGGATTTATTGCAGGATCACTTTTACGAGCAAACTGGTTGGTTATCTTCTTTGTTTCTTTGCTCCTTCCCCCGCTTTCTCTTTTTTTTTTTTTTTTTTCCCGCGCGTAACCTTGAGTGAATAAGAGGGGGTTGTGCGTTGGTCGAGAAGTAATTTTGGACCCTCTTTCCTTTAAGCGTCGCTTGTCTAATAACCAAGAAGTTGTTTTTACTAATTAGCACTCCATCCTTGGTCCAGTTAACAGATACTTGTGGATTACCTCTCAAATAACACTCTTTTTTAAATGTGGAGTCAAATGCAACGATGAGATTTCTAGCCTCATTACGAACACGGGGTGGAACTGCAAAATAAGCATGTAAACACAAATTACAAAATTTAGAAGCCACCCAACCTCCCTCCCCGCAAATAGAAAAAATAATTATTAATAGCAATAGTAAATAACAATAAAAAAAGAAGGAAAAGAAGACAATGAGCCACTTTTTTATCATATCAAACAAATCCTTCCAAAAACCACATCAGTCAGGCTATATTACTAACTTAGCCATGAAATCATCAAATTGTTAGAGTGAGAACAAAGGAACAATTGTAAAGACTTTCCAGTTCTTCGCAATAAATAACTAATGAAGCACTCTGAAAAAATTATTCATTCAGGACCTGTTCCTCACTGGTGAATCAGTCGCAGATAATAGCTGAAAGCTCTTGCATTTTTTTAAAGTTTCCGATAGTTTTCTACAATTATCTTTACCCTTAGCTCAGACCCAGACACCTTAATCTAGAGTCGGACCCACTGAATATTGATCCGCACTCCGTAGACATATCAAATGCATGATTGAATTATAATACAGTTGTGAGCTTTATAAAACACACCCTTTACAGAAATGTTAATGCCTTTTCTAGAATTGCCTGCTTCATTCTCTGCCCTACAAGTGTACCGCCCTTCGTCCTCCTTTGTTATCTCAGAAAAGAAGAGAGACAAACTCTGTCCTTGCAATGTATTATTCTTGAGCCAGGTGATCCGTGGTTCAGGCCGACCCGCCACAACTTTACACGTCAAGTTTACACTGTTTCCTTCTACGATGAGATTGCTTGCTCCAGAAATATCCACTTTTGGTTGAACTAAAAGGTAAATAAATAACATATTATTGGAAAATCGGAGGTATTCCTATATCATTTGCATTAAACACATTAGACGCCGTAACTAAATGAACATTTGATGATGACAGTAGCGCTTCATATGAAGTATAATCGTTTGTCAGATCGCGAACCTTTCGAACTTCGTATCGAGGTCTACATACTCCTATTATCTCGGGCCACCAGTTTACGTAAGACAGAAGGCGCAGCCATGGGGAGTCTGGTCTCCGCCGTTATTGCTAATCTCCACATATAGGGTTATAGGAGCAATCAATAACCTTATCATCTTACCAGCGAAGGATCTCGAAACGCTATGTATATGACACATTCACAATCTTGGTTCGCGAAAACGCTGATAGCTTCCTACAGCATTTGCAGAACCGAAAGCATTCCATTCACTTCATTGATGTTACAAATAGTAACAACACACCCGCCATCTATGGCACTGCATCTTTAAAACAAGAGCCCGTGGTTTACAAGATTCCATGTGAGTGCGGCAAAGTTTAGATCGGCGGAACAGGCAGACCTATGGAAGTAAGGTTAAACGAGCAATATGGCAGATCGAGAAACGACATGCTAAGACAAAGGCCTCTGCAGTTTCAGAAGACACCTGGAAACCACCTGCTCTGGACTGAAGTAGAGTATATTGATAGTGATCCTATTATTATTAAACGCAGGGTAAAAGAGGCCATCCACATGAGACTTTGCCTGTTACAGCATAAATTGGACATTGGGATAGACATCTCAGAAACATGGATGCTGACCACAAGAAACACAAAAACAGGATAACTTTGCGACAGTGGACTTCGGAAGAACATTTGGTCAAAGCGTGCCAATCGAAACCTATGTGGGATTCCAGCGAATCACAGCCAAACAGAGAGTTTCATAAGGTCATGCATATCTACCGACCTTATAGCACGCAGAAGACACAAGATGCCGTCAAAAAGTCGCGATCCATATCCAAAGTGACTTCATGGCGAGATAAACGATTATACTGCATTCAGAGAGTGAATTTGTCACCAAGACCAACCGAAGTCGATTTAAGCACATTACCAGTTTGGAGAGAAACTATAAACTTCATCAAAGAGCACTTACTTTGAGTCATGACGAGGAAACTACACTGTTGATAAATAACTTGAGTATTGTTTTTAACATGACACCCTACTTGCAAACAACTAAAATCAACGAACACATCCACGATAAAATGTCGCCTCACATATCTGCGATGGACAGCGGAAAGGTTTTAAATTGAGTAAATTAAATTAATTACATTTGAAGAACTGACTTTATGACTTTCTATCTATTATCCCATTGGTCACTCACTTAGAACTGACACTCGAATGTCTTTATCTTTGCTTGTGACCCTCTTTGCTTCTTTAGTTTGTTTCATGGTACAGGTGTAATTTCCATCGTCTTCAGGCCGTACAGATTTAATATGCAGGCTACCGTCGGATACTTGAGTGAATCGTTTCGGGTTTAAGGACTTTCCTCCTTCCTTACTCCAAGAAATCTGTGGATTTGGTTTTCCATTAGCACTGCAGCTTATAATGCCAGGCCTGTATGCCATAACAGTTTGTCGGTTCAACGTCTTCTCAGTAAATCTTGCTGTTGAAAAGAGTAATGAAAAGTACTAATATCATAGCTACTCTTTTGAAAGGTCAGAGGTGTACTTGTCTTACATGACATTGTCCTGCATGTTAAGCCTATTTCTACAATATAAAAGATTTGTTTTCATACCATTAATGTAGACAATATAATATTGAACATATTACAATCTCTGGCATTCATATATTCCTCCATCAGACAGCTGCACATTATCGATGAACAAATCACCATTGTCGACAGCCCTGATCCTTTCAGTAGTAGAGTTTGTTATTTCAAGCTTTCGCCCATTGATGACCCATCTAGCATAATTGGTTTTATTGTGTATAGAGCAGTGAAGCTTTTCGCTGCTACCAATATCAAAATAGAGTCTACCTCTTTTCGACACTTTCTTGTTCTCTGCAAAGTTTAGAAGATGTTGTCAAAATAACTAAAATTTTTTGTAACTAACACTACAAGAAGAGATAGAAAAGATGAATATATTTACCTGTACTAAAACCTAACTTGAGAATTTTTTTTAACTTTGTCGTACTTAAAACTAAGTCACATTACTCCAAACAAAGTCGTGTCAGCCATTAGTAAAGTAATGAAACTTTTGAATATAATTATATCGTATCCAAGAAAGGTTATGTAACCCATTAAAAAAAATTAGGTAACCCTCAACTGAAGTCAGGTGATCTTATGAGAAGTCATATTACCTTCATGAAAGTCATGTAAACCCTAGCTAGCGTCATTTCATCTCAAGACCAAGCTGAATCATCGATGAGGAGGGTAAGTTCCTCAAGAAACTGTGGTGCTGCGTCGGTGGAGGAGTATAACACCCACCACTGATGACGAAGGGCTAACACTCGAAATTCAGCTTTGAAACTCTTTACGGGGGCAAGTTTACATTATAAACTCTGTTAATAAAATCAAAATCATCTAAGTCATTTTTACCCTAAACTAAGTCATGTCATCCCCAGTCGAAGTCATGTCGCTATCTTAAGCGTAAAATCTGCGAACAGATATATGCTTGTCCGCGAGTCATACTTTAGCAGAATGTTTTTAGAAATGGTCTTCTGGTCATCTGTGTATCTCAATTTACTATGATTTCTCTCTACTTTAGAGGGTCAATGAGAAGAAGAAAGACAACCACGAAAACCAGAATAACTAATCAGACCTAAAAAGTTAGTTGCTTACTTGGTTGACACAACGCTTGAGAACCCATGTCATCCAAATGACATTGAAGTGGAATATTTAACCTTCCATCAATGCGATTGCATGATGCAAGTTCAAACTCTTCTCCGGTGCAAGAGACATCGGACATTGCAGAAGGTATTCCCTCAGCCTTTACGTCTGACCCAATGAATTCCGCCAAAGCCTCTTCAAAGCCAAGTTGACGACAAATAACTTTGACATCATTAAAGTCCCATTCATTCCTACATATCTTTGCCCATTTCCCCTCGTAAAACACTTCCACTCTTCCTCCATACTCCACATTTGCGCCATTCAAGCGAACAGGAACTTATGAAATTACAAAAAGTTCAATCCGTTAAGATGGAAAACACTAATTATCAAGAATCAAGAATGCCTATAAATCACGAATTGATAAATAGTTCATACCAGTCTAAGTGTTTTGTTTTAAGGGAAATTCTGCATGCAAATTATTCAGAATTCGAACGTTGGCCGCATCGTTCGTTGTCTAATGTGGTTCACAACATTTATTTAGTTTCCTTGCTGAAATGTTTTACGACAAACCTCTTTTACATTGCTTCGTGACTGTGTTTTAAATTGTAAAACTGGATTTTTCTTAAAAAATTTTGGAACATTCAAGACGTGTTTTCTTTACCTGGAAACGTTTACTTTAGGAGAACACAAAAGTGTGATTTACATTTTAAACTAGAGAGTCATTTTTAAAGCATTTCTCTCGGAATAATCAAGAAAAAGGCGTTTAGTTAAGTATAAGTAGAGTGAAAAATTGTGAAATTCCCTAGTTGCACGAAAGAGAGAGAAAAAAGGAAATTAGAAGGATGCAATAGTTTGAAGGAACTTAGTGAAGAGTTTAGAGGTTATGAAGTTCATGAAACCCAAATGCATAACTGCGCAGCTAGGTTCTTCTTTCGACAGTAATTCAACTATAATCGTCTAAGGGTGTAAAAAGTAGAAACCCGCTAGATTTTTAGCGATAGATACCTTTTTAGAACCTAAAAGATACCCGAAGATGAACAATCATTAATCTCGGAAAAGCTTTCATATCTGGAGAGTAAGTAAATCTATCAAGTTACCATCTTTGGAGATCATGTGGATATTACATGAGTGCAATTCACTATTACCTTTGCAAAATTGTTGTTTCTTTTCCGAGTTGTTTTGACATGTGGTGGGAATGGTACAGTTGTAGTGGGTGGACATCTCGGAAGCATTGCCACGTTCTGCGTACCATGTGTCATTAGCATAGACACCGTTGTTATAGTAGCCCATGGCCATGCAGGTTAAATTTTCATCTGCTTCATCCCATTCACCGGTACAAAGCTTTTGCCAGCTCTTGTTTGAGAATACCTTCATTGTACCGACAGAAGGGTTCTTCCCTGTTTCAAAACGCAGGGCCAATTCTTTAAATATTAAAAAAAAATTGATAAATAAGGATAACAATAAACAGCGTAAACTACTTCAGCATAGGTAAATTCTTGTGCTGATGATGTCTCCATATAATTACCTAGTAACAGATGTCCTTGCATCGTTGAAAGATTTCTTTTCAGTTTATGGTGAAAGAATTTCCTATTTCGCTAACATGAATTTCTTTACCAGCAGGTCAATGCCAAAACGTTATTTAGTAACTGAGGCCCTCGCATTTTTAAACATGTTTCTTGTCATTAGATGATAGTCAGCATTACCGGATTAGCTAAAAAGGTATTGCTTACGGGTAGTCCAACGAAATTCGTAGTCGCCATTGGGCAGATAGTGCAGACTTCTGACAGAGCGACCACAAATATCAGTAAAAACTTATGCCAATGATTAAATACCTATATTGTAGTACTAATGATAGTGGAGATTTGTTTTATTTCTTTCAAGAAGAGCATGGTGAATTCCATACATGGACTGAGTTTGTCCATTCATGAAGGATTTCTGACTTATAATGAACTCCTTACTTTTAATGATTTGTGCATTTCACATATTTTGCCTGGATGATTATATGATTAAAGTTCAAACTCAGCAGTTCCATTCATTTGTTGTTATTCTAACTTTTATTCCTGAATTTGCACAGTTTTTTTTCAAAATAGAAGTTTTTATCCACTGAAATCAGAAAGGCTGCAATTTGTATGTTACCTTCTTGGCAACTGGAAATGTTGCTACATTCTCTCAGCTGTGCTACGGTCCCATCGCAGTGTCTCCAACCATGTGTTAGTTGTGGATCAGTGCATTCTCTCTTTCTTGTTTGTATACCACCAACTGGCTTGGTACAGTTACTCCAAGAGTTCCACTCACTCCAGCCACCATCCATTAACAATGTTGTAAACAAAAACATTTGATGAACAACCATAGACGACATGTTTGGATCATTTAACAAAATAAAGTATGTAAGACGGTGGTGCAGTCGCCCCATATAAGGTAATTTAGGTCAGTACCAGATTCTGGATTCCACGCTGTGGATTCCGGATTCCGGGTGCTGGATTCCGGATTCCATCCCTACAGATTCCGGATTCCAAAACACAAAAGATTCCAGATTTTAGTTTCTGGTTTGCTCCTAATTTTCGCATCTCGTTTTCTAGAAATGACTTCAATGGCGGATTTAGTTATTGAAGGACATGTGAATGTATGTTTGTCTGCATATATTTCCATAACAACATTTGATAATTGCAAGAAATATATTACAGCAAATTAAGGGATAAATTTTTCTTCCAGGAATACCTGTTGAAACTGTCCGTCTCTTAAGTACAATGTCCATTCATTTCCCTTTTAAGTAACTGTGAAGAGGCGAGGCCATATTTCTAACAATCAGGTTCCTTGAAGTTCTTCATTTGATTTGACGGTATCAAAAGAACTTATGCTTCAAGTAATTACTTGTCATTTTTCATCTGTAAATAGCTGTTGGACTAAAAAGTTGTTCTAGCACTGCATAACCTTGGTCCGACTGCGAAAAGATGGCCATCTGCCAAGAAAACAGCTCGAAAATGTTTCCCAATCATCTCAAATTACTTTTCTAACTTTCCTTTGAACAAAAACCATAGCATTGACGAAAAATTTAAACTGAAATATAATTTCAATAACACCTCGAGTATGTCGCAAATAAATCGCAGACTATGACTACGAAAAGGTTGTTTTCCTATATGTAATTGGCGATGACGTTCGACATTATGAAATTGCGCATTAAACGGTGTTCAACCAACTCAACTATACCTTTGCAAAATCACGAAAGATCTGCATTTACACAGTGATTTTCCAAAAATAACAGATTCTTTTTTCTATACTTCCTTTTTTCTTTAAAAGGTTAGCCAAGCCAATTCACATTACGTCGGCTATGAATTCTCCAGAGCAACGGCTATAAAGGTTTAAGGTGGCCCACCGCTATTTTCTTTTCTAGGAAATGTTTTTTGACTCGAAAAATCTGGTAATATCTTATTTTATCCGCACTGAGATATGATGCCTTATAAAATCTTAAATTTTGTTATTCTGAATACCAAATATCAAAGAAAGCGGTTTACGTTTAAATGCCGAAACTTCGGACCTTTAAAACGCGGACCCTTTTTAAACTATGAGTTGCATATGATTAAGGTGTATACATCTTTTCCTTACCCTTAGTAACGTTGGAACCGTTTCCAATTTTTGGACACCTCGTGACGAAATTTTAATGGGCTATTTGGAGCTCACGTTACCTAGCAAAACTAAATCGCGGGCTCAAGTTTTTCGAGCATATGAAGATTGGCCCTAAGCGGCAAGATGTTGCCCAGATGTAATTTGTGTGGGCAGCGACGCTGATTTAGAGTTAAGGAATGTGCTGTGTGGACGGAAGAAAAATGATTACCAAGATCTTCAAAAGACAGCCCAACGAATTCTACTGTAAAGAAAGTGCTGCAAGCTAAAATCGAACTTAACTAGGAAATAAGATTTTTGAATCGAAGTACAAGACTGATTAATAGCAAGTAGGGAACTTTAGCCATGTCAGTGTCAAAGTCGATTGGGCGATAGGTCATGAATGAACTTGTCAGTGTCTTGCGAGCTGTAACAGTCGAAATTCCTCTAGCGAAATAAGCGCGGTCTGCATGGTCTGCACGGTTTGCGGTCTACGTTTTAGCATGACCGTAGTTGCATGAATACGCGTGAAAGTAGTTAATACGATTTGAAATGGATTTTCAACAAATGGATTTAGCGAGATTCTGGATTCCAATGCCCAGTATTCCGGATTCCACAAACAAAAAATTTCATGGATTCCGGAATCCGGATTACCTTACATGGGGCGATTCGCCGTTGATGCGAAGATACTACAGTGTATTTAAACTACCTGTCAACGGCCGAGTCATGTTTAAAAAAGCAGGGATGAATGTAGATTCTATGAGCTCTGAAAAGAGCTTCCGATCAACACACTGCTTTTCTTTAATGGTGTTCATGGCAGAGTTCTAAATTTTTGAGAAGATCTTGTTCTTTCTGTTGCTGCAGCAAACGAAGAGTGTTAAGATTTACCTGGTGTGATTAACGTTGCCAATGGTTACGTTTCCGAATTCTCCAAATTCTAAAGCTTGCGAAGGCGGTATTGTTAGTGCAGTTGTAATTTCAATGCTTAATTGCAGTGGCTTGCGCTATTGTTTTACGGAGGCAGAGATTTGCATATTAATACGCTCGCGGGAGTTTTACAAATCGGTAAACCGTGCTTCTCGACGTAAAATTTAGGATGGGCAGAGGTTGCTTCGAAAAAAATCGGTTTTGATAGTACTTCTAAACCTCGTACGGCCGAGAAAATTTTCATAAGCCCTCCTGAGACATAGAAGTAACTTTTCCATATGCTGACTCTGAAGTTTCGCGAATAGTTCACCGGATTTTTTAACCTGGAGATCAGCTTCCATACTGAAGAGCATCTAAAATTGCCATTTTTCAAAGCAGTTTCTATAATGGTTATAGAAACCGCAGAAAACAAACTTTAGTATAAATTTGTTCATTAAAACCTCTTCTACAAAATCCATATGCTGGCAAATAGCTAAGGCAGTTAGTTTTTTAAGAGTGAAAAACGCAGGCGTAAGTGGGCGATTTATAGCCATTTTCTCTATTGTTTCGCTCTCTTTTCTTGAAGGACTGTTCAAATTTACCGCCGATGGACTTAAAAAGATGTGTCGCGCCATTCTGCGCGATGGGTGATAATGTGTTGGGAGAACATATAAAAAAATTGAGAGCCCGTAAAAATAGTTTTGAAAACTGAGGGGAGCAACAGGAAAAGTGGGTAAGTAAGGGAAACTCTACAAACAAAAAGCGGGCTTTAGCCTCACGTTTTCTCCATTTGCAATCCATTTTACACATGCTTCTTCATTTCTTGTTGTCCATGTTACTTGGTCGCTACTTAAGAGTGCTCTTACTAAAGGCTGGTTTTCGCTGGCGACGGAGTTAGAGTCGGAGTCGGAGTCGTAGTCAGGGTTGTAAGAGCACTTCCGAGCGATTGAAAACTGAAAATGAGAATCATAAGCAGAGTCATAAGCTCGACAGAATTGGACTCAGAAGAATCAGAACGGTTTCATTTTTTCCGTGGTGAAAACTAGATTGTCACAGTCGCGAGTAGGATCGGAAAAAACAACCAATCACATGCCAGTTCTCAGGCCCTTCCAGTACAGTCTTCCTCCTACGACTCTGAAAATTCTTCAAAGGATCGTAAGCGACGGAGTCGTAAGTGGTAAGGGTATTTTTCTTCTGATTCTGTCGGTTTGATTTTCACTTGATCGCATCGCTCTTTGCTTATGATTACAAATCCGACTCTGTCTCCGTCGCAAGTGAGAATCAGCTGTAAGGTTTATCAGGACTAAGCGATAAGGAGCATGTCTTCTTTTAATGGAGAGGAAGTTAGTACATAGAAGGTAAATACCAATGTGCAGTTTGATGCACCGAGCACTCGGCCACATTCCCCTCTCTACTTAACAACATTTAGAAGTCCCTTTCAAGTTGAAGTATCATGAGAGCTGATTTTAATGGCAAAGGCTTATAGAAGTAAGCAAATAAGAAAAATATCACTCCCCTACTCTTGTTAAATTTCAGTCCAATTTTTGTCATTAATTTATGCAAATCGTTCTGTGTGACGAGAAGCAAATCAAAGTAACAAAACGTTTTGAACAGCTGATGAGATAACGCGTGGGTTCCAGAAGGAATGGGTCATCCTGTGTTGCTCTTCGGGCTACTGTTGTTTCGAAAATCGCTTTTGGTACGGGTGCGAAACGACTCAACTGACTTGGTACGAATCGACTTTGGTGGTACGAAACGTCTGGTAACCGCTTTATTTTGTTTCTGGAGGAGATAACGTTAGTTTTGTTGCTTACCTTGTCTAATTTCGACAGTTTTTCGCCGGCAAAATCCAACGTAATCATTTTCTGCCTCACAAGTGTAATTTCCAAACTGTGCTAAAGTCAATCCCTTGAGCATTAATGTACAACGTTCTTTTACAGTTTGATCATTTATGCATCATACCACTGAATATACTTGACCCATCTCCTAGGAAATAGTTCGTCCTCAGACCTTAGCCTCGCTATACAAGTCAAATTAAGAGTTTCTCCTACAAATAGTGTGCGACTTGGTGGACGCGCGATGATGTTTATTTCAGGTATCACTGGACGGCAAAGAAAAAATTCCATCAATAAGTTTATCAAAAAAACTTTGGTTTGATTAGTGAGGATGCAACTTTAATTAAGTTGAGCAAACACACGCAAAAAGAAATGCACATGGTTGCCACTAACCAGTCTTGGTGTTACATTTCTTTGTCGTTTCTGCGGATGGAAGGTTGCTTAGAGCACTGGTAACAAGCAATAGCAAGAGACAGTTTCTAGCGTCTCTAAGCCAATGTGTGTTTAGCATTCTGTTCGTTGGACGAGCGTTCAGTTCTTCACACAACAGGTACCTAAACGTGAAATCGACTACATAAGGGACGAATCGAAGTGATGGGAGACCGGGAAAGATGGGAGAAGATGGGGCAAGAAGTGACGGCAATCAAAGGAACTGAAATTATGAAGGATAAAAACTACGAACCCATGAAATCTTCGGGAAAGAAAATGAATTATCATATATCTGTACAACTTTAGTAGAACTCGTGATGCAACTTGTGATCAACAAATCGATTTTGCTAATCACTCGCATGATTACAAACCGAATTGGACTCCACTCAGTCCTTTGATAATTATTTATCATCACGCGGTCTTTTTGAAGCTCGAATTAACGGCTTATGAGATCATTTAAATGCGGCCCGAGATACGAGGATGGTGGCAGCCAATTCCACTTTCCATGAGAAAACAATCTCCTCTTTTCCTACTACATTGTACTTACCAGTGCAAAAGCTAAAAATGATACAGGTAAAAGGTCTTATCGCAGAAACTCGATGTTTGTGACCAAGCGAATACAGTGAACTTAAATGACAGCCCGATGGCAAATTAGCAGTCTCATGGAAAACATCATATCTCATTACCTTGGAAACCAGTCCTCACAAAACTTTATCAAAATGTAAATTGAAGGTGTAAATGAATCCTCATGAAAACAACAGGTGAGAGTTTGTCATAAAAGTAGATCGAAGTTAAAAAAAATTAAAAGAAGAAGTAAAATTCAGTCACTCACCCTTCGTACTTGCATGTGCTGTAATTTTGTCGTTGTTTTTATCTTTGATAAGTGCTAGCAACGTGAGTTCCCTCCTGGAAATCTTACGTGGTTCCTGAAAAAGCTCACATGTTGTTTATTTGAAAAAAGTATTCTGTTTTTCACTAACTACTCAAATTTATGGATGTCCATGACATTGTTGCACATATAATAACAAAAATAAAATGGTAAAGGAGAGGATAAGGGAAACGAATATTCAACCCACCTCCAGTTGTCCTCTTGTCATAAGAGAAACGAAATATGATAATAGGCAACTTTCAGACTTAAGAATAAATGTGAAGGAAACAGATGTTTTTGACTACAAATGTCATAATTTGAGTGTTTTCGATCAAATAACATTAAAATAAATAATTTATTAAATCCTAAATAAGGACGAGTAAGGCTATGTTAACAGACCCGTAGAGCCTCTATTGCTGACTGTTAGACATATAAAAAAGTGTGACTAATGGAACCGAAGTTTTAGCGGGTTATAACTGCAATAGAAACTTCTCCATAATCGCTACCAAAGTTTCAACTTACAGAAAATAATCATGATCTCCACGGTACCAAAAAACTGGTTTTTTGGCAAAATTCCTCTTAAAGGAATTGACTCAAAAACATCTGTAAACACTTTTATGGTTGTGGTAACGTATTTCCTTCTGTCATATAAATGTTAATTTTCCATATCCTTCGACAGCTATGTACCTCAATAAGTACTAGGTTGCAATATTACAAAATAAGGAACACCCATTTTAATGCTGGCTTTGGTTTCTTATTTTTCTGTAAATTAGACGGTTATGGTCCTTATTTATTTCTTCTTTTTTTTTGGGGGGGGATGAGGTAGGGGGAAGAAAAATTATGTATAGTTACTATCCCGCATACAATTAGTTAGACGCGTAATAAAAAAAATGATAATTATTTTAGAGCTTGATATCTGTCTCAGTTAAACACGTCAATTTTCTCGGGATCGCTAAACATAAATTCATTAATTCTACTAAGCCAAGATCAGACCAATTTGGAAGTTTTATATATTCTTAATCAACATTTTTAGCAGGAATTGGATCACAATACTTACTTGCTAAGTCAAGGAAAGCAATTGGTAAAAATCAGTTGGTGTAGTTATCCTACATTAAGTCTGGCTTTCTACTGAGATACGTGAGGTAAATATTAACAAGAAGGCTTGAAATTGACTTTGTGATTTTGCTATTTTTATCTCACTGTGCTTCATCAGGCGTTTACATTAACCCGATATATCAATTATTCCTTTTTTTTCCTCCTTGGCACCAGCGGTCATTTAATGAGGAACGAAATGGAAACATTTTTTCCTATAAGTTCAGACATTTATTACCTCCACAATAAAAAGAGTCTGATAGAACCTTTGAAAAGCAACATTATGTAGATTGTAAAGAAGAGCCGAGACATTTGGAGGGAACATTGTCCATTACCGTCGCCCAGGAGTTAGCACCTTTACGCCGATAGAATTGACGCAGCCGATCCCAAAATTTTTTTTATTATCAGTGCTATTTCTTTATCTAGACGGACAGTTTTTCAGTCATGAAAAGTTTATTTAACTCCATCATGAAGAGTTTATTTAACTCCATTCAGAGAGTCTTTGAGTAATTATGAGGCGCACGTCAAAAAGCCGCTATCTCAAATTACGAAGTCGGCAACGAGGACGTGGCAAAACGTAAGATCTATAAGCAGAACATCGCCTCAGCACGTGTGTTTTAAGCCTTTGTACATTTCTTAGCCATCCACCGTTAAACAACAACGTGTAAGCACCAAAATTTGCGTGGTCTGAGAACGGGAACCCCGACAGAGAATTATTTACGTTCCATTTGCAACTTAACGCTGCTGACATACGCTATACTGAGGTTTAGGAGTGGCACCAGCAATTTCGCGAAATTCTGTCCAAATTATGAATTCATTTTAAAGCGACGTCTTCCTTGTTGTCGTCCTGATTGCATAAAGTCCCTATTGAATATACGGATCATTCGAAGTTTTTATCTTTTGGGCAGTAGCACGGCCAACATGGAAGGCCTGGCTGAGAAAAACCCTCACGAGGTTTGATATCATGCGAAAACTGAACTCATTAGTTGTTTTAGTATACAATTTTTAAACAACCTGCCAAAGAAAACACCTCTCTACGTCTGCAAAACTTTGAGAACACGACACGAACGAGGGGTTTGGAAACTAGGTAGACTTTGAACTCGAGATGATAACCCAACATCAGCTGCACATATTGGGTATCATGTCAACTTCACACGCTACGTCATATTGATTGTATACTCACGACCAATTGGACGACACGAAGTCCTGTTACCGAGTTGATTAGAGCTATGACAAAATTTTTTAGAAGCAAACTAGTCATTTCACATCTCGGCTCTGACAAGAGCGATGAGGAACATTCTCGACTTGAATCGGACACGAAATGATTAAAGAATGCTCTGACGGGTTGAATAGTGCTTTGAACGCTTTGAACTTTTGGCAGCCTCTGTTGACTGTTGAGTTGTCTTAACATTGTTACTTTATTTCATCGCACGCCTTCGGGTAATAATAATAAAAATGCAATAAAACTATACAAGGTCCCACCGAGATTTGAACTCGGATCGCTGGATTCAAAGTCCAGAGTGCTAACCATTACACCATGGGACCTTTCTCGAGCATGTAACATTAAAAAACGGTTTGTATCTCGGTCATAAAGGATCTTGAACAGGCATCTTTTGCTTTATTTTATTGACTTTATGAGAATTTTCTAGAGTTTTGACTTATATCTATGGAGGCGCTTTTCTGTTTTCTCTCCCGACAAAATTAAAAAAAAAAAAACATTTATATAGCGCCATTTCCATTAATTGTCCATGGCGCTTTACAAAAATTCAACCCCCCCCCCTCTTTTGCAGTGGATTCCTTTGAAAAATCCTTGAAATTCAAGTCAAACACTGATGAACATGAAACTTCCCCTTATAATTTCGATCCGTTGTCGTTCTAACAGGAATTGAGAATAGTTAAACGCAGCTGCCGGAGGGGGGTTTTATTTAATGTCACAACATATCCTCTCAGTAATTATAGAAGAGAATATGTAGCAACAGAAAAGAAGAAGTACGACAAGTGCTGGTACTATTGTGCTGTTCTCTTGCGCTTAATTCTATTATTTCCGAGATTTTAATCTCTTCGGTTTTCATTTTTAAGTCCTGCATCGCGTACATACCCGATTGATGGTTTAAGTGAACAGACTGACTCGTAAGTGCGCACCAGGCAGATTAATTAGAAAGTGTAAAGGTATTTACCATACGGGTTGTAGCATACGCGGAAAGCACAGTAATTAACTTTGATTTGGTTGGTTATTTACAAATGTAGTCGGGTATGACTATAAAATTATGTACACAATGAGCTGCCTAGCAGTCGGTGTTCTTATTAGACTTAGTTCAATGACGTGAACCCAGTGCCGTAGTCAGATTCAAAATTCAATTCAAAACATCACGAGATTGTAACGGCTCTGACAGAAAAATCGATGGATTTGGGCTGCCCGCTGCCTGCTGCCCGGTGTGGTTTTTCGTCCATTTGAAAAGTTTTAAAACCAAGCTCAAAACTGTCCTTTTTAATTTTTGCCACTTTTAATTTCCTCTACATGTTTTTCTTCAACTTTTGGAAACAAACAAAACAAAAATTCTAAACTTGCACCGGTCTGATTTTCATCTCAGCTTTCTTGACGGAGTAGTGATATGGTTTTCAGTCATACCAGTTGACTCCGTCGGTATAAGATGAGTGCGCTCCGTTATGGTACAGTCCATTCAAGTCGGAGCGATGACAGCCATCGTAATACCAGACTCCTTTGTAGGTCACAGCACAGCGATTTCTGTCCTTGTCTTTGGTTGCTAAGGTCTGGCCACGATGAATAGAAAGAGAATCGCCCGCAGTTCCTGAAGAATGTGAAGTTGTCAAGGCCGCGGAGGAAATTTTTCCCATGGTGCTATGCAATTAATTTAAAAAATTACAAAAAAAGCCCTACTACTATATTGTATATCTGTTAGCGAATACTCAAGGGATTCCAATTTGCTTTATTAAGACATGGTTGATAGTGCTGTTTCAAGTTTAGTCAATGAATACTGCAAGTTCTCACAGCAACAGAATTCTTTAGTATCACTGAGGTTACCTGAGTAAGTTCCAACGCTCAGCTTGTATTTATTCTTCTCACTGGGAACAGCAAACATGTTGTATTCGGCGTAAGCAGTTTTACCGTTGGTGTCCATCAGATCTACGCGGAGCTTGTTCTTTACTGTTGTTGTAAGACGGTGTATCTTGTCCAGTCCCAGCCAAAACTCACCATATAGATTACCAAAGCCATTCTTGTAATCGGTCCAGCCGCGATAGAAGTCAACCGAGCCATCCAGTCTCCTCTGAAACACTGTCCACCCCCCCACCGCCTATCGTTTGGTCACAGAAGACTTAATGGCACCGAGGCCATCAGGGTCGATTGTATAAACGCCGCTTGTTGTTTTACCACATTTGTACAGCTCAGCACATTTCTTCTTAACTGTTGGAAGACATAAATATATTTGCGCGAGAATCGTAAGACTTTGTTGATAACATGACAAGCTTCTCCATTTGTCTCTTACCTTCAGTACAGGTGTGTCAAGATTTAATGAGGGTCTTGTTTTCTTTGATAGAAGCAATGTCGTTTTGCATTTCGAGAAGTGTCTCGTTTATTTCTCTAGGGAGAGTTTCTGTATATTTTTCAGACAAGATTAAAATCCTTTGGACCTCTTTTTATCTGAGTAACAATTCCAAACAAATGGAAAGGAAAAAATGATAATTTATCGTGAACATACCTTTACATGAAGTGTTGTTTCTCGCTTTGATGATGCTGACATCATTTCTAACGTGCATAAGCTTTTTCTTCGTTTCCTGAAGAAGTGTTCCAATCTACTTGTTTGGTGTTCCTGCATGGAGGCTGAAGTAGACGTTTTACATCGGTTTGTGGGTGAAGAACCGACTGACGTGCTAGCGCTGTTACCTGGCTTCGCAGACGTTTGACTCACCACGATATAAGGGTCAAGAACAAAAATCTGCGACGAAAATCTGAGAAAACAAGAGTCATCATACTTATTGAATGTTGGCTCTAGTTTAACTGTCGATAACTTGAGGTTGTCACTGACTGGTTAGAATGCTGAAGTAACCCATTTTAGAACAACAAAGTGCGTGCGTCATTGAAATTATTGCAAGAGTTTTTTCGCGTTATCCTGCTCTTTTGAGCCCACTGTCAACGTCATCAGTTTAAATTAAGTCACGAGTTAAAAAGTTATGTTCACCTCACCCCATGAAATCTGACTAAATTACCTTGTGAAGGTTTTTTGTATTCCTGAGAATAAGTAAGTGAATGACGCAGTTTATTTGCCGTCATGTATGTTAAGTTACCAGAAAGGTGCTTTTCTTTCCAATTACCGACTCGCGGCTGCTAGCCATTAAGATAAACATTATTGTAAACATGTCTCCGCTTCGATTACCTCTGGATGACTGACGAATATCCTCCCTTGCCATCGGAAGTGAGAAACTAAACAGTGCCATGATCAGTTCAGATAATTTATCATGGTATGTGTCAGAAATTTGTGTGCACGTAGTATATTTGAATCATGATACTTTATCCAATTGCCCGTGAAGTGAATAGAACTTATGATTATTCATCAAAATCACGATGTGCTTTCTTCATTTGTGAGTGCATTTTGGAAGGATTTGTTGTCCTGGTATACGTTTGGCTGGATCTTGACAATTTGGAAATTTATACTGACGCTGGTCTGAGCATTTAAAACCCACGAGCCAGCTAAAGTTGATAAACAATCGAATCAAACTGAGAAAATGATTGGATTAAGACGCTCCTGCTAATAGACAAGGTCTGTTTTCAGTTCATATAGATTTATCCGATTAAACTAAAATAAGACATTTATTGAGTTTATTCAGCTTATCAAAATGGATTGATTCAGCTGAAAGACTTGCTGTAGTCGCTGTAACGACTAGATTTGTATTTTACCCTTAATATGCATGAAGTAAATATGAGCACTTATTATTACAAATTACTGACTTGAAAGACTATGGACCTAAAAGTAGACATGATTATGGTCTGTGACAATACTATACGAACTCATCGTGTTTTTGTGTTCAGAATATTCAATAAGCGTAAACCTAAACAGTGCTTCAAACATTTTTATCTTTTGCCGTGAACTGACTGTTGAATCAAGCCGGTGGATTTTTTTATGAAGCCGTTTCATTATCACTGAGTATACAACAATTACTCTACTCTTTTTTGCTGCTCAGAGTTTCCGTCCTTTTTTTTTCGCTGATGGAAGAGTAGTTGGTTGCCTGTAAAAGATAAAATTAAAAACATCTCGGTGATTCTAAGCAATTAGCACATGTAAAGATGAAAATATTGTTATTACATTTATGGGTCTCAATTTGGTTAACTGTTAGCCGTAAAATGGCCAAAATATTTTACCGTTAGACAAATTTTAACCGTTTGTCTTAAAAAAAGTTGACCGTAAAATTGTTTTCTTTTAATCACATAGGGAGGAAGTTAATCGTAAAACAGCTAAAAGTTTTCATCGTTAGCCGTAAAAGCCATTATCCCATTGAGACCCTCACATTTTTGGTCTCGTTAGCGGTTAAAAAAATAATCTTTTTTCTTCAATTACTTATCTATTGAGTAATTGAAGGCCATAGTCTCTCTTTGGCCTTCAATCTGCTTAACGCGATATCCGGTGAGTCATTTAGTCTTTTGAAGAAAAAGCTGAGCCGGATTCAGACGAAAAGTATTTCACAGAAGCCAACGGGATAGACAATCACCTGTGTACCACCATAAATGAGTGTCATTGCTACATCGCTAATTTGCGAGACTAGCTTCAGACGCATATTCTTTTCGTTCACGACTTCCACTATCCTAATTAATTTGCTTCAAAGAGAGACGAGAAAACAAAAAATAAATTTAAGTAAAAATTATTACACATCTACTCACATACTATTCATATGAGTGCGTCGGTCTTTGTCTCTAAGCCTTTTTGTAGCTACATGCTTGAAGCAGTTCACAGTCAGCTCTATTTGGCAGTGCTAAAGATTCAGAAACCATTTTATGTAAACGTTCGAAAGCAGTTTTCTTTTTATTATTTTAAATGTAGTTTTCAGGAAAAATTTAGGTAAGAGATAAGAGGGAAGTAACCTTTAGTTCTCTAGTCTAACCCTTCCGTGAGTGACCAAGACAGAATATCTCCTTACAATATCATTACAAATTCAAGAAGACAAGAAATGAGAACCAAGAAAGGTATCAATTAGGAGGTTATTAATTGATCCAATACCAAATTCTCAGAAGTAACATCAGACGATTTGTATAGCAGACAGTAAGGAGAATTACTAATGAGATCTTGGGAGTTAAAGGTTCATATGATTTAACCCTTTAAACCCTAAGAGTTAATAGCATCTAATTTCTCTTCACAGCACCACCCCTTGATTAAACATTAAGGTCAGGAGAATAAAAGAAATGATCAACAACTCGACGAGCTCTTGACCATTAAACAAATTTCTCCCAGTCAGCACCATAGGGAGTGAACAGAGAACAGTTTTGCTGCCTGATTAAAATTTCGCATGGCATTTGCATAAAGCGTATTTGATCGATAATTTTGCCTTGTAGTTGCTTTTTCGGCAAAGGTTAATAAGTTAAACAAGCTATATTTACTTTCTGCTTCGACTACCGTATCATACATCTGTTTCTTTGTTTTTAGAATTTCTAAACATTAGTGAAACACATGGACACGGACTCTGGAACGTAGTGGAGCTGTTAGTCGTAAAAACAAAAATGTCTTCCTCACGTCAGAGTACCAAGATCTGTCAGCCGAGCCCTTTGTGTTGCATGGGTTATCTGGGTACTCACATGATCAAGGGGTAGATTGAAACCCCTCAAATAAGCGCCCCTATTCTTTTTCAGTGATATCTCTGTAAGAGTACCAGTACATTGAGATCAACCAGGTTCATTTTCCTTTATTACTTACTTAAGGCTTATAATACAAAAACAGTGGTCTTTGTCTCAGTTTCTCAACTATTACGTCCATGTGAGCGCACAGTTCCTTCAAACGAATGATCTCGTCGTCGTCCAATTTTGTGACCACAATTGCTTGGCTGGTCGTTTTAGCCAGGAAGGATCCAGGGACAGCAAGTCCGTTTTCCAGTCTTCTTGATCCTCTTCAGATAAGCATGGTGCAATTCACAACGAACTTTTAAATACAGACAATTGTACCCATTTCCGGCTAATGAATGAAAGCATTTCATATTTACATCCTCTCATTAATTAAGCGGAGTTGACTAATTTACCAACACAGGAGCTACTTCCATGAAAATTACCAAGGAAAAAAAAAAGGACTGAGTTTCTTTAGCCCACGAACATAACAACAACTAAGATTTCTATGACTTTCTTTTTCACCTAGCTTATTGGTAACAAGATGAACAGGTCGTTCAATTCAGGACTACTCAATTTTGAAATACAGCACAGTATGGCGCTAGGTGCTGGATTTTTACCCATTTTACTTCTACTTCAAATCAACTCTGCTAGTGATTTCATCCTCCATGATGTTGATATATGTCCTCTGGAACAGAAGAATCAAAGCGATGAAAAAATGACAGGTTGGATACACGTAGGAAGCTCAGTAATGATAATAGTGATAATGGATAATAATGACAAAAGGAACAAGCGAGCGGATGAGAAAAGATGAAAAACAGAACCCAAGAAAGACCAATTAAACCTAATACACACGACTTTTCCTTTGGATGTTATTTTAATTTTAATAAGCCATTTACTACGAGTTTCGATTTTTGCTGCCATTTCCTTGGACTTATATGACTCCTCGTTAGATGCAAGTCTCTCCGGCATTTGAAAACTGGAGGGGTTGAAAATGTTTCCGCGTAATCTACTCAAGTGTAATTAATTGAAAAATGGAAAAGTTGAATGAGGAAGGAAGCAGTAGGGAATGGCTTAAATCCAGTTTCACTCACCTTTACTTCTCTTAAGAGGTATTCCAGCTGATTCACGATGTCAGTAAACGAAGGTCTCATCAAAGGATTCTCGATCCAACAAGAGCTCATTAACGTATACCTACAAATGCATTGCATCATTCTTTAATTTTGAAGACCTCTTTAGTCACCTAGCTCACTCAATCTTCACCCAACCAAAATACGGAGCTTCCATGACAGCGACATCCCAAATAGGTAGAGTTCCCTTATCTTACGGGAGGCAGAGTATTTCGTTGACCCAGTCACGTGACAAATGCCTCAAGCTACTTAAATAATGGAAAAAGTGTCGACTGTTAACATGTAAGCAAATATATGTAAGAAATAGACGGTCTTACAAATGATCGAAACACTTACAGTTCTTCCGAACATTGGTGAGGACGAGGCATCCGATAACCCGTAGAGAGCCGACTTACCAGGGAAAGTGGTGATTCGATGTCAGGGTATGGCAACTCACCTGTAAAGAAAAATAACGAAGTTTGCTCGATGGTAATAGCTTTAAGTTTAAAAACTTAATGGATTATTAACGTGTTACTAACCGAGCCGAGATTGTGGCAGTACGGACTGAGCGCAGCCAGGTGCGCACTAAAACAACCGAGGTCCAATATTCCACAGTAAGACTCGAGCAAGCGAGGTTAGTCATATAAGTAGTTTATTATGAGTCACTCGGACCAAACTTGTTAATATTGTATTCGCCGACTTTCGCCAACGAAAATATGCAGTGTATGATCGTTTTCTTGGAACGGTCAGTATGGACAAACCCCGACCCGAACTAATGACCGCTGGCCGAATTTACTGAATTCACTGAACGCTTGAATTTACCAATTTACCTCAGGACCACTTCGCCAGATGGTAAAGAGTTTTAATATAGCTCTCCTAGGCATAGAAATCATCCAACGTTTATAGACCTACCATGTGTTGCTATTTCCGAAAGTAGTATGCCGAACGACCAACTGAAAATGATTAAGAAAAAAGTTCAGTTAAGGGTATCTACTGTTTTCGGAAAATGAAATAGCGGAATTTTTGAAAATAAGTGTAAGAATTCAACAAGTGAAAGTTCATCATAAAAATTATATATATATAGGAAGTCTGCAGGTCGATTTTCGCGTGGAACAGTGCTCAATACGTTGAAGTAGAGCAGAATAAATATTATGAGAGGAAAAAACGACGCAACTACATATCCCGACAAGCCTGTTTCGTGAATCGCTTCACTCTTCAGGGGTTTAATGAATTCATTAAAATTCATTAAACCCCTGAAGAGTGAAGCGATTCACGAAACAGGCTTGTCGGGATATGTAGTTGCGTCGTTTTTTCCTCTCATAATATTTATATATATATATATATATATATATATATATATATATATATATATATATATATATATATATATATATATATATATATATATAACTTTTAGGAATTCTCAGATTCCAAGCGGCCTCCCAATTGTAGGTTGAAAGTGTACCAGAGTCGTGAGTTATCACGGTATAAGCCGCCGAATGATACCGGTTGCTGATAATGCGATCTAACCTGGCTAGGGACACTATTAAGAGGCAATTTGTTCAAGATATATACATGGACATCGAGTGGAATACAAAGGAAGGAAAAAAGGAGAAGAGGAACTCCTCTCCAACATTATTCTCGGTACGTAAAAATCTCAGCGGCCTTTAGCGCCTCAATCTTGACCAAACATATTGATGGTGGACAAGGTTACCCCTTCCATGTAAGACATCGTATGTTTCTTTTTGTTTACTTACACATCGCTCTTGGATGTATAAACTCGATCTCGAAGAGATTCCAAAGACGACCATCTCCATGGAATTTTAACCTGTTGATAAAGGTAGCTTAAAAAAAAAGCTGTTTTGTATCATTACGTAATATTTAACGAACAAGCACAGAAGGTATCATGCCAAACAAAGCGTATGCTGGCCTAATTTAGAAGGAAATAATTAAATCTGGCCCACGACAAGGTTCTGACCTTCTAAAGTGATACTTACATGTACTATTTTTATAGCGAAAGAGTGCAGACAGAAAAAAAGTGGTTTATGATAGATAAAAAAATTTAATTCAGGGTTTTCATGAGGTGAGCTTATGCGGCCCCAGAGAAAAAATGAGTGGTCATATTTAAACAGAAATTTAAATTTCCTGCGGCTTTCAACACAAGAAGAAAGATTAATAATGAGTGATCCAGTACTTACACATGAAGTTTTGATGTATAATCCATCGTCTGAGATGTTCCTTGCTAATCCAAAGTCTCCAACTTTTGCCACCTTGCTTGAATCAATAAAGACATTTCTCGCTGCAAGGTCGCGGTGAATGCACTGAAAAGAAAGTTGCCGTTCCGGTTTTCTATTACACAAATATTATACCAAAGCATGTTAAGAATGAGTCAAATTTTCACCAAGAGTTATCGTTGAGACAAATTTTTTGGGATTTGCCAACCTTCCGCTCTTCTAAATGCTGCATTCCCAAGGCCACCTGCAGTGCAATGTTCAACAGCTGTCGGTCGCTCAGTTTACAGCAGACATTTGCATATTCGTTACTTCCGTCGTCCTTGCTCTTCAAAAGGCTTTCAAGGCTACCACCTCGGACTAATTCAGTAACAACATAAACTGTTTCTGAGGAGAGAAAAGTTGGCTATCAGGAACTCGACGACGGCTTACGGGCTGCATGAAAGAGAGTTTACGAAATCGCAAAGTTATCTTGTCATTAACTGGGACAGAAAAATTAGAGGTTTCAAAGAGAAAGACATAACTCGAAAAAATTTTCACGCGACCGGAATTAACCCCAACACCACAGTTACCCTGTAAACTTCAGTAAAAAATAATTACAAGTGGCATTTTTGCGCAGGTCAGTGAGACTGGGGATAGATGCCCATTCTACGCCATTTGTATGGTCGAACGAAACCTTACCTCCGTGTACCCATGCTCCAATTAAATTGACAATGTTCGGATGTCGGCCAGCTTGTTTCAGAGTCCTTATCTCGTTTAACAGCGCGGCTTTCTTAAGTGCGCTTGCATCATCTGCATAAAAAACGTGAAGAGATTTTAAGTTAAACTCCTTCAATTTCCTCAGAGAATACCGAGTGTAATTAAATGACTTCAGAAGCTTATGATGACATTCAATGGTCTCAAAAGCATCTACGTGATCGTATTTACTTACTGATCCCTCCTGACTGTAGGAAAATTTAAAACTTAGAAAAGATCAGTGCGAATAGAATGAGACTCCTATGCATACCTTTCAACTTTTTTACTGCAACATCAATAATGTTTCCGTTCTTTCTACCACAACGACCTTTGTAAACGATTCCATATTCCCCTTGGCCGAGTACTTCTTCAAGCACTTCGAGATCATCCACGTCTTTCTCGCATTCTTCTTCAAGCGCTGTGTTAAGAGATGTTAGCATTTGATCGCCACGTTTGTAGCTATCCATGCCACTGTCTTGATGCGGAATCACGTTGACATCATTACGACCATCTTGAGCACTTAAATAACCACTGCGTGAGTTTAACAACTTTTCTGCCTGGTCTTTTTGATCAAAGATGGGATTACTGAAATTTTTTTCTCCAACATCTGGTGGAGTAGGAATCTTGCTTCCCTCTAAGAGCATCGAATCGACACTCTCCTTGTCTTGTGTGGGGTCTTTTCCCTTTGGTCGCATATTGGTATTTTGCTTTTCATCATCTACCAGCGGAGCGACATTATTTACTACTAAAGTCGCTGAACCGTTCTCATTATGATTGTCATCTTCCGCTATCCCCTCAGTCAAATCTTTGTTGGCCATGCAGACCACATAAAGTTCTCCCTCATCCCTGTTACCCTGTTATTGAAATAGATAGAATGTCACTGAATATCTTCAACAGATAACAGTTCATGGTCGCTAATGATTTGGCGATCGAAATGCCCAATCATTCAAAACAAAAAAATAATTGAGTGTTCTTTCCGATTTCATTTAGCAGCAATTTAGTTAAAGAAAAATATCGTTTTGAGAGTTGGACAAAGTTAATTTTTAAACTTTTCTATCTTAACATCAGTATGCATATTCCCCTTACTGTTCCCCATAGATTCCCTTAGGTGCTGATGAGGAGAATTTGTTTCATAATCCAGAACTTTTCTTGTTGGTGACCATTTCCTTTATTCTCATCACCTTAATGTGCGATTTGAGGGTGATATTATAAGGCGAAATTAGATGCTAGTCACTCTTAGGGGTTAAACAATCTATGAAAAATACCTGGTTATTTGGTCTTGCACGTCGATAGAAAAACGCCATGGTGCACCCACATATGATTGTCATTATGGTGCCACCAAACACACTAAGCGCAGTAATCATGGAGACTGAACGATGCCGATCTTTTCTCAGTGACACTGTTGCTGGATACAGCAGTTGAAAGATAAGGAAAAATTGCATACGTGAGAGTCGGCAAACTTGAGAATTTTTCAATTACTTATCGTTCCTGTGAAATTTCACACTGAGCTATGTTGCATAATTGCCCCTCACGGAAATTAAACATAAAGTTACAAATCTTACCAATGTGCGACCTCACCTAGCTGCTTAATGAACAAGAACGCATATTTCGATGTTATTTCTCCAGCGCTGCTCTTTTTAACACGTTTTTTTTCCCGTCGTCTTCTTCCTTCACTTCTCTTATTGACAGCTGACTTTGAATTTTTTTTTTGTCATCCAGTAAAATTGGAATTACTCTTGCCCTTGGGTTTGAGTTTGCAGCATTCGAATTATTGTTGTTGACCCATGTGATATTTGGCTTCGGAAGATCAGCGGCAGAACAGTTAAAAGTTACATTGGAACCGAAAAAAGAAGTTTTGTAGGGGCCGGCTACGCTTAGCGAAAATAAATACGACACAACAATTTGTATGCGTTCAGATTCCTTGTATTCTTGTAAAGAACGATTTACATACGAGGATCTATTCGGCGACGATTCGAAGTTGCTGCTTCTAACAGGATTGCCTCAAAATCCTTAGCTAAAAACTAAACTTGACAAAAAAAAGGCAAAAAACTACAAACGACGCCCAAGCAATGCACACGGTGCGAGAAACTGCGCACTAGGTATATTGTTAGCGGCGCTATAGTGTGTAAGTACACAATTCAACGAATTATACACCCTCTCTCCCCGAAAGATGACAAGGGAGTCTTTCTAAAATTAACGCAATTGCTGTTCACAGAATTGTTCTGGCTTGAAATGGTTTGTTTCTTCAGTACGGCTCTGCAACTTCTCCGCTGGCAAAAGAGGCTTTCTAACGTATCAAGAAAAGCGGATCAGCCTAAAGTTGTGTCTCTGCGGTATACTCCTTCTGTTGTTCTAACGATTAATTGACGTACTATCCCTTCACTGTCCGAGAAGGTCCGCTGCACTAAAGCTTTTGGCCTCTGCTCTCGAGGCATGTTCCTGTCTGCCATCCTAAAAACTAATTCATCAACTCTGAGGTTAGGCTTCGGACATAGCCATTTCTGTCGCACATGGAGCGTCGGCAAGTACTCTTTCGTCCATCTGCACCAAAATTCGTTTCCGAGAAGATGAATATGTTCCATCTTGCCTTGAACTTGTCCGATTCTTCAAACACGTCTAGGAAAAAGGACGGGTTTCTACGTAACAGATGAATATGGCTCGGCATAAGTCTGGCGGGTCACTCGACACTGAAATTATCGATCTGTCGTTCAAGATTTTCTCAATTTCTACCAAAAACGTTCACAAAGTTTCATCGTTGAGAAGTCGCTCTCCAATTAATGAGTACAAGAATCTTCTGATCGAGCTTCTGAGTCTCTCCCAGACTCCCCCTCGGTGGCTCGCTGGTGGTGGATTGAACTTCCATTCAATTCCTCTATTAGTCAAGGCTTGGATCCTCTCTTGATCCCACACTTTCTAGGCCTTAACAACGTCCAATTCGGCTCCTCTGAAATTAGTACCGTTATTACTGTAAATAACTATTGGGGGACCTCGTCTACTAACAAAGCGCAGAACTGCGTTGATGAAGTAATCTGTAGACAGGTCTTCGGCCACTTCAATGTAAACTGCTTAGTATCTTAGGCAAGTAAACATGCATTCGAAACGCTCGGTTAGGGTAGCATTCTTCCTCGATCTTGTCTAGGGCCCACTTCTTACGTAAAGCGGTCCAGAATAGTCTAATCTTACGGCAGCAAACGGATAGATAATCCTATGACTGTCAGAAGAGACTCGAACCATTGAAAGTTGTGCAGTCACTTGCTCTCCTAACTTGGCATTATAACGCCTGCAAACGTGACACTTGATGAGAACACGCTTCACTGAAGAAACTCCCCTGACAATCCGAAGCCGTTGTCTTATTTCTGCTAAGACATTATAGACTCCTACGTGTCCATTGAGATGGTGATCGTGACGAATTATTAACTCAGTAACTGGGTGCTTTCCTGGCAATACCACTGGGTACTTAGCATCGTACTTTAGATCTGAATGCTTCCATCTTCGTCCGACACGCATAATATCCCTTCTTCTTCAAACGGTTTAAGTCAGGCGAGTCGATCTGTTATCACTGACTTGTCAATGTCTATAGGAAATGAATGTCTCTGTACAACCTTCACAATCCTCTTCTCTGCTTCAGTCACTTCGGGCACTGATAAAGGGGTGGGACTGAGCTTCAACTCTATATTTGAACTTGTGTTTCGTTCAGCCCGAAATTTTGGATGTGTAAGCCTGTGTAAAAACACGAATAAGCCACGCGACTAATCTTCGCAGCCGATCCCATTTAGGATAACGTTGAAACAGGAAACACCAAAAATTTTTTTGCACGACAGCTGCTCCAACCGTAATCTTCGCTCTTTTAACTCCTTCGTCGCTATCTAGGAGTGCTTCTGAAGCTTCTCTGGGCTGCGGAACCATTCGTCCTCGTTTTTCTATAAGGATTCTGCCCCATTTCAATGTTTCCACATTTATAGTTTCTTGGTCTCCGAGGTTTTTATTTCTCGAGAAGCATAGTCTGCAGGGTTGTGTTCTGATCTCACATGGCGCCACTGCCTTGGTTCTGACTCTTCCCGCATAATGGCCACTCGGTTGGCAACAAAGGTAACAAATCTTCGCGTTTCGTCGGCAATATACTTCAGAAATATTATCGAATCAAATCACTCCAGTAAGTAACACTGTCAATCCTCAATCTTCCTTCGAGTTACTTAATTAAGATCTTCTTTATTCAGGTAGCTGCGGTTGATTCTAACTACGGCAAGGTGACTGCGTTCTTCAGTGGTCTCACGCGCGTTTCACCCATGACGAAACTGGAATGTATCTTTCCTTGAAATGAGGCGCAGATATGAGACTTTTCCATAACCATTCTCTTGCGACGCATTAGCAAAATGATGTGGCTCTGCCCGTGCAACTCTACCAAAGCTTTCTGGCTTGAAACATCTCGAGATCCTGAATCCCTGCAAATTAATAAGGCCTTCTCTCCACTTTCTCCAACGCAGACGAATTTCCTCTGGGATATTGTTGTCCCAACTAAGTTTTAATTTACACAATTCTTGAGTGATTTCTCTTCCAAGTTGAAGTAACGAACTGGCAAATCTGAGTGGATCGTGTACGGTCGCAATCGAGGACAGTGCTCCCTTACGATTCTAGCTGTCTCGCTCGCTAAAAACGAAGTCGATCGTATCACGTTCTACGTCCCAATGGATTCCTAAAGCCTTATCCAGAGGCAAATTGTCGGATTTCAAATCTAGATCCTTAATGTGCGGAGCTCGTTCTCCCACTAGAACGCTGACAAGACATCACGACGGTTTGAAATCCATTTTGGGAGCTGGAAGCCTCCTCTTCTTCCTCTCGAAAGGGAAGTCGAATCTGATAATGCCCCGTTCGTGTCGCCACATTCTTCATTGTACATGCGCTCCAGTTGTATATCAAGAACTTCACGCTTGTTGTGTATTATGTTCTTCCCTCTTGTCTAACTGCAAGTTGATAATTTCTGGATGAGGATTGTTACCTTTTTATCTCCTGTTTCGGGTACACTGATGTCAGTAAAGTGAGGCTACTTCCTTATTTCTTCGTTGATTGCCATATGTCTTAGCGTAAAAGGAAGACTCCCTGCGGTTGAAACATGGCTAAGGTTGAACTCTGTATCTCCTTCGAGAGACTTAACGTTCAGCTGAACCTGAAGGTCGGTCCTTTTGTGTTCACAATTGACCGTGGCCATCGTAACACTAGTCGGCTTCATATCATTCAAATCTAACTCCCGCACAAGGCCCTCGAGGCAGGAATTAGCATCTGACCACGAACACTCACATGAATAAATATCTCTTTGGCACCATTGCGACTACTGATTTTAACTGGGACAACCTTCAAGCACACTCGAGGTCGACTGGTCCCTACCACGCCCACAGTAACAGGCACACCAAGTGAAGTTGTAGTGTTCGGAGGATTAGCGGAGATCTGCGACAGTTCCTTTTGCTGCACCATTCCTTTCAGCACTTCGAAACGTATCATGGCCGTTAGTCTTGATGCCACTCCCATTTCCGTCGGCTATACTGAAATGGATTAGATATAATGGTCTTAGCCACACCCTGGCTTTAAGCATGGGAATCATTTTGGGACACTGTTCCGCGCTATGTCCCTGTGAGAGACATGCTCTGCAAAGTCGGTGTTGTCTTACAGTCTTTGAACGATCTCTTAAAGAGGAACTTATAAATATCCGACAGCTCCAGACTCCATGTGGTCCCGAGCACTGTGGACACTTCAGTGGAACTCCGGTAGGTATGGCGGTGCCCTGCTGATCTTCTTCACTGCGGGTAGCAAGTGTTGTGACTTTAAGCGTGTAATCTGCCTTTCCTTTGCCAGATTCCTTACTTTCCCTCCCAGCACATGGAGAAAACTTCAGTTCTTTTCCATGTCCATTTTTGACACGTTATCCTGCCTCTCTAAAAAAACCAACAAAATCCAAATACGCAGCTCGACCTTTGCTCTTGATGAGATCTCCTGCTCTATCGACCCACTTTCTTTTAAGATCTTCATCGAGAAGCTTTCTCATTAGCGTAATTATCATATTCCCACTGAACTTTATTAACTCTACTTTTGGTAGCGATGGACCTTGTTTGATCCCTTGTTCAATTGTTTCCAAGCTTCTGACTGCTGTGACTAAGGAGAGAGGTACGGGTACAGTAAAAAATGTTTTGGGAGAAACAAATGCTGGGTAGATTTCAGTTGCTGTTGCTATAATGAGCGGATGTTGACTGGAAACTCGCTGGTGATAAGCTCTCAATAGAGTAAAATGGTGGCTGAATTGTGTCAGGTGCAGGTGTTGTAGTTAGTTAAGGAGAGTGTCGAGTCAAAGAGCTAATTAGGGAGTGAGATTCCCTCCTAAAGCTGACGCCGGTGACCAAAATTGGACTCAGATGGAGGCCTTTTTTTCTTCTGTCATCTTTTTCTCCCTCCATTCATTCTTCATACCTGCCAACGGTTTCTTCTACTTCTGTTTTTCAACTCCTGGGCTTGTAATCAAATCTTGAACGACATTCCGACGTTTTCACAGTTCTCCTAAATGTCCAGCTCTCCGACGCCCAGCATGGACAGCTCTCTCAGTGTTGACTTCCTCTTCATTCAAAATCTCGCTCGGTGCTTTCTTCCTAGTTTCCATAGTTGAACCTTGAAGATTTTCGCCAACAGAAATTAAATCCACGTAGCCTACGGCTAACAATGGCCATACATCCAAATTTCCACCGCTCTCGTCGCTCCTAAACGCGTTGACTTCTGACAATTTATTCGGCGTCTCTTCAGCAACATGACGATTTACTATACGTGCGATTCTTCAAAGACAACTTTTACCTTCGAACTACTGGCCGATTTTCTTTTCTTTTTGCTGGTCAGCTGATGACAAACCACTCTTGAAAACAGATCTTGACATAAGAACTCTAACTTTGAATTATGTAGGGGCCAGCTAAGCTTGGCGTAAATAAATATGACACAACAACCTGTATACATCCAGATTCCTTATATTCTTGTAAACAACGATTTTAAATACGAGGATCTATCCGGCGACGATTCGAAATTAGTGCTTCTTACAAGACAGCTTCAAAATCCTTAGCTTAAAACTAACCTTGACAAAAAAACGGCAAAAAACTTCAAACGAGGCCTAGGTAACGCACATTGCGGCGCTATAGAATGTAATTAAATTCAACGAATCATACAAGTTTGGTTCACCGGATCCTCAACAATCCTCGCCCAGTTATCTGAAAGCAAAGATGTGAAAGAAGTACGGGAAGCAAATAAAAAATGTTGATACCCGGTGAGAGGAATGAAAGGGAAATACTGTGCATTATTTAAGTATATTTAAAAATTGCCTAAATTTAAAAAAATCTAAAGCACTTTCCCTTTTGCCAAAGTTTCTTTAAAGTTTCTTTCATCCCTTTCCAAAGAAAAAAATGGTCGTTCCATGATAAAACCTGATGCCACGTTAAGAAGTAATATACAGCATACGTCTCACTTAAATCTTCTATGGACAAGAAAGCCGGGTCGGATGCTTTTTCTCCCGCAGTATTATTTGCAACGCAGTGATATTTTCCTTTATCTTCTTTCTTTGCATCTTCTATTACCAGTTGGCTATGAATTTGTTTGTCGTCCAGGGCAGTCTTAATGTATTTTATTCTTGGGTTGGACTGTATAGCAAGCGAATCGTTGTTCTTTATCCATGTGATGGATGGCATGGGAGAACCTTTGGCGGTGCAGTTTAAAGTTAGGTTGAAACCAGCAACGACGGTTTGGTTCTTTGGATCCTCGACAGTCTCCGGTGCTAGGAAAGCTGACACCGACAATTCCAGATGACAGTAAAAATTGTGTTAGGAGAACATAAAAAAAGGAGTAAGTGAAATGAAAGAGAAATACCGTGCATTATTTAAGGATTTTCAAATTTAAAAAGAGAACTTAATTTTTGTGAATTCTAAAACTGTTTCCCTTTGACCAAAATTTCTTTAAAGTTTCTTTCATCATTCTCTAAAGAAAAAAATGGTCGTTCCATTATAAAACCTGATGCCAAGTTAAGAAGAAATATACAGCATACGTCTCACCTAAATCCTTTACGAACAAGAAAGCCGGGTTGGATGCTTTTTCTCCCGCAGTATTATTTGCAACGCAGTGATATTTTCCTTCATCTTTCTTCTTTGCATCTTCTATTACCAGTTGGCTATGAATTTGTTTGACGTCCAGAACAGTCTTAAAGTATTTTATTCTTGGGTTGGACTGTACAGCGAGCGAATCGTTGTTCTTTATCCATGTGATGGATGGCATGGGAGAACCTTCGGCAGTGCAGTTTAAAGTTAGGTTGAAACCAGCAACGACGGTTTGGTTCTTTGGATCCTGGACAGTCTCCGGCGCCAGGAAAGCTGACACCGACAATCCCAGATGACAGTAAAAAATGTGTCGGGAGAAGATAAAAAAAATTGAGAACTCGTAAAAATATTTTTAAAAACTGAAGGGGGCACATAAAAACAGGAAAAGTGGGTTAGTAAGCAAAACTCCACAAACAAAAAGCGAGCTTTGCCACGTTTTAGATATCCTGGAATATTTAGCCTCACGTTTTCTCCATTTCCAATCCATTTTACACATGCTTCTTCATTTCTTGTTGTCCATGTTACATGGTCTCTACTTAAGAGTGTCTGCGTCTTAGAAACGACCGATGATTTCTGGCTAAAAATTAAAATCAGCCGATTTATTTCTTCCAAGTAGAGGTTACCTAATACTATTTTAAAATGAATTTCTTTGCTTCAGTTTCGCTTTAAAACAAAAATATCGAGCCGCGAACTTGTTACGTCTGATTGTAGCAAAATCTGTCCCAAAATATGCCCTTTCAAAAACCGGTTCAAAAATCACTATCGCAACACAAACATCGAAAAACTGCAGAAGCGAATGATAAATCAATTTTCAAATATTGCATATCAAATTAGAGGGAGCGTTGGAGATTATTTTAAAATAATTATTTCTACAAAATCCAACGCTGTTGAAGGCAATCACAGTGGTAAATCAGACATTAGAAGGATATACGTTACGTTTCTGGAAAAACATTTTTCGGCCAAAGTATATTGACCTTGTACGAAGCGTTCAAAGTTGCAGTGTTTACCGTTATGTTGCTACTTCGGCGAAACAACTCTCTGTCGCCAATACACCCATGGATAGCGTGGTAAATGTCACTTTAAACCTTGCTAACCGCTCAAATACCATCCTAAATAGAATGGTATGGTATTAAAAGAGAAAGGAAGATGAAAAATAGGTAGAAAAAGAAAATAATTTACATTTACCATCTGCTGAGGTGAGTTAAATCTTGGAAATGTTATCGCGTGACACCTTTCACCTGAATTCATCATCATCATTCATGGCAATAATATAAAACTGTTTCACTTCAGGATTTATGGCGGCGGAAGAGTTGTTTCAAGTTTACTTGTATTCTACGCAGTTGCTTGGATTCCGCCGTAGTTTGGAGAAATGAGTGGTGTCACGCGATAACATTTCCAAGATTTGACTCACCTCAGCAGATGGCAAATGTAAATTATTTTCTTTTTCTACTTATTTTTCATCTTCCTTTCTCTTTTAACACCATATCATTCTATTTAGGATGGTATTTGCGCTTAGCAAGGTTTAAAGTGACATTTACCACGCTACCATGGACGTATTGGCAACAGAGTGTTTCGCCGAAGTAGCACCATAACGGTAAACATTGCAACTTTGAACGATTTGTACAAGGTTAATATACTTTGGTCGAAAAATGTTTTTCCAGAAACGTAACGTATATCCTTCTAATTTCTGATTCACCACTGTGATTGCCTTCAACAGCGTTTGATTTTGTAGAAATAATTATTTGAAAATCATCTCCAACCCCTTCATCTAATTTGATATGCAATATTTGAAAATTTAATTTTTCATTCGCTTCTGCAATTTTTCGATGTTTATCGAATAATGTTTCATCAAAAGGCCTTTTTCTTCATAACTGCATAGTTTTCTCATTATTTTGTGTTGCGATAGTGATTTTTGAACCGGTTTTTGAAAGGGAATATTTTGGGACAGATTTTGCTACAATCAGACGTAACAAGTTCGCGGCTCGATATTTTTGGTTTAAAGCGAAACTGAAGCAAAAGAAATTCGTTTTTAAATAGTATTAGGTAACCTCTGTTTGGAAGATAAAAATCGGCCGATTTTAATTTTTAGCCAGAAATCATCGGTCGTTTCTTAGGCTTAGGGCCTCTTAAGAGTGCTGTTACTAAAGGCAAGTTTTCACTGGCGACGGAGTTAGAGTCGGAGTCGTAGTCAGAGTCGTAAGAACACTTTCAAGCGAGTGAAAACTGAAAAACAGAATCATAAGCGGAGTCATAAGCTCGACAGAATAGGACTCAGAAGAATCAGAACGGTTTCGTTTTTTCCGTGGTGAAAACTAGGTTGTCGCAGTCGCGAGCAGAATCGGAAAAAAACAACCAATCACATGCCAGTTCTCAGACCCTTCCAGCACAGTCTTCCTCCTACGACTCTGACAATTCTTCAAAGGATCGTAAGCGACGGAGTCGTAAGTGATAACGGTATTTTTCTTCTGATTCTGTCGATTTGATTTTTACTTGATCGTATCGCTCTTTGCTCATGTTTACAAATCCGACTCCGTCTCCGTCTTCTTTCAATGGAGAGGAAGTTAGTATATAGAAGGTAAATTCCAATGCGCAGTTTAATGCACCTAACACTCGGCCACATTCCCCTCTCTACTCAACAACATTTAGAAGTCCCTTTCAATTTGAAGTATCATGACAGCTGATTTGAATGGCAAGGCGCGTGAGACTGAAATTACAAACTACCCAGAAAAGGCTGATGGAAGTAAGCAGATAAGAAAAAAATCACTCCCCTACTCTTGTTAAATTTCAGTCCAATTTTTGCCATTAATTTATGTAAATCGTTTCGTGTGACGAGAAGCAAATCAAAGTTACAAAACGTTTTGGAATAGCTGATAAGATAACGAGTGGGTTCCAGAAGGAATAGGTCGTCCTGTGTTGCTCTTCAGGCTACTGTTGTTTCGAAAATCGCTTTTGGTACGGGTGCGAAACGACTCAACTGACTTGGTGCGAATCGACTTTGGTGCGAAAAGACTGGGTACGAAACGTCTGGTAACCGCTTTATTTTGTTTCTCGAGGAGATAACGTTAGTTTTGTTGCTTACCTTGTCCAATTTCGACAGTTTTTCGCCGGCAATATCCAGCAAAATCATTTTCTGCCTCACAAGTGTAATTTCCAAACTGTGCTAAAGTCAACCCCTTGAGCATTAATGTACAACGAAGTTCTCTTCGTAGTTGAGGATTTATGCATTTGACTCCAACTGATCTATTCTTAGAATCATACCACTGAATATACTTGATCCTTCTCCTAAGAGATGACTCGTCCTCGAACCTTGGCCGCGCTATACAGGTCAAATTAAGAGCTTCTCCTACACATAGTGTGCGACGTGGTGGACTCGCGGAGATCTTTATTTCAGGTATCACTGGACGGCAAAGAGAAAATTCCATCAATAAGTTTATCAAAAAAACTTTACAACAAAAACTTTGCAACCTTAATTTAGTTGAGCAAACACACGCAAAAAAAAGATCCACATGGTTGCCACTAACCAGCCTTGGTGTTACATTTCTTTGTCGTTTCTGCGGATGAAAGGTTGCTTAGAGCACTGGTAACAAGCAATAGCAAGAGACAGTTTCTAACGTCTCTAAGCCAATGTGTCTCTAGCATTCTGTTCGTTGGACGTGCGTTCAGATCTTCACACAACAGGTGCCTAAACGTAAAATCGACTTCATAAGGGACGAATCGAAGTGATGGGAGGCCGGGAAAGATGGGATAAGATGGGGCAAGAAGTGACTGCAATCTAAGGAACTGAAATTATGAAGGATAAAAAACTATGAACACATGAAAACTTCGGGAAAGAAAATGAAATATCATATATCTGTAAAACTTTATTACAACTCGTGATACAACCTGTGATTAAAAAATCCGACTCCCGCTTCGCGGTCGTCCGATTTTGCTAATGACTCGCGTGATTACAAACCAAATTGGATTCCACTCAGTCATGCGGTCTTTTTGAAGCTCGAATAAATGGCTTATGAGGTCATAAGGCAGCCAATTCCACTTTCCAACAATCTACTCTTTTTCTACTGCATTGTACTTACTAGTGCAAAAGCTAAACTGCCACAGGTAAAAGGTCTTATTGCAGAAACTCGATGTTTGTGACCAAACAAATATAGTGAACGTAGATGACAGCCCGATGGCACATTAGCAGTCTCATGCAAAACATCATATCTTATTACCTTGGCAACCAGTCCTCACAAAACTTTATCAAAATGTAAATTGAATGTGTATGATGACTCCTCATGAAAACTGAACAGGTGAGAGTTTGTTATAAAAGAAGATCGAAGATAAAAAAATTAAAGGAAGAGGTAACATTGAGTCACTCACCCTTCGTACTTCTATGTACTGTAATGTTGTACTTGCGTGGTTCCTGAAAAAGCTCAGATGTTGTTTATTTGAAAAAAGTGTTCTGTTTTTCACTAACTACTCAAATTTATGGATGTTCATGACATTGTTGCACAAGAAGACAGCTCTGGTCGATTCTCACAAAAATAAAGTAGTATTTGATGACTGATAACATAATAACAAAAATAAAATGGTAAAGGAGAGGATAAGGGAAACGAATATTCAACCCACCTCCAGCCGTCCTCTTGTCATAGCAGACAGGAAAAACGAAATATGATAATATGCGACTTTCTGACTTAAGAATAAATGCGAAGGAAACAGATGTTTTTGACTACAGATGTCATAATTTGAGTGTTTTTCGATCAAATAACATTCCTGATCATTTTATTTAATCCTAAACAAGGACAAGTAAGGCTATGTTAACAGACCGGTAGAGCCTCTATTGCTGACTGTTTGACATATAAAAGAGTGTGATTAATGGTACCGAAGTTTTAGCTGGCTATAACTGCAATAGAAGCTTCTCCATAATCGCTACCAAAGTTTAAAATTATAGAAAATAATTATGATCTCCACGGTACCAAAAAACTGGGTTTCTCGCTATAAATCCACTCAAAGGAATTGACTCGAAAACCATCTGTAAACAGTTTTATGGCTGTGGTAACGTATTTCTTTCTGTCATATAAATGTTAATTTTCCATATCCTTCAACAGCTATGTACCTCATTGAATATTAGGTTGCAATATTACAAAATAAGGAGCACCCATTTTGATGCTGGCTTAGGTTTTTTATTTTTCTGTGAATTAGACGGTTACAGTCCTTATTTATTTCTTTTTTTTCCCTTTTTTTTTGGAGGGGTGGGTTATGGAGAAGAAAAAATATGCGTAGTTGCTATCCCGCATATAATTAGTTAGACGCGTTATTTAAAAAATGATAATTATTTTAGAGCTTCATCTCTGTCACAGTTAAATACGTCAATTTTCTGGGGATGGCTAAAAACAAATTCATTAATTCTACTAAGCCGAGATCAGACCAATTTGGAAGTTCTATATATTCTTAACCAACATTTTTAGCAGGAATTGGAACACAATACTTATTTGCTATTTGATACTTATTTATCATAACTATTTCTTTATCTAGACAGAAAGTTTTTCATTATACCCATGGAGAGTTTATTTAACTTCCTTCTTACTGAGAGTCTTTGAATAATTATAAGGCGCACGTCAAAAAGCTGGCGGCAACGAGGACAAAGCAAAACATAAGATCTATAAGCAGAACATTGCCTCAGCACGTGTGTTTTAAGCCTTTGTACATTTCTTAGCCATCCACCGTTAAAAAGCAACGTGGAAGCACCAAAATTTGTGTAGTCTGAGAACAGGAACCCCGAAAGAGAATTATTTACGTTTCAATTTGCAACTTGACGCTGCTGACATACGCTATACTGAGGTTTAGAAGTGGAGCCAGCAATTTCGCGAAATTCTGCCTAAATTATGAATTTATTTTTAAAACGACGTCTTCCTTGTTGTCGTCCCGATTGCATAAAGTCCCTATTGAATATACGGATCATTCGAAGTTTTTATATTTAGGGCAGTAGCACGGCCAAAATGGAAGGCCTGGCTGAGAAAAACTCTCACGAGGTTTGATAATTCATGATATCATGCGAAAACTGAACTCATTAATTGTTGTATTATAAAATTTTTCAACAACCTGCCAAAGAAAACACTTCAAAAGTTTGAGAACACGACACCAACGAGGGGCTTGGAAACTAGGCAGACTTTGAACTCGAGATGATAACCCAACATCTGCTGTACATATTGGGTATCCTGTCAACTTTACACGCTATGTCATATTGATTGTATACTCACGACCAATTGGATGACACAACAAGCATATTTTGCTTTAATTTATTGACCTTATAAAAATTTTCTAGAATTAATCCAGAGTTTTGTCTATATCTGTGGAGGCGCTTTTCTGTTTTCTCTCCCGACAAAATTCAAGTCAAACACCAATTGGATGACACAACAAGCATATTTTGCTTTATTTTACTGACCTTATAAAAATTTTCTAGAATTAATCCAGAGTTTTGTCTATATCTGTGGAGGCGCTTTTCTGTTTTCTCTCCCGACAAAATTCAAGTCAAACACTGTTTTCCTTTTAGGATCTTAAGCGTTTTTATTGTACTCGATCTCTCTTTAAGTCTCGATTAGATTAACGAAGTAGCCCGTCCAGGGATCAGGCGAGTAGTTCACGATCGAATAGTAGTTACGTAGAGCCATTCGTGGTAGGTGTTAAGGTGTGTGACTTCAACTTTTGGAAACAAACAAAACAAAAATTCTAAACTTGCACCGGTCTGATTTTCATTTCAGCTTTCTTGACGGAGTAGTGATATCCTTTCCAGTCATACCAGTTGACTCCGTCGGCATAACATGAGTGCGCTCCGTGATGGTACAGTCCATTCAGGTTGGAGCGATGACAGCCATCGTAACACCAGGCTCCTTTGTAGGTCACAGCACAGCGATTTCTGTCCTTGTCTTTGGTTGCGAAGGGCTGGCCACGATGAAGAGAAAGAGAATCGCCTGCAGTTCCTGAAAAATGTGAAGTCATCAAGGCCGCGGAGGAAATTTGTCCCATGGTGCTATGCAATTATAAAAAAAGCCCATCGACGAGCTATCATTTTCTGATTTATATATCTGCTAGCGAATACTTAAGGGATTCCAATTTGTTTTATTAAGGCACAGTTGATAGTGCTGTTCCAAGTTCAGTCAATGAATACTGCAAGTTCTCTCAGCAACAGATTTCTTAATTATTGCTGAGGTTACCTGAGTATGTTCCAACGCACAGCTTGTATTTATTCTTCTCACTGGCAACAGCAAACATGTTGTATTCGGCGTAAGCAGTTTTACCTTTGGTGTCTATCAGATGTACACGGATCTTGTTCTTTATTGCTGTTGTAAGACGGTGTATCTTGTCCAGTCCCAGCCAAAACTCACCATACAGATTACCAAAGCTATTCTTGTAATCGGTCCAGCGGCGATGGAAGTCAACCGAGCCATCCAGTCTTCTCTGAAACACTGTCCCCCCCCCCGCCGGCTGTCGTTTGGTCACAGAAGACTTAAAGGCACCGAGACCATCAGGGTCGATTGTATAAACGCCGCTTGTTGTTTTACCAGATTTGTACAGCTCAGCACAGTTCTTCTTAACTGTTGGAAGACATATGAGATGGATTTGCGCAAGAATCGTAAGACTTTGTTGATAACATGACAAGCTTCTCCATTTGTCTCTTACCTTCAGTACAGGTGTGTCGAGATTCAATAAGGGTCTAGTTTTCTTTGATAGAAGCAATGTCGTTTTGCATTTCGAGTGTCTCTTTTATTTCCCTAAGGAGAGTTTCTGTAGATTCTTACGAGATGAGGTTAATCAGGACAGGATAGACAAGATTAAAATCCATAGAATTTCCTTTATCTGAGGAACAATTCCAAAAAAGTGGAAAAGAAAAATGATGATCTAGTGTGAATATACCTTTACATAAAATGTTTCTCGCTTTGATAATGCTGACATCATTTTTAACGTGCATAAGCTGTTTATTCATTTCCTGAAGAAGTGTTCCAATCTTTTTGTTTGGTGTTCCTGCATGGAGGCTGAAGTAGACATTTTTACATCGGTTTGTGGGTGAAGAACCGACTGAGGCACTAACGCTGTTACCTGGCTTAGCAGACGTTTGACTCACCACGATATAAGGGTCAAGAACAGAAAACTGCGATAAAAATCTGAGAAAACAAGAGTCATCATACTTATTGAATGTTGGCTCTAGTTTAACTGTCGATAACTTGAGGTTGTCACTGACTGGTTAGAATGCAGAAGTAACCCATTTTAGAACAACAAAGTGTGTGCGTCACTGAAATTATTGCGAGAGCTTTTTCGTGTTATCTTGCTCTTTTGAGCCCACTGTTAACGTCATCAGTTAAAATTAAGTCACCGACGGAAAAATTTCCCTCGTCTTCGACTTGAAAACAATGAATGCATCTTTGGAAAAACTTTTGTAAGACCTTATTCGCTCTTTTCCGAATATGATAATTCAGTCAGAATTTTGAGTGCGCGTAGCATATATTTGAATCGTGTTAGTTTATCCAATTGACCGTAAGGTGAATACAACTTATGATTATTCATCGAAATCATGGCGTTAATGATCTCTTACATTTCTCATCCTAAAGAAACACAGACTTAAAACCACACAGATCATATGAATGACTGCATGAGGAAAATGGTAAACTGTTGTTGACTGTTATCATTCAAATTTAACTTTAACTTTAACTTTAACTTTAACTTCCGTGAGTGACCAAGACAGAATTTCTCCTTACAATATCATTACAAATTCAAGAAGACAAGTGATGAGAACCAAGAAAGATATCAATTAGGGTATTATTAGTTCATCGAATACCAAATTCTCAGAAGTAACATTAGAAGATTTGTATAGCAGACAGTAAGGAGAATTACTAATGAGATCTTGAGAGTTAAAGGGTTCATATGATTTAACCCTTTAAACCCTGAGAGTTACTAGCATCTAATTTCTCTTCACAGCAGCACCCCTGGATTAAACATTAAGGTCAGGAGAATAAAAGAAATGATCAACAACTTGACGAGCTCTTGACCATTAAACGAATTTCTCTTAGTCAGCACCATAGGGAATGTACAGTGAACAGTTTTGCTGACTGGTTAAAATTTCGCAAGGCATTTGCATAAAGCGTATTCGATCGATAATTTTGCCTTGTAGTTGCCTTTTCGGCCGGCAAAGGTTGATAAGTTAAACAAGCTATATTTACTTTCTGCTTCGACTACCGTATCAACATCTGTTTCTTTGTTTTTAGAATTTCTAAACATTTGTGAAACACATGGACACGGACTCTGGAACGTAGCGGAGCTGTTAGTCGTAAAAACAAAAATGTCTTCCTCACGTCAGATTACCAAGATCTGTCAGCCGAGCCCTCTGTCATCTGGGTACTCACATAATCAAGGGATAGATTGAAACCCTTATTCAAATAAGCGCCCCTATTCTTTTTCAGCGATATCTCTGTAAGAGTAACATTACATTGAGATAAACCGGTTTCATCTTCCTTTAATTGCTTACTTAAAACCTAATTATACAAAAACACTGGTCTTCGTCTCAGTTTCTCAACTATTACGTCCATGTGAGTGCACAGTTCCTTCAAACGAATGATCTCGTCGTCTTCCAATTTTGTGACGACGATTGCTTGGCTGGTCGTTTTAGCCAGAAAGGATCCAGGGACAGCAGGTCCGTTTTCCAGTCTTCTTGATCCTCTTCAAATAAACATGGTGCAATTCACAACGAACTTTTAAATGCAGACAATTGTACCCATTTCCGGCTAATGAATGAAAGCATGTCATATTTACATTCTCTCATCAATTAAGCGGAGTTGACTAATTAACCAACACAGGAGCTGCTTTCATGAAAATTACCAAGGAAAATAAAAAGGACTGAGTTTCTTAAGCCCACCAGCATAACAACAACTAAGATTTCGATAACTTTCTTTTTCACCTAGCTTATTGGTAACAAGATGAACAGGTCGTTCAATTCAAGACTACTCAATTTTGAAATACAGCACAACATGGCGCTAGGTGCTGGATTTTCTGCCCACTCATTTTACTTCTTCTTCAAATCAACTCTGCTAGTGATTTCATCCTCCATGATGTTGATATATGTCCTCTGGAACAGAAGAATCAAAGCGATGAAAAAATGACAGGTTGGATACACGTAGGAAGCTCAGTAATGATAATAGTGATAATGGATAATAATGACAAAAGGAACAAGCGAGCGGATGAGAAAAGATGAAAAATAGAACTTAAGAAAGACCAATTAAACCTAATATACACGACTTTCAAACCTTTATTCCCCCATTTTTTTCAACTTACATTTTATCATTCTGGTAACAATTTTATTTGTCTCATTTTTCCTTTAGATATAATTTCAATTTTAATAAGCCATTTACTACGAGGAGAGTTTCGATTTTTGCTGCCATTTCCCTCGACTTATATGACTCCTCCTTAGATGCAAGTCTCTTCGGCATTTGAAAACTGGAGGGGGGAAAATGTTTCCGCGTAATCTACTCAAGTGTAATTAATTGAAAAGAGAAAAAGTGGAAGAGGAAGGAAGCAGTAAGGAATGGCTTACATCCAATTTCACTCACCTTTACTTCTCTTAAGAAGTATTCCAGCTGATTCACGATGTCAGTAAACGAAGGTCTCAACAAAGGATTCTCGTTCCAACAAGAGCTCATTAACATATACCTACAAATGCATTGCATCATTCTTGAATATTGAAGACCTCTTTAGTCAACTAGCTCACTCAATCTTCACCCAACCAAACTACGGAGGTCTTATGACAGCGACATCCCAAATAGGTAGAGTTCCCGTATCTTATGGGAGGCAGAATATTTCGTTGACCCAGTCACGTGACAAATGCCTCCAGTTACTTAAATAATGATAAAAGTGTCGACTGTTAACATGTTAGCAAATATATGTAAGAAATAGACGGTCTTACAAATGATCGAAACACTTACAGTTCTTCCGAACATCGATGAGGACGAGGCATCCGATAGCCCGTAGAGAGCTGACTTACAAGGGAAAGTGGTGATTCGATGTCAGGGTATGGCAACTCACCTATAAAGCAAAATAACGGAGTTTGCTCGATGGTAATAGCTTTTAAGTTTAAAAACATAATGGATTTTTAACGTCTTACTAACTGAGCATGAGGGCCGAGGGTGTGGCAGTACGGACTGAGCGCAGTCAGCTGCACACTAAAACAACTGAGGTCCAATATTCCACAGTAAGACTCGAGCAAGCGAGGTTAGTAAGTAGTTTATTGTGCGATGCTCGGACCAAACTTTTTAATTTTGTATTCGCCGACTTTCGTGAACAAAAATACGCAATGTATGATCGTTTCCTTGGAACGGTCCGTATGGATAAATCCCGACCCGAACTAAGAACGCTCGCAAAATCTACTGAATTCACTGAACGCTAGAATTTACCTCAGGACCACTTCGCCAGATGATAAAGCGTTTTAATATAGCTCTTCCTAGACATAGAAATCATTGAATGTTTATAGAAATGTTTATAGACCTACCATATGTTGCTATTTCCCAAAGTAGTATGCCGAACGACCAACTGAAAATGATTAAGAAAAAGGACGCGTTCATTTAAAGGTATCTATTGTTTTCGGAAAATGAAATAGCGGAATTTTTTAAAATAAGTGTAAGAATTTAGCAAGTGAAAGTTCATCATAAAAATTGCATATATATATATATATACATATATATATATATATATATAATTGTGGGAAATTGTAAGCAAATGCTGTTGGAAAGTGCTCGATACACATGAGTGTAGAGCGAAATACAGTTCAAAATGACTAAAATGAAACACGCATGATTCCCAGGGACATCGAGTGGAATACAAAAGGAAGGGAAAAAGGAGAAGAGGAACTCCTCTCCAACATTATTCTCGGTACGTAAAAATCTCAGCGGCCTTAAGCGCCTCGATCTTGATCAAACATATTGGTGGTGGACAAGGCTACCCCTTCCACGTCAGACATCGTATGTTTCTTTTTGTTTACTTACACATCGCTCTTGGATGTATAAACTCGGTCTCGAAGAGATTCCAAAGACGACCATCTCCATGGAATTTTAACCTGTTGATAAAGGTAGCTTAAAAAAAGCTATTCTGTATCATCTTGTAATATAATGAACAAGCATACAGGATATCATGCCAACCAAAGCGTTTGCTCGCCTAATTTAGAAGGAAATAATGAAATTTAGCCCACGACAAGGTTCTGACCCTCTAAAGTGATACTTACATGTACTGTTTTTTATATTGAAAGAGTGCAGACAGAAAAAAAGTGGTTTATGATAAATAAATAGATTTAATTCAGGGTTTCTTTGAGTTGAGCTTATGGGGCCCCAGAGAAAAATGAGTGGTCGTATTTAAACAGAAATTTAAATTTCCTGCGGCTTTCAACATAAGAATGAAGACTAATAATGAGTGATCCAATACTTACACATGAAGTTTTGATGTATAATCCATCGTCTGAGATGTTCCTTGCTAATCCAAAGTCTCCAACTTTTGCCACCTTGTTTGAATCAATAAAGACATTTCTCGCTGCAAGGTCGCGGTGAATGCACTGAAAAGAAAGTTGCCATTTCGGTTTTTTATTACACAAATATTATGCCAAAGCATGTTAAGAATGAGTCAAATTTTCACCAAGAGTTATCGTTGAGATAAATTTTCTGTGATTTGCCAACCTTCCGCTCTTCTAAATGCTGCATTCCCAAGGCCACTTGCAGTGCAATGTTCAACAGCTGTCGGACGCTCAGTTTACAGCAGACATTTGCATATTCGTTACTTCCGTCGTCCTTGCTCTTCAAAAGGCTTTCAAGGCTACCACCTCGGACCAATTCAGTAACAACAAAAACTGTTTCTGAGTAGAGAAAAGTTGGCTATCAAGAACTCGACGACGGCTTACGGGCTGCATGAAAGGTAGTTTACGAAATCGCAAAGTTATCTTGTCATTAACTGGGACAGAAAAATTAGAGGGGGTCAAAGAGAAAGACAACTCAAAAAAATTTTCACGCGACCGGAATTAACCCTAACACCACAGTTATTCCGTAAACTTCAGTAAAAAGTAATTATTGATGGCTTTTTTGTGCAGGCCGGTGAGACTGGGGATGGTGCCCATTCTATGCCATTTGTATGGTCGAACGAAACCTTACCTCCGTGTACCCATGCTCCAATTAAATTGACAATGTTCGGATGTCGGCCAGCCTGTTTCAGAGTCCTTATCTCGTTTAACAGCGCGGCTTTCTCAAGTTTGCTTGCATCATCTAAATAAAAATGTGAAAAGATGTTACGTTATACTCCTTCATTTTCCTCAGAGAATATTGAGTGCAATTAAATTACATCAGAAGCTTATGATGACATTCAATGGTCTCAAAAGCATCTACGTGATCGTATTTACTTACTGATCCCTCCTGACTGTAGGAAAAGTTAAAACTTAAAAAAGATCAGTGCGAATAGAATGAGACTCTTATGCATACCTTTCAACTTTTTTATTGCAACATCAATAACGTTTCCGTTCTTTCTACCACAACGACCTTTGTAAACGATTCCATATTCCCCTTCGCCGAGCACTTCTTCAAGCACTTCGAGATCATCCAAGTCTTTTTCGCATTCTTCTGGCGCTATGTTAAGAGATGTTAGCATTTGATCGCCATGTTTGTAGCTATCCATGCCACTTTCTTGATGTGGAATCACGTTGGCATCATCACAACCATCTTGAGCACTGAAATGACCACTGCGTGAGTTTAACAACTTTTCTGCCTGGTCTTTTTGATCAAAGATGAGATTTCTGAAATTTTTTTCTCCAACATGTGGTGGAGTAGGAATCTTGCGTCCCTCTAGGAGCATCGAGTCGACACTCCCATCGTCTTGTTTGGGGTCTTTTCTTTCTGGTCGCATATTAGTATTTAGCTTTTCATCATCTACCAGCGGAGCGACAACATTTACCACTAAAGGCGCTGAACCGTTCTCATTATGATTGTCATCTTCAGCTATCCCCTCAGCCAAATCGTTGTTGGCCAAGCAGACCACATAAAGTTCTCCCTCATCCCTGTTACCCTGTTATTGAAATGGATAGAATGTCAATATCTTCAACTGACAACAGTTCATGGTCACTCATGATTTGGTGATCGAAATGTCCAGTCGTTCAATAGTTTGTTCACCTCCTTGAGTATTCTTTCCGATTTCATTTAGCAGCAATTTAGTTGAAGAAAAAATATCGTTTTGAGAGTTGGACAAAGTTAATTTTTAACCCTTTCCACCCTAGCATCAGTATGCGTATTTCCCTTACTGTTCCCCATACATTCCCTTAGTTGCTGATGAGGAGAATTTGTTTCATAATCCAGATTTTTCTTGTTGGTGACCATTTTCTTTATTCTCGTCACCTTAATGTGCAATTTGAGGGTGATATTGTTGGGAGAAATTAGATGCTAGTCACTCTTAAGGGTTAAACAATCTATGAAAAATACCTGTTTATTTCGTCTTGCACGTCGATAGAAATACGCCATGGTGCACCCGCACATGAATGTCATTATGGTGCCACCAAACACACTAAGCACAGTAATCAAGAAGACTGAACGATGCCGATCTTTTCTCGGTGACGCTGTTGCTGGATACGGCAGTTGAAAGAAGAGGAAAAATTGAATACGGTGAGAGTCGCAAAACTTGAGAAATTCCTTCAATTATTATCGGGTGAAATTTCATACTGAGCTATGCTGCATAATTGCCCTCACAGAAATTGAACGCAGAGTTACAAACGGTATCAATCTGCAACCTCACCTAGCTGCTTAATGAACAAGAACGCAAATGTTGGTGCTATTTCTCCAGCGCTGCGAGTGTAACAATAATATTTGCCGTCGTCTTCTTCTTTTACCCCTCTTATTGACAGCTGGCTTTGCATGATGTTTTTGTCATTTAGTAGAATTGGAATGACTCTTGCCCTTGGGTTTGAGTTTGCAGCTTGACCCATGTGATATTTGGCTTCGGAAGACCAGCGGCAGAACAGTTAAAAGTTACATTGGAGCCGAAAAAAGTAGTTTTGTAGGGGCCAGCTACACCTGGCGAAAATAAATACGACACAACAACTTGTATGCGTTCAGATTCCTTGTATTCTTGTAAACAACGATTTACATACGGAGGATCTATCCGGCGACGATTCGAGGTTACTGCTACTACAGGTTTGTCTCAAAATCCTTAGCTAAAAACTAAACTTGATAAAAAACGGCAAAAAAACTACAAACGACGCCCAAGCAACGCACATAGTGTGGGAAACTGCGCCCAAGGTATATTGTCAGCGGTGCTATAGTCTGTTAGTAGTACATAATTCAACGAATCATACACGCTTCCACCCCCTCCCCCCCCCCCCCCCCACGACAAAGGAGTCTTTATAAACTTAACGCAATTGCTGTTCACGGAATTGTTCTGGCTTGAACTGGTTTGTCTTGTTCTTTAGTATGGCTCCGCAACTTCTCTTTTAGCAGAAGAAGCTTTCTAATCTCTCTGCGGTATACTCCTTCTGCTGTTCTAACGATTAATTGGCGCGCTGTCCCTTCACTGTCCGGGAAGGTCCGCTCCACTTAAGCTTTTGGCCTCTGTCCTAAAAACAAAATCACCAACTCTGAGGTTAGGCTTCGGACATAACCACTTCTGTCGCACCTGGAGCGTCGGCAAGTACTCTTTCGTCCATATGCACCAAAATTCGTTTGCGAGAAGATGAACATGTTTCCATCTTGCCTTGAACTTGTCCGACTCTTCAAACAAGTCTAGGCAAAACGACGGGTTTCTACGTAACAGAAGAATATGGTTCGGCATAAGCTCTTGTAAGTCTTGCGGGTCACTCGACACTGAAGTTATCGGTCTGTCGTTTAAGATTTTCTCAACTTCTACTAAAAACGTCCGCAAAGCTTCATCGTTGAGAAGTCGCTCTCCAATTAATGAGTGCAAGATTCTTCTGATCGAGCTTCTGAGTCTTTCCCAGACCCCCTCTGGGTGGCTCGCTGCTGGTGGATTGAACTTCTATTCAATTCAATTCTTAGTCAAGGTGGCTTGGATCCTCTTTTGATACTACACTTTCAAAGCCTTAACAACGTCCAACTCGGCTCCTCTGAAATTAATACCGTTATTACTGTAAATAACTATTGGGGGACCTCGTCTGCTAACAAAGCGCAAAACTGCGTTGATAAAGCTATCTGTAGACAGGTCTTCGGCCACTTCAATATAAACTGATTAGAACCTCAGGCAACATGCATTCGTAACGCTTGTTTTAAGTCGTGCGAGTCGACCTGTAATCACTGACTTGTCGATGTCTATGTAGGAAATGACTTTCTCTGTTAAAACTTTACAATTCTCTTCTCTGCTTCAGTCACTTCGGACACTGATAAAGGGGTGGGACTGAGCTTCAATTCTATCTTCGAACTTTTGCTTTGTTCAGCCCGTAATTTTGGATGTGAAGTCTGTGGAAAACACGAATGAGACACGCGACTAATCTTCGCAGTCGACCCCATTTAGAACAGCGTTGAAACAGGGAGATCCTGAAATCTTTCTGTACGACAGCGGCACCCACAGTAATCTTCGCTCTTTTAACCCCTTCGTCACTGTCTAGGAGTGCTTCTGAAGCCTCTGTAGGCTGCGGGGGCAATTCGTCCTCGTTCTTCCATAAGAACTCTGCTCCATATCTCTCTAGTTTCTTTATCTCTGAGGCTTTGATTCCTCGAGAAGCATAGTCTGCAGGGTTGTGTTCTGATCTCACATGGCGCCACTGCCTTGGTTCTGACTCTTTCTGTATAATGGCCGCTCGGTTGGCAACAAAGGTAACAAATCTTCGCGTTTCGTCAGAAATATACTTCAGAGCTATCATCGAATCACCCCACTAAGTAACACTGTCAATCCTAAATCTTCCTGCAAGTTACTTGGTTACGATCTTCTTGATCCAGGTAGCTGCGTTTAATTCTAACTTCGACTCGGTGACTGCGTTCTACGGTGGAATTGCAATGTATCTGTTTCATAACTATTCTCTTTCGACGCATCAGCAAAATGATGTAGCTCTGCCCGTGCGACTCTACCATAGCGTTCTGGCTTAAAACATCTCGGGATCCTGAATCCCTGGAAACTCATAAGGCCTTCCCTCCACTTTCTCCAACGGAGACGGATTTCTTCTGGGATATTGTTGTCCCAACTTAACTTTAATCTACACAGTTCTTGACTAATTTCTTTTCCGAGTAGTAGTCACGGACTGACAAATCCAAGTGGATCGTATGCGGTCGCAACCGAGGACAGCACTCCCTTATGATTCTCTGGCTGTTCTCGCTTGCTAAAAACGAAGTCCATCGTATCACGTTCCACGTCCCAATGGATTCAAAAGGCCTTATCCAGAGGTAAGTTGTCGGATTTCAAATCTAGATCCTTAATGTGCGGAGCTCTTTCTTCCACTGGAAATGCAAACAAGACATCACGACGGTTTGAAATCCATTTGTGAGTTGGAAGCGACCTCAATTACCTCTCGAGATGGAAGTTGAATTTGATAATGCCCATTTACTAGGGTTGTTGACTGATCCATGATTACTTCGGCTTTATGGTCTTCAACCGACATGCCTTCTTCTAAAGTTCCGTTCGTGTCTCCAAATTCTTCATTGTACATGCGCTCCAGTTGTGCATTGAGAACTTCACGCTCAGTGTGTATTATGTTTACGTGTATTCGCTCATTTCCAATTTCTCCAATAGGCCCAAAGACGGTCCACCCAGAGGGGATCCCACTTGTCTAACTGCAAGTCCATAATTTCTGGATGATCACTGCCTGTCAGGATTGCTACTCTTTTATCTCCTGTCTCGGGTACCCTGACGTCATCAAAGCGAGGCCACTTCCTCATTTCTTCGTTGGTAGCCATATGCCTTGGCGTAAAAGGAAGAATCCTCTGGGACATTATTTCGCATTATATCCCTGTGGGAGACACGCTCTGCAAAGTTGGTGTTGTTTCACAGTCTTTAAACGGTCTCCAGATCTAGACTCCATGGGGTCACGAGCACTGTGGACACTTCAGTGGAACTCTAGTAAGCATGGCGGTGCCTTACTGATACTTGAACCTCGAGTATTTTACAGAAATTAAATCTACGTTTCCCACGCCTAACGTTGACTGTACATCCAAATTTCTACCTCTCTCGTCGCTCTTGAACGCGTTGACTTCTGACAATTCATTCGGCGCCTCTTCAGCAATATGTCGAGTTACTATACTTGCGATTCTTCAGAGACAACTTCAAACTACTGGCCGATTTTCTTTTCTTTTGTCTGGTCAGCTCTTTACGAACTACTCTTGTAAACAGATCTTGACTTAGGAACTCTAACTTTGAATTATGTAGGGGCCAGCTACGCTTGGCGAAAATAAATACGACACAACAACCTGTATGCGTCCAGAATCCATATATTCTTGTAAACAACGATTTACAATACGAGGATTCGAAGGTTTTTCTTCTTACAAGATAAGCTCAAAATCCTTAGCTTAAAACTAACCTTGACAAAAAACGGCAAAAAAACTACAAACGACGCGTAAGCAACGCACATGGCGTGGAAAACTGCGCCCCAGGTATATTGTTGGCAGCGCGATAGACTGTAAGTAAATTCAACGAATCATGCTAGTTTGGTTCACCGGATCCTCAAAAATCCTCGCCCAGTTGTCTGAAAGCAAAGATGTGAAAGAAATACGAGAAACAAAAAAAAATGAAAAAAAAAATGTTGATACCCGGAGAGAGGAATGAAAGGGAAGTACTCTGCATTATTTGTGGATATTCAATAAATGCTTAAGTTTTGAGAATTCTAAAGCACTTTCCCTTTGGCCAAAATTTCTGTAAAGTTTCTTTCATCCCTTTCCAAAGAAAAAAATGGTCGTTCCATAATAAAGCCTGGAGCTAAGTTAAGAAGTAATATACAGCACACGTCTCACCTAAATCCTCTATGGACAAGAAAGCCGGGTTGGATGCTTTTTCTCCCACAGTATTATTTGCAACGCAGTGATATTTTCCTTCATCTTTCTTCTTTGCATCTTCTATTACCAGTTGGCTATGAATTTGTTTGTCGTCCAGGGCAGTCTTAATGTATTTTATTCTTGGGTTGGACTGTTTAGCAAGTAGATCGTTGTTCTTTATCCATCTGATGGATGGCATGGGAGAACCTTTGGCGGTGCAGTTTAAAGTTACGTTGAAACCAACAACGACGGTTTGGTTCTTTGGATCCTCGACAGTCTATGGTGCAAGGAAAGCTGACACCGACAATCCCAGATGACAGTAAAAAATGTGTTGGGAGAAGATAAAAAGAAATGAAAGGAACGAGAGAGAGAAATACCGTGCATTATTTAAGGATTTTCAAATTTAAAAAGAGAACTTAAATTTTGTGAATTCTAAAACACTTTCCCTTTTGTCAAAATTTCTTTAAAGTTTTTTTCATCATTCTCTGATGAAAAAAATTGTCGTTCGCTAATAAAACCTGATGCCAAGTTAAGAGGAAATATACAGCATACGTCTCACCTAAATCCTTTATGAACAAGAAAGCCAGGTTGGATGCTTTTTCTCCCGCAGTATTATTTGCAACGCAGTGATATTTTCCTTCATCGTTCTTCTTTGCATCTTCTATTACCAGTTGGCTATGAATTTGTTTGTCGTCCAGGACAGCCTCGATGTCTTTTACTCTCGGGCTGGATTGTACAGCAAGTAGATCGTTGTTCTTTATCCATGTGATGGATGGCATGGGAGAACCTTTGGCGGTGCAGTTCAAGGTTACGTTGAAACCAACAACGACGGTTTGGTTCTTTGGATCTTCGACAGTCTCTGGTGCCAGGAAAGCTGACACCGACAATCCCAGATAACAGTGAAAAATGTGTTGGGAGAACATAATAAAAAATTGAGAGCCCATAAAATATTTTTGGAAACTGAGGGTGGCACATAAAACAGGAAAAGGGAAACTCTACAAACAAAAAGCGGGCTTTGTCACGTTTTATACATCTTGGAATATTCAGCCTTGCGATTTCTCCATGTGGAGTCCATTTTATACATGCTTGTTCATTTCTTGTTGTCCGTGTTATTTGGTCGCTACTTTAGAGTGCTCTTACTAAAAGCTGGTTTTCACTGGCGACGGGGTTAGAGTCGGAGCGACTGAAAACTGAAAAGCAGAATCATAAGCGGAGTCAAAAGCTCGACAGAATGGGACTCAGAAGAATCAGAACGGTTTCATTTTTTCCGTGGTGAAAACTAGATTGTTGCAGTCGCGAGCAGAATCGGAAAAAACAACCAATCACATGCCAGTTCTCAGGCCCTTCCAGTACAGTCTTCCGCTTACGTATTTGACAATTCTTCAAAGGATCGTAAGCGGTGGAGTCGTAAGTGGTAACGGTATTTTCTTCTGATTCTGTCGGTTTGATTTTCACTTGATCGTATAGTTTGCTCATGATTATAAATCCGACTCCTTCTCCGTCGCAAGTGAGAACCAGCTGTAAGGTTTATCAGGACTAAGCGACAAGGAGCATGTCTTCTTTTAATGGAGAGGAAGTTAGTACATAGAAGGTAAATACCAACGCGCAGTTTAATGCACCTAACACTCGGCCACATTCCCTTCTCTACTTACCAACATTTAGAAGTCCCTTTCAAGTTGAAGTATCATGACAGCTGATTTGAATGGCAAGGCGCGTAAAATTGAAATTAGAAACTACCCGGAAAAGGCTTATAGAAGTAAGCAAATAAGGAAAAGATCACTCCCCGACTCTTGTTAAATTTCACTCCAATTTTTGTCATTAATTTATGCAAATAGTTCCTTGTGACGAGAAGCAAATCAAAGTAACAAAACGTTTTAGAACAGCTGATGAGATAACGCGTGGGTTCCAGAAGGAATGGGTCGTCCTGCGTTGCTCTTCAGGCTACTGTTGTTTCGAAAATCGCTTTTGGTACGGATGCGAAACGACTCAACTGACTTGGTACGAATCGACTTTGGTGGTACGAAACGTCTGGTAACCGCTTTATTTTGTTTCTGGAGGATATAAGGTTAGTTTTGTTGCTTACCTTGGCCGATTTCGACAGTTTTTCGCCGGCAATATCCAACGTAATCATTTTCTGCCTCACAAGTGTAATTTCCAAACTGTGCTAAAGTCAACCCCTTGAGCATTAATACACAACGAAGTTCTTTTACTTCATGATAATTTATGCATTTGACTCCAACTGGGCTGTTCTGAGGATCATACCACTGAATATACTTGATCCATCTCCTAGGAAATAGCTTGTCCTCAGACTTTGGCCACGCTATACAAGTCAAATTAAGAGCTTCTCCTACAAATAGTGTGCGATTTGGTGGACTCGAGATGATGTTTATTTCAGGTATCACTGGACGGCAAAGAAAAAATTCTATCAATAAGTTTATCAAAAAAACTTTGGTTTGATCAGTGAGGATGCAACTTTAATTAAGTTGAGCAAACACACGCAAAAAGAAATGCACATGGTTGCCACTAACCAGACTTGGTGTTACATTTCTTTGTCGTTTCTGCGGATGGAAGGTTGCTTAGAGCACTGGTAACAAGCAATAGCAAGAGACAGTTTCTAGCGTCTCTAAGCCAATGTGTGTTTAGCATTCTGTTCGTTGGACGAGCGTTCAGTTCTTCACACAACAGGTGCCTAAACGTAAAATCGACTACATAAGGGACGAATCGAAGTGATGG